TTGAACAAGTACTGATTCCTCTAGCTCGGTCATTTTCCGTGAATTGGCTAAAATATCGCGTCGTGAAGGTATACCAGGCAAACATCGACCTAGCTTCCGGTGGTCTACAGAATAGGTCCTGGCAGCAGCTCGAGCACGTAAATTTGGGTCTTTTTGCATAGCTTGGATAGCTAAGACTAACCGGCTTTCGTCATTTTTCAGAGGCATCCTTCGTTGTAGAGAAATTTAATATTTCGTGGAGGTGTGGTGGGGTCGCCGGGTTTTGGCCGGTTCGCTTGTTTGGCCGGTTCGCTATACATGCACGTTATAATAGTTAATTAATTTATATTATAGAAAGAACGAGTACTAGCTATAAGTACTCGTATATACTAAGCTTTCCGATATCTACGTAATAAAAGTAGTAGATATATTGTAACAAATTCTATATATATTATAGTATTTTTAATAAGGTTATTTATATAGTATAAAGACGAAGAATATACGCTAGTTATAGCTAAAATTACTGTAAATTTTACTTTCTTATTAGCGTCTGACGTTTCTAAAGAAGAGATTTCATATTATATATAGAATTATATAATTGAATATATTGAGTACACAGTAGTAGTGTGTAGTTATTTATATGTAATGTACGGAAGGGGGTTACAAGTAGGTCCCGTCCACACTCGCCGAGCGGTGAGCCCCATAGAAATTGGTAGAACCTGTGCACCTCTCATCTATTTAATGACTGTCCCTTACAAAAATGTATTTAGCAGACATCGTGAAAATGCCATGGACACATGAGACCCTGACTCGCGTACGATCTAAAATCCTTCTCGATAAGGGATATTTAGTTCGCTCCGCTGCTTGTAAGCTTGGTATTCCTAGATCTTAAGCACGATATTTTATTAGTAAGCTAGACCGACAAGTAAGGCCTTTTATTTCCTAATTCGTCATGGAATACTGACAGAAACAGGGGGTGGACGAGACCCACTTGAAACCTCCTTTCGTAGGATAAGCGAGTTAAGGATATATACTCGCTACTCGTAGAACGTGGAAAGGCTATATCGCCTTTTTATACGCCGCGAGGATCAACCTTATTTAGGAGATTACGGCCGCGAGTACACTTAGTAAAACGCTAGATTACTATTTTTAGAGTAATTACGTTGTATTCGATATACAAGCCATATAATTTCGGAACTCGATACGAGCCTTAACTCGTATTAAGCGTAAAACTCTAATTTGTATAGTATACTAGGAGTGTAAGATTATATTCCGAGCTATATGAACCCTAAGACCTTTACAAGAGTTTTTACTCTCTATGTAAGGGAAAGACTAATGACGTAAAGACTAATGACGTAAACTCTTCTTATTAGATACTTTGCGCTGGTATAATATTTATAACTTTAAGGGGGGTTTACCCTATACTCTACTGTTACGGCCTGTTTGGCTCGGCGTGATTCAGAATATAGATTCAGGTCAGGGTCTACCATACAAACTTGAAGCTTTACACTCTATACGAGTCCCAACTCGTCCTCGTATCGATTTTACAAAAGCTACCACCCTAGAAAGGGATGATTATTGTGCAAAAGAGGAAGTCGAGGATGGGCTACGGAGGATTTATTGATTTCCATATGAATCCGTGGTTAAATCCTACCTACTTGTCTGTAATTGTTCAGAGTCTTACATTTATTTTTTCACGATCATAGTATCAGAGTCCCTTACGAGAAACAAGTCAAACATAGACACGTGCCAGCACATCAGATTACTTTCATCATGAAAATCGCAGCTATTCTTACGGCCATGGGCTATCTGGCCACGACAGTGGTAGCACAAACAGTTTATACCGAGGAACTGGGAATCGCTTATCCAGATGGTGGTTTTCTTGTGGATGACCTAACTGACGAGAGGAGTGATTGCACTGCATTCGTCTTCTGTGTACGTACCACCTTTCCTATCCCCAACTTGATTTTAATATTCTACTTCTTTAAACATTACTCTACGACTCATCCCAGAATATGAGAATACAGATACTAATTCAGAATATCCCTATAGGGTCGTAGAAGGCAATCTCCATCAGGTGGTGCGTTCGTAATAGGACGCAACCTCTGTGACCCATTTTATAAAAAGTCAGATGATCCGGAGGCAAACGTAAATGAAGTGGATCGTGTAGACTGTACGGCTCGGGTTGGAGGTGAAACGGGTGTAAGTGATTATGATAACCTCTTGTTCGTGTCTACTTTACTAATAGAATCATAAATTAGTTTGTCCAATGCTGTAGATAGCGTAGCTTGTATTCGCTTGAGGAAATGGGGGGCTCGGAGGTTGGATGGTCTATAGGAGGGAAGTGTAGGACTATTAGATCACATTTCTTTAACTCCACGATTTGGATTCCGTTCTAAGTGATAATAAACCTGTAGAACTTGTGCTAAGTGATTGATATTTGAATAGATTCATTGAACTATAAGAACTGATCTGATTAAAACCTCCTTTCTCTGACGTATTCTGTTTGTAAGGGTTGTCGTATTTGGGCCCTAGTGTTTGAACCGATTAGACAGTAAATTGAGAAATAGGGCACTCACTTCCTTTCTGATATAGAAACAACATCTTTTCCACCATCGATTTTGAATTCTCATACCCCCTCAACCCCAGCGCCTACTGACTGAAAAAGATGTGATCAGCGTTCGGCATCTAGAATTTCATTCCATTTTAAAGAAGGTCTAGAATATTCCATGATTCCACTATAGAATTCGGAATTCCAGAATGGAGGAAACTATTACATGACCTATGATAGTAGAAAGCTTATAATAATACTTGCTATTAAGACTTAGTATTAGTTAATATATAAAATATTACTTATAGCTAAAATATAATTTCGGAGAGTTGTATGGTTATAGAATCGTAGTTTTTGGTGTGTTTTGGGCGAAAATCTGGGACTACGTCTTGAATGCTAACAACCCCCAGTGTGTCACGAATCACGTGTTTGCACGTAACGAGTGAAGACCAGGCGGCGTCCTGACAGGTCAAGCACTATTGAATACTCTTATAGCAAATGGGATCGGTTGGGCTAGCTAAGCGATCCAGGGATTTCACTTGGATAGTATCACGTGATATGGTCACATGACCATTGGAGCTTGCAGGAGCTTCGGTTGGAGCTTGAGGATCTTGGGCTCCCTTCAAGCTCCAGGAGAGACGAAGGTTCTATATAAGACTGGCACGTCTGCCATTAGATAGGAGCTTCGTGCTCAACTTAGTTATCAATCTTATCATATTAGTTTGACATCTTTGATACAAGTAACGAGTTCACTTCCAAGTGAACAACCCGATAGTCTTCTTCTTATCATAGCATACCAACCAGCGAACACCCAGCCAAGTTTAGTTAGCCAGTTTGAGTATTCGTTACACTAGCCTTCTACTATAATTAAGTAATTACTTTAATACTATTATATAATTAGTTGAGGTTTAGATTTAAATAGAGGTTATATACCTAGCTTTATTTTAGTATAAACAAGTTATTACCTATAGTAGATTATAGGGTCTTATTTTATAGGAGATTCCTAAGATATAGATTAACTAGTACTATTATACTAGACGTAACTCTAGTAGTAGTAAAGGTTTTAGTCTAGCTAGGGGTAACGCTTCTAAAGATAAGAATATATTAATATAAGAGTATCTTAAGGAAACTTATAGTAATAGTTATAATAACCTATTATATCTTTATATTTATCTAAGTTGAGATAGTACTATAAATAAGAGTAGTAGTAGTAGTAAGAATATAAAGAAGAATAAAAAGAAGAAAAAGGGTTAAAGTATTAGTATAGAAGTATAAGTTTAGTCAATAGTATAGCCTATTATAAATAATTCTACGTTATTATACTAATTTTTACTATCTTATACTTATTCTCTTATACCTCCGTCTATAAATACGCTAATACCTTTTCAAATTATTAATATATTAAAGCCTCCTTATATAACTCGCTATTCCCTCTAAATCGCTTAGCGTAGTACAAGCTCTTACGCTAATATCCTAACCCGGTTTTTTTTAAATATAATTAATTAAATACTAGAATATAATACTTTTATTAGCTGTAAAGGCCTAGAGATCTATTAAATATCTTTAAATTTATCTTTAGCTTACGAATTTCCCGAGTTATTATTCTCTAAAATTAAAAAGGATCTATAAAGTAGACTAGTATAGATAGTAGATCCTATAGAAGACGAACCTTTTATAGCGTTACTACTAGGATTTATACTAAAATTAAAACTAAGTAGCGACCGCTACTAAATCTATTACTTATTCTTTCCTAAAGAGAACTCGGTTAATTCGAATATACTAGATAAATACGTGTATTTATAATATATTAAGTTCGAAGAAATTTTAGACTTAGTATAGAAGGTAGGCCGAGGCTATACGATCTTTAAGCGCGATATATTAAATACTTTCTAAATAGTTCCTATAGCTTTATATATATAATAAATACTAGGATTTTAATAGAAAGGTATAAAATATATTTATATAGTTCTTCCTTTTAGTTTAGTAATAGCTCTTTTTATATTTAACTTATTTATAGAAGCCCTAAAATAAATTATTAATTTATACTTAAAGTAGTGTTTCTTTAGTTACTATTTAGACGACAAGTTCGCTATATTTATATAAAAAGACGCTATATTAAAATTTATAAAAGAATAGAATAAGAAATTTAAGGATTTAATAATAGTTCTAGAAATACTAATTAATAACCTTAAAAACGTTCAGGGTATAGTTATAGAGGTTTTAGAATACTTAGTAGATATAAATACTTTTATAACTTTAATTCTATTTAATAAACTTATATAAATTAAGGAATAAACTACTATATTTATCTCTTAAAATAGTATTACTCGAAAGGAACTCGAATTAATTATAGGTCTCCTATTATTTTATACTAGGATTATATAATTAAACTAGGTGTTTTATAGGAACTTTTAGACTTTTATCTATATATAGCTTGAATATATTAAAGGTTAATAGTAACTCTTCTTAGAGGTTAAGGCGGATTCTATATAGCAGAGTAGAATACTATTATAATTTGATAGTTAAACCTTCTTCAATTCGTACTACTAATTTATTTACTTATTCTATAACACTCCGATATAAGGTCTAGGTACCTTTTAGGTATAAGTAGAAATACCGAGAATTAACTAGCGCTACTATATACGTAACCTAATAAGAGAATATACTATATAAATACTACTTCTACTAATTAAAAAAGAATTCGAGATTAGTATATTCGAGATTAAGGTAGTATAAGTATCCTTTAAGACCTAGGCTATTTAATAGTTTGGAAAGAGGGTAGTAGTTTATATAGATAGCGTTACTACTTAATTCGGCCTGGTAAAATAAGCCTCTCTACTTAATCCTTTACCTCGCGATATAATAAAACGTTAAAATAATCTCGGAAAATATTTCTAGCCTACTAAATATTTTAGTAAATACCTTTTCTAGGAATTTAGATAATATAATAGCTAATTAGTATTCTCTTTTTAAATAGAGTCTCTTATTAATTATATTAATTTTATAATACCCGGAGTTTCTTAGCTTACTTCTACTTTCATATATCTTAGTCTTTCTACGAATATATATAAGGTATATGTCTGTGAGGGTTGGAACCCATGATGGAGGCTCGGGCCATGCCCTCGCTAAGCACTGACCAAAGTCCTCGTTAAGCACTGACCAAAGTCCCTGCTTAGCACTGGCCATTACCCCACTGCCAAACAGGTTTCTACTTTTCCACACTTTCTTGTTTTGTTCTTCTGACATCATGTATTCGTCATTCAAGTTTCTTGCAAGTTTCTTGGAATATTCAGGAAGCTCTTCCTCTCTATATATAGAGGAAGAGCTCGCATGTATGTAGTCTTCACGCACTTCTTAATTGAATATTCGAAACCACACCTTTGAGCTATTCGAGGTCTGGCCTCTCACAATAACTTTTATATTCGCTCGTTTAAGACTTTCTAAGCCGAGAGATTACGTCTAGCCTAGCTAGTAGATTTATAGGCTATTCTTAACTAGGTCTTATTAAGGGTAGTAAGGAGAGAATAAGGTCTTTTAATAATAAGAAGGTTACGTATAAATTCGATTTAAGTAAGCCTTTCTACTATTCGCTTATACTATATAGAAGATAGGTATATATTATAAATATTTAAAAGCTTACTTTTATAATAAGTTTTATTAGGTATTTAAGTGTTCTAAGGTTTATAATAAGTATATAAGGCCGAGCCTATTTCCTAGTATTAAATTCGCTCTATTGCTTCTACTCTAAAGAAGCCTTATTAAGTTCTATTAGGATAATATAATTATTTAAATTTTAAAGTAGCGTTAAAGCTTATATTCGTAGCTTTCCTATATACTAGAGAGATTACTTATTCTAAGTTAAAATAGTAGTAGAATAGACCCTAGATAATATATACCCTATTATAATACTTTTATAACTTTTTAACCTAGATTCTTAACTCCTATATTCTCTACTCTTTTATATAAAATAAAGAACTTTTATAAAAGACTTTTACGTTAATACCTTATAAGGGCGCCTTCGCTAAATTAGTACGCTAAGTTAGTACGCTAAATTAGTACGCTAAATTAGTACAATAAATTATATAAGATATATAGGTTATAGCCTCTACTAGGGTACTACTTAAAGAGCCTCGGATTTAGGTATTTTAAACCCCGATATTTAATACCTCGGTAGATAGTTCTCTAGAACGTTTAAGAGTCATTTTACTCTTAGTTTATAAAATCGTTATTAATTAAGCTATTATTTTTTATAAGGATTATAATTAGTTAATCTCCTTTTTCTAGCTTATTATTATTTTATTTTCTTTAGTAGCTAGTTCTTTTCGTCCCTTAAAGATAGCCTAGGATATTAATACTTCTTTTTACTATACTAAATAGAGCCTTCTAATTAGTCTATAATATATAAGAATTCTAAGTATTTAAAGCTAGCTAGTAATATAAGAAATTAATAATAAGACTCTTTTATAACGTAACGAATAAATAATAAAAATAATAATAATAACCTATAACGTAGATATTATAATAACTATCTAAAGATAATAACTAGCTAATACTAGGATAGAGTACTCAAAGGTAAGGAGCTTACTAGGTAGTATTATAGTAATTTTTACTCTTAGCCCCTTAAATAGTATAAGAACTATATAAAAGTAACCTATAATAACTTTTGTTTAGTACTCCGATAACGAGGAGTTTAGGTTAAAGATAATAACGAGAAGATCTTAGTTATAAGAGCTTTCTTCGAGGTAGTAAAAAGATAAGGGAGTTAGAGTTATATATAGAGTTAAAATAAGGTTATTTACAAGTATTAATATATAGCACGTTTATAGATACTTCGAATAAGACTTAATAATATTATACTTTCTTAACTACTAAGAGTTCGAATAGATCTAAACTTTAAGAAGAACTCTCTACTACTAGTTCGAATAGATTTAAACTTTAAGAAGAACTCTCTACTACTAGTTCGGATAGATCTAAACTTTAAGAAGAACTCTTTACTACTAGTCCGGATAGATCTAAATTTTAAGAAGAACTTTATACTAACTCTAGCTCCGCTAGAAAAACAAGTTATAAAAGAGCCTTAAATACTTATATTTATATCTCCTAGATAAGCTATAAAGCTAGTATCGATCGCGTCTCTTCTAAAGCTAGTACGAATTAGATAAGAACTACTAAAATCGCCTACTATTCTCCTAAAGAGACCTATAGCTCCGCTAGTATAAGACTCGGTTACGCTAGAGATAGAACTAGTTCCTCGATTATTAGTATAATGTGAGGGTTAGAACTCATAGTGGGGCTCGGGCCTAGAGCCCTCGCTAAGCTAAGCGACCCCGCCTCTGGAACGCCATGGAATAAGATAGAATGCTATGACGCAGAAGATTGGTAATACTATGGAACAGTGTTGAATGCAATGGAAATGCTACATTTAGTATAAGAGTAGAGGAACATGTATTTACAGACCACGTAGTTCTTAATTGAATATTGAACCCACACCTTTGAGTCGTTCGAGGTCTGGCCTCTCACATATAATTTAGATAAAACCTACTAAAATCGCCCCTTATTCTCCTAAAGAGACCTATAGCTCCGCTAGTATTAAAGTCGGCTCCGCTAGTATAAGACTCGGTTACGCTAGTATAACTAGTATAAATTAGATAAGAACTACTAAGATCGCTACCTATTCTTCTAAAGAAACCTATAGCTTTACTAGTATAAAAGCCGGTTTCGCCTATATACTAAAAGCTACTTACGCTAGTACTACCGGTTCCTATAATTACGTCAGAGCTAGCTTTAATAGTATAATAAATGATTTCTGTATTTAAGTAAAACTTAGTTTCGCTAATATAAGAGTCTAAAACTAAGTAAATACTACTTCTACTAGTGTAATAAAAGTCGGTTCTACTAGCGTAAGAGCTTAAAATTAAGTAACTAGTTCCGCTAGTTATGTAAGAGTAAGACTTGGTTCTAAAAGTATAGTAAAACTTAGTTTCGAAAGTATAGTAAAACTTACTTTCGATAGTATATTAAAAGCTAATTTCGCTAGTATAATAAGTATATTTAGTTCTATTAACTTTAACTAATTAATTAACTTTAACCATAACTTTAACTTTATATAACTACTTAATTAGAGTATACTTAGTTCTTAGATTTATTACTCTTAGTATTAGATAAAGAACTATAAGAATAAATATAATTAAATAATAGAGTTATAGATTTAAATATAAAAGGTAAATAAAATAGTAGTATATAAAATAGGAAGGATTTAAGCGATAATTATAAATTATAAGCTATTAATAGACTTAATTAATAGTAAGGGAGAAATTAACGGATTTAATTAATTAAGAATTAAGGAATACTTTTAGTTAGTTATTAAGTATTTACTTCTTTACTTCTATTAAAGTAAGCCTAGTATCGGTATAATATTATTAAGTATATTTACTTAATTATATACTATATCCGATTAGGTAACTATACTCGACCGTATAGGAGTAGGGCTTAGTACTGTCACGAATCACGTGTTAGCATGTGACGAGTTAGTCCAAACGGCGTTCTGACAGGACAGATACATCCAGAGTAGTTATATCATAGCAGTGGTTACTCAGGGTTGTTGAGTATCCAAGGATTTCATAGCATTCATAGTCACGTGATAAAAGCGCGACAGCGCGACAAGCGAATTGTCGCGCGCGACAGCACGACGAGCGCGCTGTCGACATTTGGGATTTGGAGAACGAAGGTTCTATATAAGACTGGCACGTCTGCCATTAGATAGGAGCTTCGTGCTCAACTTAGTTATCAATCTTATCATATTAGTTTGACATCTTTGATACAAGTAACGAGTTCACTTCCAAGTGAACAACCCGATAGTCTTCTTCTTATCATAGCATACCAACCAGCGAACACCCAGCCAAGTTTAGTTAGCCAGTTTGAGTATTCGTTACAGTAAAGTCTTTAATTGAAAAAGTAAAAGTATAATACTTACTTAAAGATAGTATAGTATTATTTATTATCGATACTTTAATTATTAGCTTTTAGTATATCTTACCTAGCTTAGTAGCTACTGAGTAGTTTATATAATTATAATCTACCTTACTATTAATAAGATATAATCTCTATTATTTAAAGTCTTTAGCTATAAGTTATAGAATAATAAATAGTAACTATACTAATTATCTCTTAGAATAATTACTAAGTAAAAATACTTCTAGAATACTTCTAGAATAAAAGCTAATTAGTAATACTTATACAATAGTCATAAAAACCCCGGGCTCTCTTATAAGATAGGTTTAATATATATTTATATAATAGGAAGGCCTTCTTTTTATAGTTTTTACTACTTATAATATATTATATTATAAAACTTATAAAATTATAGAGCCTTATCAGCTCGCTTATACCTCTTAGTATATATATGGATTAACGGAGCGCCTAGTAGAGGGGATAGTCTACTAAGGAGCTACCTACTACTATACCTACTACTAATATAAGTATATTATAATAAATATTTATTGAAAATATTATTTAATCTTAGATCTATTACTTTATAATTTTCTAATAATATTAGAATTTTAATTAAATTATTCCGACCGTTAGTTATTAAGTAATTAATTATTCAATTCTTAGACGCCGGCTTAATCTCAGCATAAGAGTCTCTAGGGAGACTCTTATAGCCTTCGTGAGGGCCTGGTCCGCCAAGGCCGCAAAGCCACACTTAGCCACACGGGGAGCCGCACCGAGAGCCGCATGCGCACTTGAGCCTCACCTGCACGCGTATACGGCTCTTTGCACCTACGTAGCGCTGCTTCCACACATCGGAACGATATATAAATAAGATAGATTTATACGCGTAATTAAGTGCTATCCTATCCTTGATTTATTTGTCTTTCCGACCGGTGGAAGCAGCGCTACGTACGCACAAAGAGCCGCACGCTCTGCGGACGAGTTTTAGTGTTCTTACAGCTAACTCATCGGACCCACATTACCTTCCTAATGTCGTAATAACTCCCACGCCTTACCCAATGTAGTTATAACTCAAGTTTTGCAGTTCTAGCCCGCACGAAGGATTCTAGAGTCTCTTTTAGGGATTTGAGGAACGAGGGAAAATCCACATCGAGACGAGAGTATTATACTAGATTGACGCCGGCTTAGTAGTGCGCCGGCATAATGGTGCCAACTCCTCTTGCGGGTAGTAAGAAAATCGAAAAGAAAAAATGTAATCCAAAACTCCTTAATTCTCTGATTAGTCGAAAAGTTATTACATAATCACAACACAACATAAGTTATCACTATAAAGATTTAATTATTATATACTCTGAAGCTGACAAGTAACAGAAGCTTGTTTGGACCAAGGCCTCCTACTTTTCTAATGTTGTTATTTCCATTCTCGGAATTTTGATCGAAAATAATCATAGCGTTAAGAAAGGGAGCTATGGATAACGAAGAAGAACAATAAGAAAGCAGCAAACAACGTATAGTGAATAAGAAGCTCGGGCTTTTCATAACGGACACAGATCAGACTACCTAGTACTCGTACTTGTCATGGGTTTCCTAGAGCCTCGATGATTATGGCTGCAATGTCCACAGTATCCACTGTACCCACTGTAAATGCCCGGCTCCTAGTGGTGGAAAGGCACCTCCTACCTTCTAGACTACAGTATGACGTGTTACTGTCGAGTGCGTTGGTTTACAGTACCTGCGCGCCGGACTTGTGTTCAAGGCATCTATTTAATGCTGACTCTGGCTTGCTACACTCGTCCAGTACCTCAGTGAGCATGGCACCAGTCACACGATCTGTATCGAAAAAACACCGACTAACACCATCTGTCACAGCACCAAAGGCTCGGAAAAGTAACTTTTCACCTCATAAATCTCCAACAGCCCGACGAAACATTTCTAAAAGGGACAAGATAGTAATCGCTTTGCATACCATCCCGTCGCCAAATGCAAGCCCGCCGGAAAATATTCCAGAACTTGAAGATTCAAGGGGCACAGTTATTTAATGGTGCTCTATCGAAGGCTCCAAATACCAGGATAGCGAGAAAATCATGGTTTGGATCGAAACCCCACGTAGAATTCGTCAGCTACCAGGCTGCTCGAGAGTTGTACAGCAAAACCTCACGGATTTTCCTCTTATATTCGCTATTGGTGAGATACACGTCCATATAGAAGATAACTATCAAGATCATCCACAAGGCTAATCGTTTTGCAGAATGGAAAAATGGGAAAGCTAGGAGGCAGTTTCTTGAGTCTGGAGCATCTTCGCACTTTGCTCAAGCTTTCGAAAAAGCTCAAGTACAAAGACTATTTCTAATGAGGCCGCCGTACTCTCACGCGCCTCCAAGTTTGATAAATCACTCGATTCTTGGAGAAGTTGTCACTGCGTACTTTCCTACAGGTTTATCGCAAGCGCTATTGAGGCGTTGAGTATGGTCATGCCACGCACTATTGGATATGGTACGCCTAAGTCTGGACCTCAAAGAATGCATCCACTGGAATATCCCTTTGAGGGTTATTAGGCGGAACCTCTGGTTGGGCAGATGGAACCGTACAGCATCAAAAACAGCCTGCACGACGCTTGATTTACATTTTTAAGTGGTTAGATGAATTGGCTCAGCAGCGTTTCAGGCCAGAAGTAACCATCAAGCGGCCAGGGCGGACTGCTGCTAACGCTATGGAAGCTTGTGGCTGATCTGGAGGAGCAGGGAATACTGGGTATTGAGATTCTGAGCATCCAATTTCTCGACATTCGTGGGTAGTAGATGGCGATCAACTAGAATCCATCCAGGGATTGAAAGAACCCGATACCTTTGATTGGAAAACAGCGTAGGTCTCTAGACTTGTGCCCAGCCCTCCTTGTATATCCCATCATTTACCTAAAAATGATCTTCCTTCAGGATACTTCGAAGATTTGGTGCTCAATCTCCATCAGCAATTCCTAACGGCATTGTGAGAGCAGAAAGAGATCTCATCTTAGTTCGCGTCTATTGTCAAGTCAATATTCACTCGTGAAAGTCTGCAAGCCAGAACCTACATATTTGTTATTACCGATTAACCGACCGACACCTTTGCCAAATGTCAAGATCATACCGACAATGATCTCACCTTCTGGTGCTTGAAACGTTTCCCAAACACCAGTCTGATGGTCGCCCCAGATGAATTCTCGATTGCGGTTTGTTCGTAACTGGGGTTCATGAAAAATCAGCTCTCGGATAAACATTAGAACTTCGTAGAAGAGAAATGTGTTACCTTCAAACCATTAGGCGGCTTATTGCTTAAGTTAACAGATATCTCATTTAAATATTCACCTCCGGGTCCGTCAATTTCAAAGTGAGAAGAGTTCTCTTCCCTCCAAACACCGCCATCGCTTTCCTTCTGGAGACCAATAACACGCTGTGCTATACCATGGCCTCCACCAAATTGAGCACTGATGCCGCAAAGCTCGTTAATAGACCGAACCCCGCTCGGGAAAGGTGCTGCAGGAACACGAGCACGGCCTCCTGTGGGAACGTAACCACATAAAGACGTAAGGCTTCTGAGCCCCTGCTCGCTAGCTCCCCAGATTAAGGGTTCGTATTGGACAAAGTTGTAATTACGACTTTCCCTGCCTCCAAGTATCACTTCTCTCATTGTTGGATGTTCCCAGATGGGTGTTCCCAGATGGGTGTTCCCAAAATGCTACTACAGTCATCACTCCAGAGATAATCTTCAAAGTCAGTTGGGTATGGTATATCGACTTCGTAGTCACCAGGATCTTCCGAATAGTCGTCTACTACTGGACGCTCACTTTGGAGTAAACCTAAGCGAACTATCCGCTGGCTATTCTCACCCCTCTGAAAATTCGATATAGCGTCAGCTTAATGTTCGTGGTTATGAAATGAAAACAAGGATGATACGCACGCTCATCTGACCACTGATTCCATTTATAAAATGGGAGCTTGCGCCCAGTAAAGGGAGTCTTGCATGACCCTGTTGTGTAGATCCAAAGCAGGAGGACTTTCCAGTATTATTAATGACCTAGAGTACGTATTAGTCCAATTTAAATCTAAGGTGAAAGGGAAAACGATGGCTCACAGTCAATCCTCTAATAGAGGTTACCTTTTTCCTCATCTCACGTTCGTTCCAGAAGTGCTTGTCTTCAAACACCGGTATGTGAAGAACAAACCCTGTGATCCAAACCCCGCTCTCAACTTCTATGAACTCTTTAAACACTCCTTTGGTTTTGTCGTCCGTTCCAAACAAGCGTCTTTCATTCTCAGGAGCTAAAGATAACCCCACCAACGAGCCTTCGGATGACCAGAATATTTCCAGAACCTTTGGTTTTATGAATACATCCTCCCATGAATGAACCCAACAGACTGCGCTCCCTTTTTTTCTCTCTGGAATAGGAGAGCAAACCACAGGAGAGTGCACACACGCAGATCTCTCCTGAATCGTAATCTTGACGCAATTGGGCTCTAGTCCATCTTTGATCTGCTTAAGCTCAGAAAGATATTCCTCCTTTAGCTGCTCACGAACGCCCCAGATTCGTCGTCGGTTTGCAAGACCCAGAAAAGGGCTCTTCATCCAAATCCTTGATCTACTTGTTTCATGTGCCCAAAGGAACATCCCTTTCAAATCTTTTCCTTGGAAGGTATCAGGAGAGTCTAGTAGGTATTGCAACTCAAAAAACCACAGCAAGTCGCATCTAATTCTTTGCATCCAAAAGCATTCGTTGTTTCTGAGAACACAGGTTACGGTCCAAGAAGCTCTTGAAAGCATGAGTAGAGGCTCTGCAGGGAGCATATCCACAATCTTGTGGATGAGCTCTGAAGGAAGCTTTGAAAAGTCATCCTGCTTGACACATAATCCAATATTATCGCTAGAACGTGGAATAGTGAAATTGTTGCTTTCGACTATAGCCTCAATAGCACTTTGGAGAGTAGGTGTGCTCAATGGAAAGACGACAAAAAGCTCCTGTCCTGAAAATGCGTCCTCGAAACCATCAATTGTAGGAGCTGGTTCGCCATAATTCAATTTCAAAGGGCCCTGGGTAACAATTGCATAACTTCGACATGACTGACGACTTGCTTGTCAGTTTTTCCAAAGAAGATTATGTCCACACTGTATGGAGAGAAAAATCCAAAGGACTAAGAAACGTCCAGAAAGGAAGAGGTAACTCAACCTCCACGGAATGCGTTGGGAGGGAGAAATAAACTCAGATAGGACTTACTTTTATACAGAAGGTCCTTGTCAATATTATCGAACACGTCCTCGTCCTCGATGGTAGATCTAGTCAAACATCTGGCGAACAATTTGTAACAGGACCAGTGAAAAGGGAAAACAATATCCTCGGGGTCATTGTCATAACTAACATATCAACGAAATCCTCGTTCATCTACGTAATCATCTGGGAAGTTTGGATCACCGCTTTCTGTGACCTTAATTGTATCAAAATAAATATCCCACCACACCCAACCCGACACAAATGCCCTAGCAAACGAGTTAATATGGTTCAATTTGAATTTGGCCCTGCGATACTTACTTACTTACGCCGGGTGCTTGCGAGTTGAAACCGAGGATATGCAATTTTTCTATCCAGTCGACATCTTCCTTGCTTACGATCTCTGGATCATAACCCCTCTCAGATTCATCATCCTCTTTGAGTTCGGGGCTTTTATCCCCTTCTGCTTTGCGTTGACGGATCGTAGCGCACCAGACTGAAGCACTACATATCGCACAGAAGCAGTCATGCTGAGGCATAATTCAAAGCTTCGGGATCTTGTTAATGTAGTGTTGCTGGCGTTAGAAAAATGCGATGTAAGAAAGGGGATGTGGTGGATGAGCGTTCGTATGAATATTCAGGAACCGTGCCGCATACCTACCTAAAATAAATGGGGCAGCACCACCGACTCCAATATAGATTGTCAACGCGCTAGGTAGAAGTAGGTTGCCTAGAGAGCCTAGGTAGTTCCAACAATATGTCAGTTCGCAATTACATTTGTTGCAAGTAGATAAAACCTTAAGACATTGAAAGCAGTACCGACTCGGTAAAGCCCCTGAGTAGTTCAGTGTCAAAATCCACGCAATATACTCTACCAATTGCATCGTATATACTACGTCGAGTGTTCTGACAATCTCCATAAACGTATAGACGTTCTTCTCCTCTTCCTTCGTTCAACATATATGTAGTTCCCACTTTATGTTGAATAACGAGAAACTGCTCAAGCCAATTCTCTAGACGAGATCGCTAGCGAAGCAAGTGGGCAACTGACCAGCTTGTCATCCTAGCAACCTACATATGCCAGTTCTTCTTCAGAGTCCCGGCATATCATACTTAATTAATCTACATCGTCCCATCTTTATCACAGATATCACCTCACTGCATCGTCGTTACCTGATTGGGCTTACAGCATCTCCTTACAAATGAGCCACTCACTCATTCATGACTCTGAAGAACTATCGTCTCCTGCAAATGAACCCTAGCTCATTCATAGTCTTTCTAATACCTTGAACGTAATTGTAAATTACAGGAGGGAGAGGATAAATTTCGACGGTTTTCTTTCTGATTTTGGGGGCTTTTATAGTTGCATCTTCCAATGAATTCGCTGTCATACAGCGGGTGCCTAGGTACGGACTCGATGTTGTACTACTTAAGCTCTCACGGAACACATCCCCATCATTGATACTACCCTCTTATCACACAAGCCTCAAAGAACTATCGAGGTGGTAACACCAGCTCAGGGACACCCGCATTCAAGTGAAAGATACCAGAAGAATTCGCATATTTGAATCCTGTAAGGAAGTGATTTGTGTCAAAGTTTCATCAGCAACAAAACATCCGCTCAGGTGCTACTGTACAATGAAGCTACCCGTTCCAAACTCTCACCCCATCATCTTCCCAAAAATAACAACTGAGCGGGACGCGAAGCCAAGAATTTGGCAAAAGAAGTAAAAGCATAAGAGGCATATTCGTGTACCCCTCGAAACCTGAAATACACAGTCCGGTCCATACTCACGGGTGTAATCCTGGATCCCGCGTCATACAAACGTTACTCAACTCGGGCGATCCCAATAAGCCATCCATTTCTGGCTTATTTGGTGGAACATCTCTCCTGTTACCCGAAGATATGCAGATGGAAAAGTATATGCAGAGCTGGAAACCCCACCCCCCGTTTCGAATCAAGTCACTTGCTACAAACTCGAAATTTGAAATCAGAAGTGAGTTATCAATATGCGTCTTTGTACAGCATTTCTCTTAGCCTTGTCGTTTTTCGGCCTTGCAAGATCGCTAGAGCAAGCTTCCGCGTGTTTGAAAGAATGCGATAGTGAGATCGCGACTTGCGAGCTGGGTTGCAATAAGAAGGAGGGTGGATGTTTTTACTACTGCGGTGCGAAGAAAGCTATTTGTGTTAATAAATGTGGGAAGGGGAATGAGGTGCTCTCCAACCACATTCATATTTCGAAAATCTCAGGCTTACAGAAACGCAGAACTCACTTTCGTTCCTCAATGAAGCTGAAGAGCTAGCTGTGGGCCTCCCCTATTTCTTTCTCAGCATGAAGAATCTTCTAAACGCTATCAACAGGAAACAACCATTTCACGATTCGAGCAACCACCTGGTCAAAAAGACAGCCCAAATATCTGCGATAAGAAGTGCCTCGCTCAACACAAAAGCTGCGTAAAAACCTGTCGCACTACTGGTGACCAGTCAAAAGCGAAAGAGTGCATCGAAGATTGTACGGACGACCAACTCCGCGAGTGCAGATATAATTGCGAGGATGTAGGATCTTCTCTCTAAATCAAAATTGACACTGAACTTGACAGTCACTAACTTGATGATCGAAATAGGGCATCTCACCCTCGCTCCTCGAAATCGAGCTTCCAAAAGCACCGGATGATAAACCTTGCATTAAGAACTGTACCCAAAGCGCTGAGACATGTATAAAAGGATGCGATAAAGCGAACGATAGTCTTTTTTGCGTTGCGACTTGTGTATTCGACAGGTTACCAGGATGCGTTACTAGTTGTGCTCAACACGTGAGTCTCTTCTCTTCATAATGGATGGTGTATTAACGAAAACTGCTAGAATACAACATCCGTCCCGAAATTAGGAAAGCCGCGAAATTCCTACATTGGGATTGAGCGTAAGAAACAGGACCGCTGTAAAACATGGTGTGACCTTGTTGGTAGAAATTGTCTCGAGAATTGCGGTCTGAATATTTTCTGTCTTGCCGGGTGTTTGTTTAATAAGATACCTCAGTGTATTGCTTCTTGTCCGCCGCCTCCTCCTCGCGTAAGTCTTGTCTTCAAAAATTTCAGCCACTTCCATGACTTAATGTAATAATCGCCTTCTAGAATGAGACATCCATGGGTATATCTGAGAAGAAAACAAATTACAGCCCAACACCTACACCAACTCCATCTCCACCATCTAAAGGAGACCGCTGTACTGAGTTATGTGAGCAAGAGGGATTGAAATGTAGCGATTCTTGTGGATGGAATCCGCTCTGTCATTGGAGGTGTTTGTTTAGAACTATGCCTAAGTGTGCGAAAGATTGTATGGCGAGTGTAAGTGCACGTTGTTATGATAGTATATGGAAAGTGATTACTAATGTTACTGTGGTAGAATTCCACTTCTGTGAGTGGCTCTAGCAACATCTTTGAGAAAGCGAAGGATTGTGGGACTAGTCATGTAAGTTATTCTCCTTGTGGTTCAAGAGACGTGCTTGCGGGGTTGAGAAGAACGAGAGAAAGCTGATTGTGTATTCGTAATTTAGCTTGACATGCGATGAGTTCGTATCAAAGAAAGGGAGGATGATGGTTTTGAATATATTGTTGTCAGAATTTCGAAGATGTTTTTTGGATTATACGATAGGCGATTAGAGGGTTCCTGCTACAATGTGGATAACATGGAGGAGACAGAATTGGAGGGTCCAAGCAATCTTATATTAGTAGCCCGGCTCTCCAAGATCACTTGTAGTGGAAATTCAATGATCTATGAGTTTTCCTTTCAAAGAGAAGCTGATCCTTGACGATAAAATAAGTTTGATATCTCGTCAGAAAAATAGTGCAGCCGGAGATATTCCTATGTTCGTGACCGTGTCACGTGCTTTTGCCAGATCTAATTCATTAGGAAGGAACTACTTGTAAGCTACTTGTACACCGAATTCTTTTCGTCCAACTATTCTGAAGAGCTTTCAAAGTCTCAAAATAAAGTCAATCTGCTTTCTCTCGCTACATTTGCTCAGAATTAGAATTGCCCATCATTCTTAGACCATCTCCTACCCAAGTCCCAGGTGTACGATTTGGGGAAGGCCGAAAGTTCGGCGATAACGACCGACAGCCTCGTGGTATCAACCTCATACCTATTGCGACGATCACGGCAGTAGATAATCCACGACCCACGAATCGCATACGCAAATAGAATATGGCAGCTGCCGCTTTTGGATCTAGCAGCAAAGGTGCGTGCAGTTTTCCAGGCGCAAAATTCTCTGCATCGTACTAACCAAAAGCCTCACAATCAGGCAACGCTGAAGACACCCCGACAAAGGTTACATCAAAGAATGGCAAGGAGAAATTAAATGGCCCGATCAAGTTGAAAAAGCCTCCGCCAAAGCATATACGCCCTGGGAACTGGAGAGATGGGAGTGTTGTTGACGGTAGGTGGAGGGGCATTCGTATTGCGACGCGGCCCGCAACATATGCGCTGACGTCCTGTCAATAGACGATAAAAAGAAAGGAACCGATACCCCCTCTACTACGAATTCTGTACCAGCTTCGCCAGGCCCGGTTGTAAATCCATTAGATGAAGATGCGCGAGAAACTTTTGCTACGGGGCGACCGCTTGAAGATAGTCCGGATTTACAATCATGCAAACATTGCAAGAAGAGCTTCCTAACTACCGCGATCAAGGCGCATTTGATACAGTGCTTAGCTGCAAAAAAGGCGAAGGCGCAGAAGAAGAAGGAACAGAAGGAAGCACGCGAGAGAGAAAGAAAAGGACTGGGGGAAGCTCAGAAGGATGGGGATGGGGATACTAAAATGGACGACGACGACGACGACGAGGATGTTGCCCCCGATAAGAAAGGTCCAGAAGGATTAAAAACTGCAAAGAAAAGCGCAGGGAAGAAAGTCGAACTCGACGAGACCAAAAAGGGGAAGAAGCGCAAGGCAGATGGGGATGCTGAAAAGGCACCAAAGCCCAAGAAGAAGAAAGAGGAGCCCAAGTTGAAAGCTCCCAAACCCAAGGGTAATGCACCATTTATTTTATCTGAGACTGAAACTGATTTCTCTTTCTCTAAATTTATTCCTCGATCTATTGTTAAGAAAGCATCTGCTAATCACAAAAAATGTAAAGGTCCAGTTGATGTCGAGAGACAATGCGGAGTTATGAAAGACGGACAGCCATGTGCTAGGTCTCTCACTTGCAAAAGCCATTCCATGGGAGCCAAGCGTGCAGTTCCAGGAAGAAGTCTACCATACGACATGCTACTCACAGCTTACCAGAAGAAAAACCAAGCAAAGCAGCAAAGTACGCCTTCTTTCCCCTATGACTCGAATTATTCATACTAACAAATTTACAGAAGCAGCAATTGATGCCAACGCTCCTCTCGAAGATGAAGAAGCTGCAAATGGGCCTGTTGACGAAGACGAGGAACTTACGGCAGTTGTGGCAGGGCTTTCCAACTGGAATCCCCAACCCGTCGTACCTCCTCTCGTCCACATGCCCATCGAGAAAATCTATATGCGACAGAGATTATATGAACAACTACACAACGCCACTAACGGGTTCACTGTCAATATCTTCAAATGCGGTGACGGTGCGAAGAACCCCAATACTGACACCACCCACGTCGACGGCTTGACCGACGCCGACGGCGAGGTAGATTTAGGCGTAGGCATGGCCAACATCGCTGCACGCCGAGCCAGCGGGTTCAACATGCAGCTGCCACAAAGAAAGATTTCTGGACCAATCAGACCGGTAAATTGAGATTACGGTATACGTGTAAGAGGAGGTGGTAGTGAATAATTTTCATGAGCACATGAGCGAGCATTGATGGGTGTTTGGAGGTTTTTTCTTTTTTCTTTTTGGGTTCTTATGGTGGTTGGGAAAGTTGATTACTATGTGTATAAGCAAGCAGTTGGAGTTGGGGGCAGGCAGGGTATACTACATAGCTACGGCTTTGGGTTTTGGGATTGAGGATTGGGATTGGGAATGAAATTGGTTTGGGAGGCAGAATCGTTTTTCGTTGGACGGCGCGTTTTTCCTTGGGATATGTATTCTAAAGCTGTGGGATTGCCCAGTCGGGAATCCTTACAATGCAAGATTTTCGAGGGTCCCCATTATGAGACATTTTGTTTGGATCGATTGTGTTTTGCCCTTTCGAGTTCTGAGCGAAAGGTAGAGGTGTTCCATTGGAAATATATTCCGAGTACTATGTTTTCTCTCATATCAAAAAGAGACGAAGGGTGCGATAATGTCTACGAAGTGCACGAAGTGTATTTAGTAACTTAACTAATCGCCTGTGGCAGCCTGATATAGGGAGGAGGGTTGTAACTCCTGTTTTGATAATCTAAAATGGGGTGGTACTGTATTACAAAGCTGATACCTCTCAAGGTGGCGTTGTTTTATGTAATTAGTTATTGATATATATTATACATGTGGTCGATTTTGCGGGTGTTACCTTATCTGTGTATTTTGTACTTTCAGGAAGCCGTGGGTGGAGAAAATTATCCACGACTTTGAACACCATGAATAATAGAGCAAAACCTTTTCTCTATGTAAAATATTGCTTTGAAATTTGAGTTGCCTCTGTACTCTATCTGATCTGTATAGTCGTCTATAGCACGTCGATGGAGAATAATTCCGTTAAATCGTATGGTATTACAAAAGGAAATAGAATTAGATAGAAATCCCCAACATACCAGACTCAGCTGTCCCGAATTTCCATAACCAGCCAATCCCTCAAAAGATTAGTAAGATAGGCATTTTAAAAGGTTTCTTGCCAGCCTATAATGACCGTCCTCCCTCAACGTCACTCTCACTCCCTCTCCTAGCTTTTCTCCCCACAGTCGGCAGCAAAACCCATAGCCCCGCCAATCCAATCAAAACAGCCAAGATCACAGGCTGCAAGCTCTCAACCCCCCTCGCTTGCGCAATAGCCCCAACAATAAAAGGGAAAATAGCACCACCACTCCCTCCAAATGCCGCTGCAAACCCTACACTCCCGACATGTAAATGTCGCGGCATCATTTTCGTAACGAGCACCATAGCAGTAGGAAATAAGGGTCCTAGGAAGAAGCCAAGAAATGCTACTGCCACGGCGGAGACGATAAGGACAGGGACGAGCCAGAACATAAGCTCGAGACCAAGGCATATGGCAATATAGAGGAGTATAGATTTGAATTCCCCTAGTTTGGCTGTGAGGAATGATAGAGCGATACGTCCAACGGCCATACCGGCCCAGAATCCACTTGCTGTAGCTCCGGATTGAAAGGATGAAGCGAAACGAATCTTGTTCATGAATACGACGAGCCAGCCACCGAGAGAAACTAGAGTATAGTAAGTCATCTACCACAAGAGATAAAACACAAGGGAAGAATACCTTCTGCTCCTACATATCCGAAAATGAAGAATGCAAACAACCAAGTTAATGGGTTTTTGACGGCTTCTCGTGTTCGTCCGGTTTTGGCATTTTGGTCACTTGGATTTTCGATCTGGTAAATTGCACCGCTCTGTTTCCAGAATGTACTCGCTGAGGTGAGTAATTCAACCGCTGCGCTCGTAATCTACAATTTTCAGTATTCTCCTATACGCCTTTTGATAATAGATCATACCATGAGATAGTAGAAGTAATACCACTCAAGTCCACCTTTTGTGAACATTAGAGTAGCAACGAGAGGCGCAACAGCAGCACCGATCGCATAACAACAATGCAAAAGACCTGTTACCTGATTTGCATCGGCCATATTGGCCAGCCAGGCACTCCAGGCAGCATCAACGAGTCCATTTCCAAAACCTACGAAGATGAATACGATGACGAGGACAGGATACGGTGGATGAAGAGCAAGAACAACGAAGGCGATGAGATGACATAGTGGGCCGATGATGGAAACACCTCGTTGGCCCAGCCAAATGTGAACATGATTGTTTGCAATGGCGGCAAGTGTATAACCGGCGAACGGAGAGAGAAATACCAGAGAGACGACAGTGTAGGTCAGGTTATAATATTTTTCAAGCTACAAGCTATTAGCAATTTTGAGGAGCTGATCGTTGAGGTATGGATTTTACATGAGGTATTAATGCCTGTCCGAAGTGTCAGTTATGATGCAAACATTTCAATTTGACGATAATTACATACTCCATAAGCTCCATCATTCATCCCAACAATAAAAAACGACCAAAACGTCGCTAAACATCTCCACATGTTGATTCTGGGCTGATTCCATCTTTGACATGCTTCAACTGCTGTCGGAGGCGGAACTAATGCTCCTCTGATATCTTCAGTAACATTGATGTACTTCTGAGCAAACGATTGTTTTGGGGTTTGTGGTAATGGTTGAAGTTCAATTCTTGGTACCTCAACGAGGTCAACTTCGGTCTGTATGGTCCTTGTCATAGTAGCCATTTTCTCGTTTCTCCAAATAAAGATCGGGAAATCAGCGGTACTGAACGAATTGCGAAGCCTCGATATTTTGGTATCAAGAAAGTTCCCCACGTTTGACTCCATATACCCCAGTGCGGGGGAATGGTAGCGTGGAAAACGGGTCGGACTAACCCCGGATGACGATCATTATGAGTCGATAGTGTTCTGTTTAGGTGAATGTGGTAAGTTCAATAGGAGTAGTTTACTTGGCGGTATATATTTGAGCCAATGAAATGGGCGCTTTCGAGAAATCAAAGCATCAAAGAATAATCTTACGGAATTGCCTTGATTTTGTGGCCTTCTCTCCTTGGAGCCGAGGGACATTGGTTACAGTAAGCAATATAAAATGAGTCTTCGCCATACTGCTGATGCCATGTATTGCTCCCGAGATCGAGGCTACAAAATTCTGATGAGCAAAAATCAAAGACCGACAATCGTCTTGGACCATGTCCGGAATAAAAAGTAGGAAACAGGTACTCGGGTACAATTGAGTTTTGCCCTCCGCCTTGGCTTCAAAGGTGGGATACAAAAACTCAATTGGATATCGTATCTGCATCAAAAGGCCCATGAGGTACAATACTCCATGAAGAAAGTAGGAACAAACTGTAATTGATTGATTTCATTTCAGTTGCGATTCATATTCGCAATTGAACCCCTCGCTTAAGATCAGAACAATAAAACCTTTCGCGTACTCGAGTACATCTGAGAGACGAAACAAGCATGATTAAACAAGATGATGTGAATGTTTGGAAAGCTGATAGTGGCCTGATGTACGAGTAAAGAGGAAAAGGGAGAAAAAGGCTGACAGCATAGCACTCAGCATGGTCACTGTTGTGATAGAGAACACACACTCGTGTGCATCAATGCAGACCATATATACACTTACAATTTTCATGTCATGATGTCTTCCAGGCTCCAGCCTTCAATAAATCCAAGATCCACCCGGTTCGGCTCATGCCGATTTTGTGGGTACTTGCATCTGGAATTCTCATTGGATGCATTAGAAGTTCTTCAACGTGCGTGGGGCGGTGGGGAAAGATCGCCCCAATGTAAGGGGAACGCGACAGCAGGGCCATGACACTACTACTATGATGAGTTAGCTGCAGCCATAAGTAAGGTTGTCTTTGGAGACAAATCTGGCAGGTGCTTGCAATAATGGACAAGATTCCACTGGAAAGGGAAATCAAGACCATACATCCGGGAAGAACTTTGAGTGAACGTTGAGTGCGGTGAGTCTTTCTTTTCATCTTTCAGCACCTTCCATGCCGCGGAGATTGCTTCAAGATTCGCTCGCTTAAAAATTTAGTTAATTCTTGCCGGCGGGAACTTTTTGATGTTGGTTTTGACTCTCGTGATCGCTTCTACCACACTCTCGCCGCCACACCTCACCTCGACCCGCTTGTTCTTGTTGCGTTATTGTGGCGAGAACTTGGCCCAAATCGATAGTATTAAAGAGCAATCCTGTCTATTTCTAGAGTGTAAGCACCCCCTGGATATATATACGAGTTTTCTTGGTCGAGTTTCGTCGCCAAGGGGGATTGCGGGGAGAGGGGGGCGAGGATCTCTTTTCCTACCCCGCGCCCTTCTCTTGTCAACAGACCTTTTTCCTCCATAATCTTCCCGAAACTCATACAATTGTATCTCCTTGTATTTGTTGCAACTTCAAGTTTTATGTGATTGATGTTTTCCCACCGTTATCCTCACCGCTATGACTGTTACAATTGTGCTCACAACGTAGCCTCATCTTGCTGACCATATGTCGTATGCGTTTGGTCAGTCAAATGGGACTACCACGATTTTCTGTCAACCGGGGCGGTGAGTTAAGTTATTGATAACCGATGATGCAAAATGTAATACTGAACAAGGAACCTCGTGTTAAAACAATTACTAAGTGAAGTACATGAAAGCATCTCGTATTCCTACCTTTTTCTAAGCTCTCGGTCAGACCATTAGAAGTCATGGGCTCAATAATATGCAAGAGTTACCTCCCAAGAGATTTCACACTGAATTTTCAGCCAATAAAAAACTTGTGTTCTCTGCTCTTGTGTCACAAAGAACGCCGGTTAAATCCGTATCTGGTCCGACGTATCTGTTTCGATATCCGGTCTTCAAATTTTCCATTTCGGGTAAAGATATTCAGGTACATTTTCTCGTATTGTCCAAACAAGAAACGTCACTTCGAACAATCATTCGTCTGCGTGTTTCCTCCCTAAGCAGTCAATATTCATCGAGGCCTACTTATGTATCACGCGTTCTCATGAACTATAAATCTGATACTTACCACTTTCATTTTCTTATACAACTTCAATTCAGAAGGTCCAATTTTGAAGATTTCTTGGAAAATTACCCTCACTGAATTATCTTTGCCAAACTCATGATGGTATCCATTCAAATCCTCTCCCTCTTACTCTGGACATTTGGTCTTACGGCCGCTCTGGGGGACAATAAAAGAGATATCATACCCACTGGGCCAGTTTACAAATTGATAGCAAAAGGAAATGATGGAGATACTCGTTTTGATGGTCTTGAACGTATGAATTCCACGAGACTCTTCTACTTGATGCAGTCTTTGACTAATTGGGTTTCCTGTTTCACAGTAACGGCCTACCACTCCTTCGCTGGCCAAGCCGACGCCGTATTCACAAATAAAACCAACTTCGCAGGAGGCTGGCTCAACGACACCACACCACTATTCCATTTCGGAGGGCCCAATGATTGGCAAGCTGGTCTGAACCTGAATTACAGCACCGTTGAAATGTACGATGCTTGGTATGTTCCCTCATTCCATCAATCGCTGTAAGTGTGCTGATTACTCGATACCAAGGATAAAAGTTACTGTTGATCTAAATTATAACGGAGAGGCAGAGACTGCAGCGATCGTAGATGGGAAATTGATCTACAATAAAAGTTTTTCTGTGTCTTGGGTCGAATGGTTAGGTATGAGCCCTCCCTTTCCTCTATTGGGTAGTTCAGGGATTAATGAGAATTAGCATGTGAGTGGGTCAGACTTGTGCCTCAGCTGTTCTATGTGCGCTATGATGCACAAGTGTCCATTCCGAGTAATTGTGCAAGGATCGATCTCATTGTGGAATACCTCGAGTGATCGCCTATTTAAGCGAGAAACAGGAGGGTGAAGTCTGATCCAAGGGTTCTGAAGTAATTACTGACGCCAATTGTTGAAATGAGAGACATGAAATGAGAGACATAGCATATAATTTGTAATAAATCATCAGTCATAAATTCATTGTCATCTAAAAAGAAGTGTACTTAGATAAGATTAAATAAATCCCCTTCGTCCTCCTTCCAATAAACAAGATCCCCGTGCATCCAATTTTCAAAATAACATTGACCCACAAGCTCAAATCCCGCTTTTTGTTCTCTCGGAATTATCGGAACGATAGAACCATGCAATATGCAAATCAAATCATTTTCCTTCATGAGCTCTGGACCTAATCCGAAAAGTCCAACACCACTATAAAACACCCTCTTTTGATAGATGATATGCATACCTCCGATATCATTGAGTTGCTTAGCGATATCCAGGTACTTCTCTGGAACGTTGAATGCGCGATCATCGTTCTGGTAGGCTCGAAGCATACGATTAATAGAATATTCGCGGTCAAAAGGAGATTTGAAAACATTCATATCTTGTGCCGTCAGTACAAGCAGGATTCTCTTATACAAGTCATCTTGATCTCGTTCCAGGGAAAAACGCTTTTCTGGAGTTAAGTTCAAATCTATAGAATTTAGAACTTCATCAATCTTGAAACGCCGATTCAATGGCAGGTGCCCATGGTGTATCACAGATGACACTGCGACTATTTCGCTAAGTCTCTTTCCTCTAACTGGTAGAGACTTTGTTATTGTCATTTTATCGACTGTTCTATGTTGATAGCCACTGCAGGCATCAAACTTTCGTCTCGAACTTAGCAAATTTTCATCAAAAGGATTTCCTTGCGTCATCTCTTTCACTCGCCAATCAACTACCCAGCTCGGCAACGACCCAGGAGAGCTTGTACCTCGAACAAGTCCAAGAATGGACAAGGAGTTAGTCGATTTGACTATTGACTCCGAAATTATCATGTATGCATCATTTACCTCGAGTCCATAATCAGGTACTATCTGGTTCTCATTTGGTTCTTGAAAGGCCAAAAAAGCACAGATTCGATCCCGCGGGTCTGAGGCATCCATCAAAAATGCCAGTTTCAATAAGACGCCCATGAAAATGTTTTTTTTCGAGGCATCATGCTCCATCATTTGGCGACAAATTTAGATTCGCTTAAACGTTTGAAAGCCGAGGGCTTTTATTATTTGTACTTTTTGTGAATATTCGCTGTATTGTTCGTTTCTCCTTCTCTAAGATTTAAAGCAACGGTCACCAAGTTATCCAACACTGCGATGTTAAATGTATCATTTCCAAAAAGCAAGAGAGGTTCTTGTGAAAGGACAACCTCTTGAATGATCCAAGCCCTAGAGAACCAAGACTTGTTCAGAGTGTTTGCTATGCTCCTCATGAATTCTAAGTCACTCGGCCAGTTAGAATCTATGAAACTCGTTAGGTACTTATAGCATGAAAATGTACTATGGACAGTATCTTACCCGATTTAATGGCAATAAATTTCTCGATATCTTCCGGTAGTTCTTGACGAAAAGGACCCTTCGTCATCGGGAGACGTCCATACGCAGTCGTGGTGATGACTTCCAAGAGATTCGCAACGACCAACATGTCGCTATCTGGCTTACCGAGCCAGATAATCGTCCTCCTTGCCTGTGTGTAAACGTCCTTCATCATTGCAACTTGGCTGTTTCTCTCCTGGACATCATTCTGATTGATGCAAACTTGATCTGCCCAAATCGTTCTCACCGAGTGGCCAGGAGGTGCACCTTCAATCAGATTTTCGAAAAGGTCGCAAAAGTTCCTTGTGATGCGCACAACGCCAATATTGCTGATCTGGATGGGACATTTTATGTAGGAGCCCATTGATAGGTCTCAGTGCTTTCATCGTAGGAGGTGGCTTGACCCCAGGTATACGATAGAGCTTCGTACTTCGGATTCTCTTGGAGGTCAACTTCCTCGAGGCTGAACGAGGTAGTTGAGTTGTTCTCAGTCTTCGAGATGTGCAACTGCAGAACTCGTATGGATGTTGAACTGGAGAATGGTGTGTACTGATAGTCTTCCATAGCAACAATCAGATGATCTTGTATTTATCTCAGGATTTATGCTTTTGTGGGGTTAATGGCATCAGTGGAGACTTGTCAATTCTCACTTGGCCACTGTCGTGTCCTGTCAGGCTATCATGTGTTTTCTTGTGTAACGTTGCCCAAGACTGGTACCCACCTAAATAAAAGGTCCCATATCTTTTGTATGTGGAGCCACCAGAAAAACAAGCTTTTGTTTAGGAGGGGGAAGAGTACATTAAGTTTCCTTGTTGGATCTGCTCCCAGTGGACAAGATAAACGGCAGACCTGGCGTAGTTTTTTTGCCTACGCCACACCAACCCAGTCTGGTAAGTCTGCCACTTTTGTCTATCGGGAGGTCTGTAATCAAGTAACACCACCAGACACTGCATGTTCTTTATCCACCAATTAAAAAGGAGCGGTAAATGTGGTGCCAATATCATCGTTTTTCGGGACATTGTCGGTCTCCCGGCTATGTCCGAAGATCAAATCTTTCTATTCTTAGACACGCCCTATCGCAAATACTGGACTTCTAATCTTTAATTTGAACTTGGGAAACGCATCTCTTCACATCTTAGATCTAGGTATGCACAAGCATATCTTGCATGAGTTTCGGTTTTAAACACTTTCAACTAATTACCCTCTCGCAGGCCGCGGCGTATTGTTTACAGGTAGGTGATGTTGGTAGGTTTGCTGCTACTAACGATTTGTATAGAATTGCTAGAGCTTCCGAAGAAAACTTTTCTCTCCCCGTCCTCTTCGATTCTCCTGTTCTTTTGTCTTTGCACACTTCTTTAGCTTTCAGTCACTCATTTGTCATATATACCAACCACATTCGTTTCTAAAACCTTGTAAAGAACCATGCAACTTTTCAATTTCTCTACTGGGACTCTCCTCCTGAGCTTTGCTTTTGCTCTCCAAGCTCTTCCAGTCCAGTAGCCTTTCTCGTCTTAATGAATTACTCTTACACAAACTGACTTGTAAGCAGACCTGAAGCACGAGGAGCACTTGAAGCCCGAGGGGGTCCGGTTCCAATTCCTCCTGCACTCCTGAGATCCATGATGACCCGCCTCGATAAAACCCATCGTGGCCAAAAGAATTGGGAATTATTGAAACATCAGCGCCTGACGGAAATAATAGGCGTAAGAAAACCCCCGATGAAGGACAGAGCAAAGGAGCAGTTCTTCAAACCGTCGACGCTAGACATCCAAAGGTCGCCCAACCATGCTCCTACGACATACGATGCAGTGCTGTCGGGAATGACGACCTTGTCCTCGTCAAAGACGCCAAAATCAAATCAAAAATGGTTCCTGGGTGATACCGATGGTTTGACTTTGAATGGAAGAACGAGATCATGAATGAGCGTATGTGGCGAAGAGGTTGGAGAACATAAACATTACTTATTTATAAGTATGCTATCATGTATAATGATTATTAAGACGCCCAATACGTCTGAAACTGTTGGGATTTTCTGAAGAGGTAATACTTCTCGTGTCTATAATTGTTACGTCGCTAGAAGCATTAGAATAACCCTAGTAGACCAATGGTGTTACAGTAGATAACGTTCTATAAGTATTCCCGGCGGCGTCTAGTTTTACTTAGGCTAAGAATATAGACTAACTAGCTTCGTAAGACTTTAAACTAAGAAGAAATGCCCGTTACAAAGCTATATTACCCTTAGCTTCCCTTTCTTACTAACCTTCCGTACCTCTAGAAACGTATTTATTTATACCTTCTTACGAAAAAAAAGCTATTTTATAATCCATTTCTTTTTAATAAAAGAACCTCTTTTCTCTAAATCTTCGCTAGTCTTCCTACTTTACTATATATATAAGGGATTTAGTTATCTCTAGGATATAACATATTCTACTCTATTAACTATTTATATTCACGCGAGGGAGACTAGCGACTTCGATAGAGACGTTCTATCGGAAGATAAAAAAGGTACTCTTAGAATATAGGATGAAAAGAGGTATATCCCTCAATGCTTAACATTTAAAGAGTAAAGGGAGAGTCTTATAGAATATTCCTAAAAGTAAAAGTAAAGGCCTTTATAATACTAGGTAAGCGTAAGGTAACCTAAACGGGGGGCCAGGTAGTAAAGATAGGGGCCTCGGCTAAGATAAGGGGGAGCGTGCTACCTATACTAGTTATAGATTTTCAAATTTAGATAAATTAAATTTCATAGTATATAATAATAAGACGTAAAGTCCTTGTAAAATAACAAAGTTCCTTGCCCCCTTTCGTACTATACCTAAAAAAAACTAACCCCTTTTTATTACTAATTATCATTAGTTAATCTGACTCGTGGTTTCTACTGCATGGAAGCTGCATACATTGGAACAGGAGCGTATCACAAAGGAGGGGCATATGCTAGGGCTATATAAACTAGGCTCCTACCCATAGTAGCTAGCTCCCTGGTTATCTAAATATAACTCTTCTGGTACCCTAGCCTTCTCTATTCCTAGTAGCACTATTAAACAAGCAAGACAACCTTCCAAAATAGAAAAAGGTGTACAGAAAAGAGAGATGTCTAGTAGATTAAAAATTGAATAACGACACGTATTATTAACATATTAGAAACTCGGGATAAAATTAATCTTTGAAGTTACGCTAGCGCTAATAAATTATAAAGCATTTACTATAGGCTTCACAATGTTCTTCGAGTATTTTACTGAATTAGGGTAATGTAATGATTCGAATAATTATTAGGATAGCGAATTATGGAACAAAGCAGTGGTATTCACGTTCTCTTCTATATTTATTTGAAAGTTTTCAATCCTTCAAAGCTCTAGTAAAACATAACTCATAAAAAGCAAAAAAGAATCTATTATAAATACAAATAAGCATTACCAATATAATACACTATTCTACAAAAGACCTCCCAAACTGCCCCTCTCCCTTCCACCCCCTATCCCCCCTCCAAAAACAAAAAAAACAAGAAACCCCTCTATCCCCCGCATACTCACAGCAAAAAATCACAAAATCACAAACCCTCCTCCCCAATGATAAACTCCCTCATCCCCTGCACACTCTCCGAAATCCCCAGCAACGCACTCTTCAAAATCAAATTATCACTCTCCAACCGACTAAGCCGTCCCTCCAACTCCCTCGCCCGCTGCTCATCCACCGACACCCGTCTCATCGCCCTCCTCTCCTGCCTGCGCTCCATCAACGCCGCCGACGCCGGGGACCGTGACATCGAAACGCGGGCCGTCTGGGGCGTCATGAAGGGTTCTTCCTCCGAGGAATTCGCGGAGGAGGAGGGAGGGGGTGTGTTGTCGTCGTGGGGAGGCGCGGGGGGAGGTTTGAGGGTTGTTCTGGTGGAGGCGGAGGCGGTGGCGGTGGGGAAGTCGGAGAGGGAGATGAGGGGGGAGGGGTGCATGGAGGAGTGGGCGGAGTAGTACTTCTTTTTTGTTAATTGTCTGGGTGTGGTGGGTGGTGCTTCGTCACTTACGAGATCCGTGTCGTTTCCACGGTGGTTTGGGCCGGAGAAGTCGGCTACGAGTTGCTCACACAGGGGGGTGGAGAGTCGTCTTCGACTCGCTTGGGCGGTTCTGCCGGCTGAGATGGTGGTTGCTAGTTCGTCTTCCTCGCCAGCTGAAGATGCCAGGGCGTAGATCCTGGGGGTGCTGGGGCGAAAAGAGTTTTGTTGGTTGTATATCAGCATATCTCTAGCCTTTCGGGCTCTAACCAATTCCTGACGAGAAGCAGCAGGTGGTGCCGTCATGGAGGAGAGTCTGTTAAAGGCTCGCTCCCTTATTGCCTGGATTTCAGATGGAAGAAGCGAGACTGGTCGACTCGAGTCCCGCTGTATCACCATTGATATTCGCTTATTTGCGCCAAAAGGGGTGCCAAAAGTTGAGCTGGAAACCGTTCGTTTCGACTCCTCCTCTTGTACCTGTGAAAGTTCAGGATTCAGGGCCATACTTTGTCGCTGGCTGTCACAGAAAGTTGAAGGTACCATACTCTGTCGTTGACTATTACAAACGGTAGATGCATATAGAGAACCTGGCAGGTCCAGAATATGAAACTCAGGAATCGAATCTCGTGGACCAACGTTATCTTCCGTGTCTTGTCCGTCATTCAGCGATTTGTTTTCCGGTTCCTCAGGAGAATCAGACTGGGGAATGGGAACTTTGTACAAACTGGAATAGCGGGTGGGAACTTTTATGGGCGGTGCACTAGATCCAGCTTGGGCAACTTTAGACTTGCCGCTTTGACGTTGCGCTTCGCCGGATGGAGGTTCACTGTTTGGCACACTACCGTCACCTGAGTTGGCTACAGCTGGAAATATTGAATATCTCGCACTGCGGGGGCGCTCCAATCTCTTGATTTTCGAGCCGGTTGAAAGAGGTCTTCTTGAAGGTGTATCGTTCTCATGACTCATAGATATGCGTTGCTCTCGGTAAAACTCCCTCTCTTCATCGGAGTTTGTTCCTTTCTCAGAAAAGGGACTCGACTTCTCTTCTGTCCTATCTCCAGTGCTAGGGTTATAAGTTGAGATGATCGTATTTCTTTGAGAACCTTCGCTGACTTCGGCTACTGAATTCAGAACCGTGAGATTCATCTTTGCGTTTCTGGAGGCTGTATTTGGTCGAGATCTATGCCCATCTGTTGCGGTTTGTGGGATGCTAATCGAAATATAGCGTGCTCCAGAAGTTGTTGTGGCCTATATACTATTAGTCTTTTACAAGAACTCGCCTGCAACAGCCTCAAAAGGAAGCAATTGTTGATAGGAAGAAAGGGAAAGTGGAATCGAAGGAAAAGAACCGGAATTTCATGTGTGCTCTTACCGCGATAGCCGAGTCTGGCAACATTATAAGTCTATCTTGCTTTTTCTTCTTCTTCTTCTTCTTCTTCTTCTTCTTCCTGCCAAAGATGCTGAGCAGCGCCGACTTCACGGATCGTGATTTCTTCGGCTCTTCATCCGTATCCTCTAGCATGTTATTTGTCGACGGGGGAGGTACATCCTTTAAGAAGTCGGCTAAAGCTCTCATCCCATCCCTTTGGTCATTGAACGCCTTGATATCTTTGAATGTTTGCTCTGAAGGGGTTTCAAAATGCGTTGAAGGCGCTCTAGATATGCTTCCTGGTTTTCGGAGTTCCTCGTGGTATATTGATTGGATTGTAGATGTGCTTCCTCTTCTTCCAGTATTCCCTTGATGAATTGATTGTGCTACTGACGCACTTCCTCGTCTATCCAAATTCTCCTGATTGATTGACTGCGGTCTCGGTGTACTTCCTCGTCTCGCAGCGCTCCATCGACTGAGAAGTCCAGGTTGCGAGGCATCAGTAGCTTTGTTGGTGTTACCTCTACTTCCTCCAGTGGTTTCAATGGAGACGGACTCATGGGGCTCATTGAGCTCTCCCTCAGCGATGGTAGATGTGGTGACGGTGACATCCTGGCGAATCTGAATTGTCTGGACTGAGGTTGCAGATTCTGACCGCGAGGGCTGTGGCCGTTTTAGAGGAGCCATCGGGATATCTGGAAAGTTTATCAGTTAGAGGAATATATTTTGCACGATGGACGCATCGATTGAAGGTGAAGATATCTAAACTTACCAAGATCGTCAAGCGCGCTTCATACTGGAGGAAATAGAAGAGAGTTTCAATGAGAGAAGAATGATAGCGCGCAAATGGTATTTGACAGTTGCGAAAATTGCGCCCCTCCGCTCAGTGGAAATTGAATTCAGCAGCTGAACCAAGATGTTCTCTGCTTCAAGGGAGAGTTATCTACCGCCTTGATGGTGAGATATACGTGAGTGTTGATGACGTCGACAAGTGTTGAGGGGTAGAAAATATCCGGAATCTTCTATGGAATTGGCGAGGTGAGTTTTCCTCAGACTGCTAAGCGACAGATGTTTTACACAGAGCGCTCCAAGGAATGACTCAGCGCTTGCAATATCTGCTTGCTATTCTCTCTTGATGTCTTTTGCTTGTCGTTGTTTGCGAAATTGACGACTTTGTAAACAATAATGATCCTAGATTTGGCACAACCAGCCCCTGGATGATTGAGAAAGAAGGCTGCCAGCGACCCCAGAAAAAAAAGGAAACAAGAATCGTATACGACTCTCAGAGCCAGCAAGAAATTGTGTACAAGGAAAGAAGGTCAAGATATCACAACCTGAATCAGAATACCCTCACCAACAACCCAGCAGAAGGAAAGGATCGTAGCACAATAGGATCGACAAACAAACTCTGAGCATCAAAGAACGTAAGGATACAATCCTCTCAGCCCGTAGAGAATGAGGGGTGCGAAAGAAAGAATACAAAGAAGGTGGTGGTAGAATGTGTCCTATGCATGAAAGAAGGAGAAAGATCCAAAGTGTTTAGGAAAAGAGAAAAGGGAAGAAAAAAAAGGCAAAAGCAATATCTCCCACCACCACACACCACCCAAGTCAAAAACGACGCCTCTTTTCCTTCCTTCTTCAACCCCACCCAATGCTGAAGTCACTTGATTCGTGATGGTGAACGTGAACGTCCAGTCAGGTACGTGCGGAAAGCGTCAGTGCATCAACAGCCCACCAAACATGTGCGAAGTCAACCAAACCCAAACCTGCGGAAGGATAGAAGTACAAAACACTATGCCACAAAAAGTTTGGATCCATGCCACAACCTCAACTTGGCGGAACTTTGCTGGTTCAGTTGGAGGCTAGAAAAGGCTAGAAAAAGCTAGAAGGAATGGGGAATCTCCTGATTCTGAGATCCGCTGCTCAACTGCTGGCAGAGCATCTTCTCCACATGAAGCGTGGCTTTCGTAACTCCGCCTTGATTATCATCACTGGTTACTAAACCTCTCATGTGGAAAGCCAAAAAAGTAGGCATCATGTACGGCACTGTACTGTACAGTATTCCCGCAATCAAAGAATCCCTTGAAATCCCCGAAATCCCGTCACCAGATGCAAACCAATATACATTTGCATCTCATTCCCGACGTGCTTACTGTACACACCACAAACGACAGATAAAATACAATACCATACAGTATTCCCCTCTCGCAACGAAAAAATAACCACACTTCCCAAAAAAGGAGTCAGCATCGAAGATTCAATTCAAGGCTTTCATTCGCCACTAGTGTGAAACACAAGAAAGAGGCTTCTCGAAGGCGTCCACGAGCACAGCACATCGCGATCGATCCCCAACTAGCGCTCGGGGAAAAAAGGAACACTAAAAGGATCTGCAGCTAGGATTAGCACGCGTTGAAGATACTTCGTACATGTACATGTGCCGTGGTAAATCGACTCTTACGCCAATGCTGAAGTATACGGATGCTGGTAGATGGACTCCGGAGCACATACCTACAAAACAGCTTGAACAGTGCGCTCCTACACGCAAAGTCCTTCTTACATAGTACGTAGAAAGTTAGGATAGCCGGTAGCTTCTTATCCCCTCCGCGGTCGATAGAAAAAGTGTCGGGCCCGTGCGTCCCTCCGGAAAAGAGCTATACTTTAAAGATACGTATAGCTTAGGATAGCAGCGCTACAGAAATATCCAAAAAAATACAAATATAAACAGAATTGTCTAAACAGTATTCGATAAAACTTTTAGAGATCCTGAATGAAGCTGTGACGGTTCTGACCGTCACGTGCCATTCATATCACGTGGCTTCCTTAGCGAGCCACATTGTATTTAGACTCAAGCTCTCACGAGCTCTCCTCTTCTCCTCAGCTTAGAATCTTCGAATAGACAGTTCTACGATTCCATAACCTACACCTTGGAGGCTCCTTGAGCAACACATCGTACGTGTCGTCACAGAAGCGTTGTTATAAAATATTACTGAAAGTCTAGGCTACGATTTTATATTTACCTTCGCTTCCGCCACTTATTCTGTCCACCGGGAGCCCCTCAACTGCGGCCGGCACCCCTGGTCTATGCACTATACCAAGAATAGCAAGCGACCTAATGGAACACTAGCTTTAGTAGAAGAATCTACCATGTTTAATAAAAAGTAAGGGAAAAACGGCCTTTCTTTACATGACCAGGTATTATAACCGTTAGAATACATTCACTATATCCAGCTCTGATTACTAGGTAAGTATTACTAGTAGTAGAATAATATCTTACTATACGCTCTATAGTTAGCTCTCTCTAGTTAATAATATAAGCCTTCTACGATATCTATACTTTCCATTCTTCCCTTTATTAATCTATATATTCCACGCCCTAGTTAGTAATACCTAAGTAATTAGTACACTATAGGTTAGCTAATAGTAACTATTATAAATAAAGGTAGTTTTCTATAGTATTCCTACTATTCATTTATTCTTAGTAATTAAAACTACTCTAATATACCTCTTTTTATCTATTCCCTCTTAACTAAGTAATATAATTTAGTACCTAGTATTCTTCTAAATTTAAACCCTACTATAAACCTTTCTACTTCTAAGAATACTCTACCTATATAAATAATAAATCCCTATATTTATACTATTTACTTATTTATATATTTATTTATTCTAAGTATTCCTCTTCTAGACTAGCTATTTATCTATATCTTAAGTATAATACTATACCTTATAAGATCTTATTTCTTAGTTCTTATTTCTTACTATACCTATACCTATACCTACATATATTTAGATTATTATATATAAATATCAAAGTATAAAGATTTAACTTAATAACTCTTTTTATACTATACTATACTATAGTACTCGAGATACCTCGCCTATTACTAATGAATTAAGAAAATAAAATAAAACTAAACTTATAGATAAAAACCTTAGGTATAGAAGTTATACTATACTATCCTAAATATCCTCTTCCGAAATAGCTAGCTATCTATCTATATCTTAGCTATATCTTACTTATAACTTATAAGATCTTATTTCTTATTTCTTATTTCTTACCTATACCTATACCTATACCTATACCTATACCTATACCTATACCTATACCTATACCTATACCTATACCTATACCTATACCTATACCTATACCTATACTTATATACATTTAGATTATTAATTTATTATACTTTCCAACTTTCAAATTCCAACTTGATATCTCTTTTTATACTATACTATACTACACTATAGTACTCGAGATACCTCGCCTATTACTAATTAATCAAGAAACTAAAATAAAATAGAATAGAATAAAATAAAACTTATAGATGAAAATCACACCACATTAAACCAAACCATTAAATGCCATTCATTTACTACCAACCAAGTCATACCGACCAGCATCACAGAACAGAATCGAGAGAAACCAGAAAAAAAGAGGACGCTACCATATGCAAGGTATGTTAAATATGCTACTATACGCACAAAAGAACCCACTCCTTCTAAAATACAATCCCAATCCCAATCCCAATCCCAAATCACTCCACCTCACTCCGATCTTTTCATCTCTTCCTCTTCCTCTTCCTCACTTCCCCACAACAACATGGAAAGCAGAAGAATGGAATATCCATCCTCCCGTCATCAATCCCCTCATCATCAATCCTTTTTAAAAAGAACGCCCTTCTCTAACGCTCTCGTGAAACCCGCAACAAGACCCCCACTATACGTACACATACACCCCAACGCACAACCCACCACTTAACTAGCCTAGCTCCTCTTAGGAGGTTTCCTCTGAATAAACGGATCCGCAGCTGCCTTCTTCCGCGGAACCATACCAGGCGGTCTCGGAGGCGGGCGTGTCATGCCCGGAGCTGCTTTTTTAGCCTCCTGCGCTCGGAGCGCCGCATCGAGGTCAGGAACCTTGGGATTCTTGAGCGGGGCAGCCTATGCCGTTCGTTAGAAAAAAGTAAGAAGGGACGGGAAGGAACCGCCGAGGGGGAAAAAGCGGGGGGGCCCTTTACCTTCTTGTCTATATGAGGTTCCTCATCCTTGAGGGATTCCCTACGTCGTTTGGTTCCGTGGGGGTCCATACTCGAAGACTTCCCAGCCATGGACGGGGGCTTACTCTTGCTGCTGACGCTGGAACTGACGACACTAGAGCTTGAGCTTGTTGATGGCTTATGGGAGTTGCTAAAACTTGGCGCATCTGTCATTTCGATATCATTGTCTTCAATCAACGTGATGGGTGGCATTGATGCTGCTGGAGACGGTGCAGCCGATGGCTGGTTACTATTCGATGGTGTGGGCTTGGTAAGAGGGGTAATTGGCTGTCGAGAGGTAGGCTTGGAGAGTAACTTTAATACATCACCACCCGTGTATTTGTTCCGAGCTTTGGCATCCACGATCAATCGATTCCAGAATTCACCTTGCTGTAATGCTCTCGAGTCTCCGAGAACCCATAAGGAAGATTTTGCTCGTGTGAGACCGACGTTCATACGTCTGATATCCTTCATGAAACCAATACCCCCAGTAGCTTTGGCTCTAACACAAGAAAATATGATAATCTCCCGCTCACGACCTTGGAACGCATCGGTGGTGTTGAACTCAATCTCATCAAAGATTTCAGGTCCGAAATCTCTCTCAAAGCGAATCTTTAACTCGATGAGCTGAGCTTTGTAAGTAGTGATAATACCAATCTTGCCAGTAAAATCGTGATTTCGATAATCTGCCTTTAATCGACGGTAAAGCCGAAGGGCAGCGTTCAATTCCGGCACGTTGATGAAGGAGTGACCTCTCGAATGTGTAGTCTGTACTCCCTCGACGTCAAAAAATCGGTAAGGTCCTAATATCGTGCTTGCATGCCATGGTTGCTGTCGTAATGCAGCCATACCTTCGCCGTCCAGAAGTTTGCTGTTATAAAAGGCTTGACTAGGAAAACTACTGATGTCTGGATGCATACGATATTGTGTATCCAGAAGATGTATATCCTGAGGGTGGTTCTTTTGCATGCGGACAAACAAACTTTGCTCATAACCATAACTCTGAGCAGATCTTGAAAGAACAGTTGGAGGTAGTTGCTCTGGATCTCCTACCAATATACACTTGGAGCAACCATATTTGAGGGGGATCAGCGCGCTCAACTCAATACATTGAGCTGCTTCATCAATGATGACCGTTTCAAACTCGACATTGATATTTCGGAACATGTCATGTCCACTTCCACTAAGTGTAGCGCACACAACGTGGGCCCCATCCAAGATCTCTTGTTGGTAGCGTCGTCGGTTGATTTCATTTTGTCTTGAACTGGTATTCCCATTCTGCTTATCCTCGTCAATTTTGTTGCCAATTTGTGCTTGCTTGCGCTTCAGCTCGTCGAATTGCCGTTGGAGTACAAGTTCTCCCGACTTGTCTCCCTTCTCCCGAGCCTCTGCCATTTGCGGTCGGATTGAGTTGAGCTGCTCTTTGATTGCTCCAGCTTCTTGATGGAGCTTATCTCGGTCTTGAAAGAGCTTGTTTTTCTCCCCATCGTCTCCTTCAAGTTTCTGTCGCACTAACTCGTCCAACATGACATCCTTGACATCTGTATTGATAGCATCGCTTCTTCCAATACGGATGACGTTGATCTTCTGAGGTTTACCGGGTCTCCCATCCAAAGTCCTAGTTACAATCCCTTTTTTGAGACGGACTACCAATTCGTCAACTGCTGCATTACTGGGCGCGCAAATCAGCAGCTTCTTCTTAGGCAGGGCGGATGGCGGGGTAGCAGCAGCTCGGCCGGTTACAGGTGCGGCAGCTCTGGATTGGGCCGCCTTTTGCTCTGACAGGCTCTTCGTCAAAAGAGTTCCGACCATAGCAATGATAGTTTTGGTTTTGCCGGAACCTGGCGGTCCTTGAATTAAGGTGAACCCGTCATTGTCATCGGCAGAAAGAATAGCTTTGGCTTGTCCTGGATTGAGATCGTACGTTGATGAAATCTTGGATATCGAATCACTCGAATATTTTTGTAACGGAGAAGGCTTCGCTTCCAACACCTCGTTACACAGATCATAGTACTCCAAACTGCTCAAAGCAGCAAATTCTCGCTGAGTAGTTGTCATATCAGCAATCTTTGCTGCGTGAATCTTGCTATTCATAGTGAGAGATTGGAGCAGCGTTTGGTTGATTGACCGGCTCACTTGCAGTGTACATTCAATGATATCTTTCTTACGGTTCGTTCGACTTACTCGGGCAAGACAGTGCGGCGCATCCGGGCTATTGATTGGATCCGAACTTTTGGAAAGAAGCACAATGTCTCGCTCAGCAAACTTACGGTCCCGATCCATTGTCATAGGCATCTTGATACTGACTTCCATGAATTTGTCGACAGATGATCGATTCAAGACGGTAATCTCGATGGGCTTGGAGTTGTTTTCTTCCTTGGCGGTGACCAGAGATCGCCATACTTCGGAAATGAGTAAAGGCGTAAAAGTCTTCTTATATAGGTGAAGCTCAATGAAGGAGTCTGCAATCTTTCTGTATTCAGAGCTGGTTGGGGGAGTGTCTCCTGGGTGGAAAATATCCCAATCCAATATTTCAATGTACAGCTTATCCATATTGGGTTCTACTCGAGCGCGAAGATCTTTGGCGGATCTTTGTATTTTTGTCTTACGGACAGGTCCTTGTTGCATCTGTTTGAGGGCGCGCTTCTTGCTCTCTTCATATTCTGAGACCATCTTGGACTTTTGCTTTCGAGTCTTGATGAGGGCACCCGTCTCGTCTTCGTCGTCTTCGTCGTCATCGTCACTCTCTTCCGATGACGAACCAACCATTATTTCATTACGGACTGGAGCATGATCTTTACCGATAACACCACCGAGATCTTTCAGGCCAGAGCCTTCGCCACGAACACCTGCAGGAGCACGGAGAGCCCTAGCCTTTGCTATTGCTGCCTCTTTGTCACGTTGCATCTGCTCCTGGGCCTTCTTTCGCTTTTCCATGAATGCACTATTGTCGGGTGGCTGAGGACGTGCCACAACCTTTTCAGGGCGAGAAATACTACTGCGGCCAAAATCCAACGTCCTCTGTCTGGAAGGCAAAGTTGGTTCGTGGACCTTTCCATCTCCTGATCTTGACCATGAATCAATGGTACTCTGTTTCTTAAACGGCAGTGCTGGTGGCTCAACAATTTCAATACCCTGATGTTCTTCTAAAGCTCGTTGCAACTCTGCTTTTTGTAAATTTGTCAGGTTGGTTTTCTTGAAGTCTTTCTGATTTTCTCGTTTACAGGCTGCTTTGATGAAGTCGGAAGCAAAGGTGTCAATCTCCAGGTTCGATTCTCCCAGGCAACGTAAAAGTTTCCCCAGAAGACTAGTAATTGTGCTGATAAGCCAAGAATCTCGAAGTCTCAACAGCCCTGTCAATCCGTTGACATTCCGACAGACTACTCCCAGAACTCTCTCTTTCGGAGAGCCTGTTTTGGAAGAAGCGTTGTCGTCATCTTCTGAGACGGAATCTGATAGTGCAGAGGCGAAAATATTATAGTGGTCAAAGAGCTGCTCTGCATACTCCATGCCATCGCGGCAGAAGTCTTGCATGTAAGATGTAGGTTTATTGACTCTGGGAGCCCATGATTCGGTTGTAGAAAATGCCATATCCATTAGTCTCCATTGATGGAACCAGTACGTCCATATAGCAGTGCGTTCAGCATCCGTGAATTTGTCGGTTCGTAGTTTTCCTGTACTGCCACAGAGGGCGGTCACAATCTCACGTCCGATCTTGATGGCTTGCGGTACTGGAAAAAAAGTCTTTGCTTTGGTGATTTTGATAACAGCTGACGTGAGTGAGTTTAAAGTTGGAATAAAAAAGTCTCTTAGCAGTACATCTATCGCATCCATCTTGCCCATCTCACCAGTGGCGCTCTTAATCACCTCGACCGTAGCCTCGTAGACGCCATCGTTAGCAGACACGAGAGCTGCAAATAATGGGCGAGCAGTTAATGAGGCCTGGCAAAGCTTTTGCAAATCCGCAGACTCAAAGTCACTCAATCTCTCCAGCACTCTTGAGATGTTGTCCATCAGCTGATTGAAGTCTTTGTTGTACTGGGTGTGGTTTTTGGGCAAATTCAGGTCCTTTTTGTTCGTTGGCATGATCTCGTCGAGTCCAGTTAAACATGATGTGGCAATCAGAATGCTCTTCGCCAATTCTAGATCTCCTGGGCGGAAGATAGCAAGTACTGCCTGCCATACAGATTCGGAATATGTTCTGAGACCTCGTTGAATAGGTGTTCCTTTTTGAAGAGCAAAGAATTCAGCACTCATGGCTTTACAGTCAAGTGCTAGTGCCTCTTTTATCACTAGCATTCCCAATTCCTTCAACTCTGGGCTGTCCTTGTCGTTGATATCTGCACATCCAGTAATTATACCTTTGTATTTGTCGACTAGTCTCATGATATCATTGATGACTAGCAGTGAGGTCGAAGGATTTACCTGGTATTCTGTGTTGGTGAAAGTGCACAGAGTTGCTTTAATTGCCGTCATTCCTGCCCGACAGCAAGTTATCTTGGCACCCTCACTCATCCCATCTTGTCGCTCGAGCAAGTTGAGAAGAAGCGACCGGCAGGCATCGTACTGGTGAACAGCGTCAAGTGAGTTGATAAAATAAGGGATCCATGAGACAGCTGGGTTGTTCTCAAAATCTTCCAGATTCTGCTTGTTGTTGAGCACCTTCCCAAAACCCGGGCTTTGAAATATTTGTTCTGCAACAGTGGCGGGCGATATTGTACCAAGAGCAGACCAAAAGGTCTTGGGCGACTTTTGGAGTAGCTGGGAAAATGCTTCAAGAACGTGTTGTACTATATCCTCAGAATCCTGTGCGAGATGTTGAAGACCGAGATGGTAGATATCAGGTTGCACCTCCATCCCCCGCAAATCATGGGTTATTAAGTCATGATCCATCTTCTCTAGGATCAAGAGAAACCCTTTCCAGAATCGGTTGATATCACCTTTGTCAGCGGCAAATTGTGAGACATTTGTAATCGCCTCGGAAAGTGCATCATGGGCGATCCATTCAAATTGCTTTTTTGTAAGTAGCCCACCATCATGATTCTGCCAAGCGGAATTAGCAAATCGCGAACGTATCGTATCGTTTTGGAAGAGGAAGCGAGTTGAGGCTGGAAGGAGGTCGCCTAATTTGAGGACCTTTCTATGCTGAACCTCGGAGAAGACGTAGTTAAAATTGTGCACAAGAACCTCCTCTGAGGTATGATATTCAACACAACAAAGTGCCTCAAAAAGGGCTAAAAGTGTTGTAGAGTCCTGCTTCCCAAGAAGTGAACTGGACCGTTTTTCTGGCTCTACGGACTCGAAGATTTTCCTGGCTGAACTCAGACCTCTCTCTATCCTCTTGAAGTCGATAACATTGAGTCGGCTAGCAAATAGGGATATCGTTTCGTCGTCAAAATCCCTATGATAATATCTCAGCATCCTGTTCTAACCAACGTGGCTCCACACTTACTCGGATAGTTTCTTGAGGAACGCTTTCCTACTCATATGCCAATTACTGACACACTGATCGCAATGTGACAGTAAACTCCCTAGGCCGTTCACATAAAATGTACGCGACTCTGGCGCTTCGTTCTCATCCAGTCCTAGGATAAGTGATGCTCCAAACGCAACGTCCTCCCTCAACTTCCCATCTGCAATGGCCTTGTGTTTCTCAGCCGCCGTGAAATCGTCCTCGTCTTCGTCAGGATTACTATAATCATGGCTGTCGTCGGGACCCTGCATCGGGCAGAACCAATGTGCTTCGGTAGGAAAGGCTTGGAGCTTACTACGAAATTGAAGGTTAGCAATGGACATGGCAGAATCATGGAAAGTTGAGTTCATACGCTATTCGCTCCTCCAGTTCTTCTCTGGGATCCATGTCGTCCGACATATTCTTGGTCAAACTCCTGCTCGCAGCGAGAGGAATGTCTTGTAATGACGCTTTGCTAGGTTCCTTGCTTCTGTAAAATCGTCCAGGATATCAAAGACCTCGCGGCCAGCATTGGGCATGCGCAAAAGAGGTGAAGTAGTATATGCACGAAGGGGAACTGCGTGAATTCAGAGACAGCTGTGTATTCAATTGGCAATGACAAATATCTGGCACTCAAAAGCTCAAGCAAATGCTAGAATAAGGACGTGATCTCTGCGTTTCGAAGGCATGTACCTGTGGGCTTCCCGCGCAATGAAAGTTGTGCGAAAAGGTGTGGAGGGAAGGAAGGTTTAGCCTTGGAAAGCCGGCAATAGAGATCGTTTGTCCGTGGCTACGTTCGGCATGCGGGCTATATGGAAGGTGGGAAGGAGCTGTCGTCGAGAGAGTTATGGGAAAGGCTGAGAAACAGCTGTTGTACCAGTATGAAAGGTTGATGCTCCAAAGGCTTCGAACTTGGTGTTGTATGTCGTGAAGATAGCGGTTGCCACTTCAAGCAAGTAGCGAGGGTTGGAAGAAGGAAATGAAAGCCTTGTCAGTAGAAAGAGACGCCAGTCAAGAACAAACGATTACTAGGGAGTCATGGTGTACTGCATGCCCAGAATTGATAGGGTTTCCGTTCTTGTCGTGATGAATCTGGGGAATTTCAAGGATTCAAGGGCGTCCTGCACAGCCCATTTCATCGGAGCCTTGCACGCAAGGCTGAGAGACCCCTAGTAATTGAAATTAGAGAAGTTTCGCCGCCGATGTGTATTTTGCTCGAGTAAACAATATTTATTAGTGAGTATATAACAAGGCTCAGAACTTGTAAGAAGCTTTTGTTTACGCTATTCAGTAAAAGACTATCATGGGCAGGATAAGTGTAGAACTTTAAACGTCAAAACTTCACCTTCAGAATCCTTCACGAAAAGGCGACGCTCCAAACGAGTTCATTTTTATGATTGAAATTATTTGCACTCTCATTCTCTATATACAGAAGGGGGCGGTCCCTTCCATAGAGAGACCCGACCCAACCCACCGGCATCTCACTCCCTCCTTTCCTCCTTTCCTCCTTTCCTCCCTTCCGTCCATTCCTTCATCACGCCCTCAAACAGGGTTGGTGAGATTCTAGTGTTTCCATTTCCCCCTTAGTAAAAAAAACAAAGAAGCATAGACGAAGAGTTTTAAAAACAACAACAAAAAAAGAATCCCAATAACAGACCCGACCAGCCTCCAGAAGTTCCGGCTTTATAAAACTCCGTAAGAACGCCGAATGCATGTGCTGCAGAAAAGAGAAAACGACAAAAACGAAAAGCGTAGGTACGGCAACCCCGTCGTCGTATAGATCGCTCGTTGCAGATCATTATGCTAAAAGAGCCTATGTAAGAAGAAACAAAAGGAAAAACAATGTAATGTACAAGTCATCTCGCTAATCAACTTTTTTTCAAAAAAGGCAAGCAACGACGGCAAACATTAAGACTGGCTCATCCTGCTTCGTGTTGGAACGACACCTGACGCGCTTGACTCAAGACGAGTCAGTAAAGCAGCCGAGGTGAAGTCACGACTTGCCTCGAATGATGGTCGACAACGGTCCATCGAGGCTCGCATGCGATCGAACGATGGTCGGGCTCTGTCGATGGATGGGCGAACAGCAGGTGGGGGATTCGAGACTTCAAGTGATTGTCGATGGCGTGTGAAATCGGTTCCATCGCTACCGTTCTGGCTTCGTCCGACATGGGTGGTGGCAGCGGTCGGAGTTACTGAAGGAGGGTAAATGGGTCGTTGATCTTCATCAAGGCTCGGATAATAGGTGTGCTTACTCGTCTTTGGCACATCAGAGGAGCATGATGATGACTCCTTTGGAACGGACTCTTCAGAGGAGAGGACAGGTTCATCCAGATATTTGAATTTTCCTTGTCGAATTTGCTCCCGAATGATGTCGACATCATATGGAAAGTACACCTTTTGTACGGCCTTTACTGTAAATCGAGGAAGAAGAGCAAGGATGACAGACAGAGCTGTCACTGCCCAGAAGGTTGGCTGCCCGAAAATTTCCGCTGCTGCCTTGTAGAAGTATCCCGAGCCGGTGAAGGAGGAATAGACTCCCGTCCAAAACCAGACAAGGAGGATACTGATAATGACAAGTAGCAGCATCAGCCAATCCCATCTGTAAGAGTTTAAGAGAATATAGGTGTTGATAGCAATGATCGTTGCGGGGCCAACGTAGACACCAAACCGTTCTCGGGAAGCGATGTCAAACCCGTTGTGAGTCATGAAGTTGGCAGGACGGAAGAGAAGCCATGCAACGAAGTAGCAGACCACGGATTGATAGAGTCCATCAGCCATGTATAGCCTAAAAATGGGTTAGCATTGATTGCGACAAGCCTGAAGTCATACGTACCAAAACTTCAGCTGTGTCCATTCCTTACGCTCAATTCCTTTCCTGTACAGCTGTGGAACTGCGAGAGACACCTTGTCGCTTACATCTTGGTCCAAAACACCCATGAAGATGATGGGCAGAGATGTAAACGCCAGATTGAACAGTAGAATGTAGGTGTAATCGTAGAGGTAAGTCATATCAAAGTCGCAAAAGATCTGGTACCAGAAAATAGTGAAGGTCCAGATCACGTTCTTGTAAAAGAAATTGGCAATGGTTTCCGCAAGTCTTCGATACGACCAGCGACCATGGACAAGCACAAGTCTTTGCAGGAAGCGAAATTGACCGATGGCGTAGTCAGATGACATGACAGCTTGACGACCTTCCTCTCCGGCAATACCTACCCCAATATCGGCTTCCTGAATCATGGCAACATCGTTGGCTCCATCTCCGATCGATAATGTCATCACATCTAATCCATTCTTGACCATTTGAACCACAGCAGCCTTTTGGGCAGGACTGACACGACAGCACAAGACAGATTTGCACTGCTTGCAGAGTAGCAAGAAGCGTTGTCTTAGTTTTGGGTCCAGCACCAGTTTGAGAGAGTCACCATCGATAACGATGGCGTGTGTTGGTGCTGGGGGGTGGTGACTTTTCCGGGCGAGTTTGAGCTCTTCGTCGGATCCAGTGATTCCAAATATCTGGAGATGTTTATCTAGCTCCGCTTCAGCCGTGGCAACTTGCTCGTCCTCAATCTTAAAGACGATAAGTTCCATGTCGTTGTTAAGAAGATTACATGAGAAACCAATATTGATAGCGGTTTCTACTTTGTCGCCAGTCAAGACCCACAGCTTGATACCCGCTTGCGCGAGAAGAGCAATTGTGTCGGGTACACCTTCTTGTAGACGATCTTCAATGGCCGTACCTCCCAGTAGAGTCAAGTTACGTTCAATCTGGTCGGATACAGCTTCAAGCTTCTCTTCACGGTCCGTGATGGCGGATGCAGCAATTTCGTGCTCCTTGTTCCATTCCTGGTACTCCTCTTCGTCCAGCTCTTTCTGAGCTATGCAAAGTGTGCGAAGACCTTCGCGGGCAAACATTTCAAGATGCTCTGCCGTCGCTCTACGCAATTCTTGTTGCTCACCAGGCCTCAGACGGGAGTAAATTATACTGTCGGCTCCCTTGCAGAAAAGGATGATCTTGTTGTCCGGCATTCTGATGATCGCACTCATACGCTTTCGGGTGGAGTTGAATTCGAGGGTATTAAGAACTTTGTAATCCCTATCTTCGCCTTGGACATTCAATCGAATTCCATCCTCCGAATCTCCAAGAACCGTATAACCGCAATCACGGGCAGTAGAAACCAGAGCAGATTCGTCGGGGGATTGCGCCTTGAACTCAATTCGAGGTGGATCACCTGGTGTGGTTTCGGCTATAACACTGTGGCAAAGAGCGAGGGCGAGCATGAACTGATCATTGGCTTGTTGTTGCTCGGGAGTCGATTCACCAGCCAGGTCAGACACAAAATCAGGGGCAACAAAGGTCAAATCGTCATCGTGAAGATAGGGATTGTTATGGAGTCTTCGGAGATCGCTCAACATCTTGATACGTGCTTGTAAAATTTCCTCCCGAACTCGAGCGCCTTCCGTCTCGACATCAATGCCTAGACGTTTTTGCATGCCGGCCTGGGCTTCCGTATACGCTTCTCCATATGGTATACCATTGACCGTTGCTTTCTTAAACTCCATGACGTTCTGGGTCAAGGTACCGGTTTTGTCGGAGAAGATGTACTCAATTTGTCCCAAGTCATCTGAAATGTTCCAGGATTTAGGCGTACAAGGATAATCAATCGGCTCATAATACATCTCGGTGTCGCTGTAAATGAAAAAGGCCTGTAGCGTTTTAATGATCTCCAGGGTGATGTACAACGAAATAGGAACCAAGTTCTGGAACAAAATCAGGGCAGCCCAAAAAGTAATGAATCCATCCATAGCTGGACTTCCTCCAACGGATCCAAACTCGAAAAAGGCAATGGTATTGTTGCCGGCGCCAAAAGCGATGCCCTCGATCACTCCAGACACCGCACACATGACCACTAGGATGATGAAATTGTAAATGACGTTCCAGTTCAGGTCACGGGCAATGCGAGATCTTTTGGTAGGGGTAATACCAGCATTCATCATAATTTTCGTATCAAATCCAGTAAAGACAACCACACCAAGAATCCAATCAGTATTTCTCAGGTTGCATCCTCTCAAAAGTAGGTTGTTGATTGAAATTGGCTCGGCCATCGATTCCTTGGTGTCATGTTGCGTCCATCGAGCAACCGCACTGTATTGATAGAGATTGGCTTGCGGAGGTTCGCTTTCAATCTGGAATGCCGTTCTCTCACAATCGCGTGCATGTTTGATTTTTCGACCACTACGAAGAGCATGTCGCACTTTCAAATTCGTTTCCCCGTCCAAATTCTTGGTCTCCACGTAGCAAGCTCCATCAGGGTCAGAGGTGGACAAAATAACCACATCTGCGGGAATTTGGTCATCGTTGTAAATTCGAACAAAGTCCCCTACCTGCACGTTCTTCCAGTAATCTTGATGGAACCGAGCCTTGCCGGTTATGGACTTGTCGGGATCAATCAAACTGCCGAAATGTCTTTCGGCAGGACTCTCATCGCCCCCATCGTAGGAGAACGCGGTCTTGGGGCGGTCTGGTTCTGGCACCTCCAAGCCGTCTGCTCGGGGTTGTGGCGAGGGAACTGGAGTCATTTGAATTTCCTCCCTTGCAGAAGCAAAACTCGTTCGGTGAGTGTTTGTTGAAATGGCCGACTGGCGCCTTGGGTCCACCGTCTCCAATGACCCTCGACGTTCGTCCGGCCCTCGATCGTTTGCGTTGTCGCCTGCGGGCTTTTTTCCTGGTAGTTTTTGCCAGATCTTCAACATATAGCGACTGGTTCCCTTCTTGATCCTTCTCCACAGCGAAATATCATCGGCGCTAACATTAACATTGTTCCAATCCACTAATCGGTGGATGGGCGAGTTGTTCAATTCGTTGTCGAGAATCGTCCTTCTGGAATCCTCGATAGCATCTTTTATGGCGGTAATTACAACAATCACTATTAGAGGCACCGCGTTCAGACCTGGGTTTGAAGCTCCAAAAATACTAAAGAACTAGAGATGTTGTCAGCTAAGCTTTCTGTTGGCACAGTTCACCAATCTTACCGCCAGGATAATGAGGAACAAGAAGTAGACGTTCGCGATATTGTGGAATTGATACCATATGTTCTTGGGAACAAAACTCAATGGCGTGTATTTTGCGGTTCTGATCTTGTTCCTCCGATAGTGTTTCAAAGGTAGGCCATCATCATCAACGGCGTCCGGCGGTAGCGGAGTATTGAACAAAATGGTTCGCGGCCCTTGACCATCTCGATCACGGTCTGCATCTTCCTCCGGTGGTTGCTCTGGTTCTTCTGGAATTCCGCCTAGATCCGTTCCCATCGACTCTCCTCCGCCGGAATCCCTCTTCTTCTCGCTGTTGGAACCTCGATTATGCAAGCGATCAATGATTGACGTTCGTTTTCGCGTGCCTGATTTTCCCTTTACCCTCTGCGTAGCCCATCGTAATCTTTTCGTTGGCAAAGGAGCGTCATCTGGCTCTTCCGAGTTGGGCACTAGGAGAGAAGGCGCCATGGCGACCACGGGTCAGCGTCCACTGAGGTTGGGCGAGGCCCTCGCCGGGAGTGCTGAATCGGCCTCCACTTTGTGGACAATGTGAGTGGAATCTCTTTCGTAAAATCCGTCGTCCTGGTCGCGGAGGTCGTCAACACGTTATAATGTCGTTATTATGGTTTTCGTGAAGAGCGAGACCGAGGGATGGGCTCAAAGGAGGTGATCCTAATACTGGGAAATTTCGCGGCTAGGCCAAGGGTGGGTACCGGAAGGCACGGATGGCAGTGTACAGAGGCGGTCACCTTGACTGCCCCGGAACTGCAGGTGTCTTTTAGGTGTACTCGGAATTATTAGATGGTGATGGAATGTTGTAGTGACGACAGCAAGGTTTGGCTGGCAAAGATGGTTTGGGGTGTCGGAGTGGTGAGAGGCAATTCCAACTTTGAATTGAGTGGAAGGGGTGGCAGCCCAGAGTGGCAGCCCAGAGTGGCAGTGGCAGTGGCAGCGTGGTAGAGTTCGGGATGATGGGAACTAGCGCCGACCTGCTTATTCAGAACAATTGCGCAACTTGGAAGGGCAACGCCAATGGAGATGGGGGAACAGAGCGGTATGGTAACGGTTGGTCGCGGTCGCTTGGAAGTGCAATCAATGCCCTGAGCCTAAGGTGGAGGTTGGTTGGCAGAAGCAGAAGAGCATGTGCAATTATGGTGTGTGTAATGAACGTGTTGGTGGTTTGGTGGTGGTGGTGGTAGTAGTAGTGGTGATGGAGGTTGATTAGGGACAAAGGCGTAGAAGGGGAAGGGGAAGGGGAAGGGAAGGGAACGGGTGGTGAACAAAATTGGCGATGGAAGGTTGGTAGCAACGAAGAAGTTTCAGAAGAGTGAGCGTGAAGTGAATCAACCACAGCGAAAGGTCAAGTTGGTTAGGAGGTTGGAAGGATTTCAAGTGCAGCTTCAGGCTCAGGCTTAGGCTCAGAACAGCGCCGTGCAGTCGCAGTGCAGTGCTGACCCAGGGAGACAGGCCAAAAAAACAAAACTGACCAGGTGTTCGGTGGGTGGGTGGAGGAAAGAGCGGAGGCCGAGCAGGGCAGTGCGTCTTGGGAGCTGTCTGGCTGTGGCTGCAGCGTGATGTTGGATTCATCAGCAACACCAACACCTCAGAGAAGCCGACCATCACCACGATTAGCACTTCCAGCAGTCTACGTACAGTGATCAACTACTTACACTACACTACCTACACCAAACTCTACCGAGTACGGACTCTACCACTCTACGGGTCTGCGCACACAGCACAGTGAGACCATCACCTGCATCCCCTCATCCTACCAAGATCACCAACTACAGGGATTTACTCCTGACTACGTGAGCATGAGGCACAACTGCTGAGCAATGGGCAATGTCAACAGCTTATGTCCGGATCTGGCTTATGTCCGCAGCCTAGGGAGTGTAGTATTACCTGGCTGGGAGTGTGGGAAGTAGCTCCTCTAATATTTGAGGAGCGATGTGTGCCGTATACAGTATGAGTGGAAGGCTACTATTGCTGCCACTAGCCAAAGCTGTATGCTGTATAGCAACGGAAATAACTGCTACTATAGCTACTACTAGATCTAATCTGATTCAATCATCTCTCGAACTCTACTTGCACTACTATACCCTCCATCTATTTTGGACCACCATCTCTGGAATTAATCTACTTGCAGCCCCACCATCATCCCCAAATCAGCGTACCCTGAAAATAGCCCTGTAACAGGCACCCAGCCTCGACGGGTCACGGAGGACAAGCTGCAAAACTCACAGCACGGACTCATCGGATCTCACTCGCACAGATGACAGTTATTGGCGACAGTGGCACAACCTCACACTCTGACTGGAAACTCTGCAACTCTTCAAATACTCTTGTTCTCGCCATTACTCAGACTACTGCTCGATGCTTTGTAACACGGAAAAACGAACCGCTTGGGTGGTAGATTTCTATTACCGAGATCAACATTGCGGGGTAATTGGCTCTGGTACCATTCCAGAGCCGTACCAGTACCAGTCACGACGGCAAGATCGTATGGTCATACCTTGAACACCTTTACACCCATTGTTGTTGAGAGGCGATATACTAATCAACCCCAAGAAGGCCGAGAAATCTTGAAGGAAGCTGCTTTACTTTGTACATCCCGAAATAGGTCTTTTGTCTTTCGCTAAAGCTGCCTATTACGACGGGTTGATGCATCATTTCTCCTCCCCTGCCCTATCCAAGACCTCGAGACTTGCCCAGAAAGTCAGCGAGAGGGGCACATGGAAATTAAAACCACCATCGCCCTGCCATATCTGGTCGAAGTGAGTGACGGCACAGCAAATGCATACAACTGCATCCTCGTAATCCACTTAATTCAGAGACAATTTTACCAAGAACTTTGAAAGGAAAGGAAGGTGAACTTCAATGCTTCCATCTATTAAGCATGTATCCGGAAAAATACCATGGTCTCGAACCGCGAACTTCAACCCTCGAACCTCGGATCTGAATAAGACAAGCACACCAAATTCGAGTTGCGTATCCACAATTCCCTCCTCCGGAAAGGCTGGAAAAAGAAATACACTTCGGGACTTTCTCAAAACCGAGTCCCGCGCCCAACGAACACTGCAAGTCAGCAGCGTCTGGGATTTGACAACTTCTCACGCCCGGAAAACACCTGTCATCTCCCTCACTCATCCTACGAGGCGATGGGGATTCTAAAAACATTAACATCGCCGCCAGGAGAAATCTAGAGTCAGCTTTCGTGAGATCATCTACAGAGGACTTATCCTAACTCCAGGTTCCAACATCGAATTTAGCAATCGCTCACATACTACGCTACGCTACGATACGGAGATAACAAAAGGTCACTGGTAAAGACCATACGTAGTTCGTATAACTCCATGTTTCATCCTTCTGCAGGCGAGAAGGATTTCAACAATCCGGAGACTAAAATTACCAGCTACCCGAATTCCCCGTTTGCAGTTCGTACATGGCAAAATTCATAAGTCGACAGACAAGCCATCGTTGGGTTTGTCATCAACGAAAACACACACATCCCCATACTCCCTACCGAAATCCAAGCTCCCAAATTGCACGTATCAAATACAGCATAAGCACATTCGAATAAACATTGAACGTACTCGTAAAAGAAACATGACGTACAGTAGCAAACACCTTCGTATCGCTTCTCGTCTAGCTAATCGGGTTGTTCCTTATCAAAGCTCTATTAAGTAGGTTTCCCTTCCAGCTTCATCCCTCGACGGGCGTGTCTGGTATAGTTCGCCTTATGAGCTTGATAACCTTCGCTTGAGCCTCGAAAAGGTTCAATTTTCCTACTTAACCTTACGCACCCTGACCCTGACGTCGAAGCGGCTGTGAAATTCCAAGGCGGCCTCGTATTTCAGGTACGGGATGGGTTGGCGCATGATTGCGGCGCTTGACTGCAATGGTTGAGTACTGTACAAAGGTACGGTAGATTTACGAAAGAAAGGTTGTACAAAACGTGCGTTTGGATATCATTTGATGGATGTTTCTGGAAAGGTACTTGGTCGGGAGCTCGTCTGCTATTTACTCGTGATCTAGCTTTTTTCTGTTGCGATTTCCTCTGGTATGCGAGATAAGGTTCCAATTGTTCCTGGTGCAGTGGTGGTTCGGCCTAGACTTGCACGAGATCTTTGATTAAAGTACAAGATGATTCGAAGAACTAAACATCTCAACTCGATTTCAGCACCTGGTTCCTAAAAAAGATGGAGGAGGGGATATATAGAGTGGCTGTGAATGTTTGTTTCGTTTGAAAGCCCCAAGGTTGTCATCGTCATTTCTATGACATGGGCGAGGTGGTGAGGTCTAGAGACTTGGCACCCATGACGGTGTAGTGAAAGCCGACCATCTACCCAAGCCAGGCCAGGCTCGTCAGGTACGGTACGGTAGCAGTACGGTACACCCAAACGAAACGAAAAAGCCTCTCCATTCCAACCTCCCTCCAGCCCAGATATCCAGCCCAGGTTACACGCCTATCGTCCACGGAAGACCAGCAACGGGCATGAAATGAATGACGGCGGACCTGCGACTGCGTGATGGGAAACCTCGGCGTTCTGTCGCCAGGAGGAAGTATAGCTGTAAGCCTCAACCCCTCAAATCAAAACAAGAGACGGTCTACCACAAGAGCTCTGCATCGGATGTCTTGGCCCCGCTGGTATCATGGATACTGATCAAGATGCTAGGTGGGCATTCTCGTCGGTCTGATCTCCACGAGCGTGCAGAGTCTCGGCCTCACCCTCCAACGCAAATCCCACATCCTCGAAGACGAGAAGGGGCCCCACGATGTGCGACGACCACCCCATAGACGGAGGCGATGGCAGTTGGGGATGGGAATGTTCATCATCTCGAATCTGGTGGGGAGTACCATACAGATAACCACGCTGCCATTGCCGGTCTTGTCGACATTACAAGCATCCGGACTGGTCTTCAACTCGATATGCGCCACCTTGATTTTGGGCGAGCCGTTTACGAGATGGTCCTTGGGAGGGACGATATTAGTATCGAGCGGGGCAGCGCTGATAGCCATCTTTGGAGCCATACCCGAACCACCGCATACATTGGATCAGTTGTTGGTGTTGCTGGGGCGGAAGACGTTTGTGTTATGGATGATCTTTCAAGCGATTTTGGTTATTGCGATTATCGTCATTGCGGGCTGCTTGTCCAACTTTTCCAATCTACCTGGAAGTCCTCGAATACGACTGTTGAAGGGTTTAGCATATGGATGTATAAGTGGAATCTTGTCTGCGCATTCCTTGTTGGTGGCCAAATCGGCCGTGGAATTACTGGTTCGGACGATCATAGATCATGTCAATCAGTTCAATAGATGGCAATCATGGGCCATACTTATAGGACTTGTCACATTGGCTCTCACCCAGCTCTACTTTCTTCACAAGGGGTTGAAGCTAGTTTCCACGAGCGTATTATACCCGCTCGTCTTTTGCGTTTACAACATTATAGCCATTCTGGATGGCTTGATATACTTTGAGCAAATCGACCGATTACCCGCTCTTCATGCCGGCTTGATAGCATTGGGAACTGCTATTCTGCTCTCCGGCGTCCTCGCCCTATCATGGCGTCTATCAGATGAACAAACACAACCAGCAGTCGCACAAAGCGCTCTAGCACCAGGTCTCGGATTCGTCGAAGACACCGACAACGAGGAATACTCTGACGAAACAACCGCCGACGAAGAAGCAGCAATAGGCACCCAACACCGCGCTCTCCTAAGCGAAGAACCCATGACCCCCACCACAAAACTAGACACCGTCCTAGGAGCCACGCGTCACGTCCGTAAAACCGTCCGCCTCACCGAAGCCGACGAGATCTGGGGCGAGCTCCAAGACGACGACACCAAACCCAACTCTCCCGCTCCCCGACGCTCCTCCTCCAATCTTCTCCCTCCCCCCAAGAGACCAGGGCTCACCCAACCCGATCCAGAGCCGAATGAACAAACGAGTCTATTGAGGAGCACCTCGAATCGTAAACGTAGGAGACACAGTGGCTTCCCGGGGTTCACCGCGAGACCGCAGTCGAGGGGCTTGAGGAGACGGGTCACCTCCCAACCTCAGGAGGCGACGGGGGGGTTTTGGAAGATGAAGTGGTGGAGGAGGGGGGGTGAGGGACCTCCTGATCCGGGGGGTTCGGGGATGGGGACGGGTGAGGGGTCTTCGAGGAGGGGGGATGGTGGAGATGGTGGGGGGAATGGGAATGGAAATGGATATGGATTTGGGAATGTGGTATAGAATGAACGTACTTCTTTTTTTTTCAGTGAGAATAAATATTATTTTTGTTCGTTCGTTTGGTTGCTTGGTGTCTTGCTGTCTTACTTTCTTAATTGGTTGATTGCTCGCTTGATTGATTATTTACTTACCTACTTTCTCTCTACTCGAGTATACTATTTCATTTGGCTTCTCCTTTGGTTTTCATTCATATTTTTCTATATATCTGTGTATTTACTTTTTTGGTTGATTAACTGATTGATTATTTACTTACTTTCTCTCTATACTATTTCCTTTGTTCCTCTTATCTATCTTTTTATCTTTTTCTATTTATCTATTTATCTAGATGTTTATTTTTTTAATTACTCTCTTAATTAATTACTTACTAATATCCTCGTCCTCTCTACACTTTTTCATTTAGCTTTTAGTTTTCTTTTATTCTGATTTTGTGATTGATAGTATGGGGATAGGTATCTAGCGGTGAAGTTGATGAGTTAGTTGATGTTTATTATGGTTGTTGTTTTGGGGGGGGGNGGGGGGGTATATTATTTGAACTTATATTCACATTCAACTTACACTTGTATTTACACGCACACTTATCCTCACACTTGTATCTTTCGATTGCGGGTATGCGTTGTTTAAATGAAGGATGGATGGATGGATATATAGACATGATTTCTGGAATTGGAGTTTGGGGTTGGGGTTGGGGTTAGGTGGGAATATATGGAGGGTGATAGGGCAGGGGAAGGGGAAGGGAGCAGAAGGAGAAGGAGAAGGAGTTTGTTGAGGTAGATAGGAAGTTAGGTCTTGTAATATATAGATGATAAAGAGGGAATTCTTTTTTTTACTTTTTTACAATGATTCTTTGATTCTTTGATTCTTTGAATCTTTGATTCTTTGGTTCTTTAGTTCGACGATTCTTTATTTTAGGAGGGAGAGATGAAATGAAGTGAAACAAAGATGTTATATACAAATACTCTTTTTACCTTGTTCTCTCTATGTGTCTGTTTGGTTTACTACGATAGAGAAGGACTTGGAAGTTTAAGGACTTGGAAGTTTAAGGACTTGGAAGTTTAAGGACTTGGAAGTTTTAGAAAACTAGAGAGTCATAGTATAAGGATTATTATTACCAAGTATCAAAGACAAAATAGGAGAATGTTAGAATAAGCTGTGAAAAGTGGGATAAGAAGGGAAGAGGTAGCTAGGGGAGTAGGGAGTAGGGAGTTTGGAGTTTTTATAAGACGACCTTAAGCGAGTAGAAAGCTCTAGAATGCTAGGTAAGCGAGATAGTGGGGTAGGTAGTAATTGTAGGCGTATAAGAGTCTCAGCTAAGGCTAAGGCTAAGGCTAAGGCTAATCGACATGTCGTAACAATTGCCCGCACAAAAAAGAGAAAGACGACGTCCTCATCGTTATAAGAGGAGTGGACTCTTTATGAGTACTAATCTAATATCCGATATATAAGTCTTAATAAGTGTTCAGACCAGTCCCTATCCATGTACCGATGTCCATGCATAAGTATCCAAACTAAATCAAAAGTAAAGTAATATATCCCATCCCAACCAAACAAACCAAAACAAAAAAAAAGATCCCTTCTATATCCCATATCCCATCCTCCTTACCTCCTTCCCACCCAACACCTCAAAAACCCCTCCCGCCCCCCTCCCAGGACCCAGCTCAAAATCACTTCCTCCCAGCTCAAAGCGGTGAAACCGTGAAACCATGAAAATAAATAAACCCTCTTCCCTCCAAATCTCGCACCTTATAACTATAAGGCGAAATACATATTTGCTTCGCGTAAGAGAAAGGGGGTTAATTCGTAATTCCTACTATTACTAAGAAAAAGGGTTCGTACTTTACTTATTATCTAGGTACTTCGAAACAGAGAAGTGTCGAGAGGGAGGAAGAAGAAGAAGAAGAGCATTGGTTAGGTTAGGTGTTGTACGTCAAGGCGAGGGGAGTGGAAGGTAAGGTTCTAGACTTATATACTTCGCAGGTGAAAGTCGTATAGCGTACTATACGTGGTGCGTAGTCCGGTATCGGGTCCTACTACGCTAGCTATACTACCTTAACTTAACTTTTTTTTTTTTCCCCTTTGTGGAGCTCGCGGATTGGAGTGGTTTTTTACTCGGATCTGTTCGACAACTTTAATCCTACGAATAACTTCCTCGTATCGAGTTTTTGATTCTAGCTCCTACGTCTGAACGTCCTAGATCTTCTAGATCTTATCTTATCTCATTATTATTATAATATTAGTTATTCGTATTATATATCGGCTCTCTTCTCTTATAACTCATATAAGTAAATCTTAAGTAGCATATTAAATCGAGTAATAGAAATATCTACTAGCTCGGTTAAACGGTCTTTATAAGTATAGAAAAGAATCGATTTAAAGGGCTTACTTACCTAAGAGATTATAATAATAGAACAAGAAAGTATAATTCTTAAGTTCTTTAGCGAAGTTAATACCTAGACGAAGAGCTTAATAAGTAGAGAGCTTAATAACTTCAGCGAGAGTAGTTAGTTAAGATACTATATATAAAAGAAAATATTCTCGACTACCTTTTCTTAGAACTAGGTATATAATAACTAGAATTAATTTTATTCAAAAAAACCCCTACTTTCTTCCCTAACCCTAACCCTAAACCTAACCCTAGTACTACTACTTATTAGGAATAAAATAGGATACTATAGAATAAGCTATAAAAAGTACTATAAAATAGCCTAAAAGGCTAGCTAGAGGCGAGTAAGGCTTTAATATAAGAGCTTTCCTATACTATAGTTATATAAAGCCTTTCTATATAAAACTAGCTTGTTCCGGAATAAGAACAAGATTATAAGATAAGTATAACCTATATAGATCTATTTATATTAAAGGTATAGGGTGTTTTATTATTATATAAGAGTTATAAGTATACTAAAATATAAAATATAAATAATAAAGGGGGGTAAACCCCAGCGTTCCGTGAGATTTATAAAAGTTATATTCTAATTACTGTAATGTATTAAAATACTCGTACTTAATCCCCTCGTAGAGTAATCATAAGAGTAATCACAAGAGCCATCACAAGAGCAACCACAAGATCAAGCAACTACAACCAAAATTACAAATATCCAAGCAAGCTCCCACCCCTCAAAAGTCAATATTATCACAAAGTCCTAAGAGAGAAGAAAAAGGGACTAGGATGCTACACGATCCAGGGTATAAGGGTAGCACGTGGGTAGATAGAGTAAAGTGAAAAATTGAAGTATTAGTAGAAAGAAGTAGACAAACACTATAAGACGTAAACATTCCAATCAATTAGTCAAATCGGTCAATAAAGGCATTCAACCTCAACAAAGCAAAGATCACAATTCACCTATTATAAGTAGAAGTGGAAGTTTAAGGTGAATAACCCTCACCCTCTTACAGCCTACCATCCATCCATCCATCCATCCATCCATCCATCCAACCATCCATTCATCCATCCACAGAAGAACCCCCTACACTTCATCTAACATTCTTGGGAGAGAAAAAATGTGTTCAGTAAATCGGAGAAAATTTGTCATTTGTGTGTGTGAATGCCACCAGGGAGAGCAATTGTTTGAACCCCCCAAACCATATCTGGCCACCAGGAGCTACTGTACAAGAGGTATCCCCCCTCCTCAAAAGAGAGAGGGAAGGAAGAGAGGGAGGGGAAAAAACGAACAACAGTGACATCCGCCACACCAACCCCCAACCACCATTCATCATGAAAATGAGCAACCACTAAACACCCCCCCGAAAGGAAAAAAGGTACCATAAAAAAAAGAGACACGAGAAAATTGGTAATCCTCCCGCAAGGTATTTTTCAATGCTGTTGACCCCTCAAGATGATGAAATTTCTGGAGAAAAAAAAGCAAGCAAGCAATTAGCCACCGCGCCAGATCCTCCCCTGATACCCCCCCGTCGTACTCGTATTTCGCTTCATGATGTTCATCAAGAGATGACATCTTTTCTGGAGAATTATTCCGAATTATGCACTCCCCGTAGCTTTCTCCTGAATTTTTTTCAAGTAGAGATCAAAAACAAAGTCTGTTCACGCGACCAAATGAAAAGATAGGAAACTCCATATTCGTAACAAGACACCTAAACACCGTATCTGAGAAAATAAAAAAGGTCAACGTGAGGATCGAGACCCGCAAGACACGAACGATAACAACCGTTGTATTATGTGTCGGGTATAAGTGTTCAGAGACCGACTCAATCCTCTTTTGCAAATTGGGACCACCGATGCGCTGATTTGATTGAATTATGCTTGGTGTGTATGCTGTTGTGGCATGCCGGAGTTGGGTGGCATAGGATAACCACTTCGTTGCTGCTGTTGGACATAGTTCTGATATGCAATTGCGTTGGCATTTTGTTCTTGAATAGACTGTGCCAAGTAGTTGGGGTGCATTTGTGTGTTTTGTTGTGGAATGCCAGCCCGAGGCTGTTGCATAGGAATATGTTGCGGGGTCGTATCTTCGGGCGACTCGACAGTGTTTTGGTCATCCACGCCGTTCTCCCCGTTGCCTGCGGGTTCGGGAGCGTTTAAGCAAGCCTGATAGGGTTAGTCGACGAACAATGGTTGGCGGCGCAAACGGTACGTACTTGAATTAAATTCTTGCCCTCGGCTTTGGTAACCAAAGGCTGGAGCTTTGGTGTTGTGAATGTATACACTAACCCGGTCTCTGAAACCACTAGAAGAAGGACTTGAGTACCGGTAAGGACGGATAATTCGTAAGCCTGACAGATTCGAATTAGTACGATGGGTGATGGGTAATGGCAGATGGCGTTCGTCGCAATGTCCATGTGCTCATGCGCTGACGCGTGAAATGGGGGGTTTATTGGTACCTACCTTCTTCATGATTCCGGCTTTGCGCTTCGAGAAGGTTATGTGCCTACGCGACTTGTCGGTGATGAACTTGATCTCAATCTTCCGTCGCTCGCGTCCCGGCTTGTCATCATCATCGTCGTCGTCATCTGCAGCGGCAGGTCGCTGGCGCTTGATACCGCGGGATTCTCCGCCTGCAATTGAGTTCCCATTACCGACGGCATGTTCATCGAGATTCGAAGGCGACCCTTGGTCGTGTTGGTCTGTGATGTCGGTCATGATGGATTAGATTGCTCGAGGTATGACGAGAATAACTCTTTCGAGTTGTTTGCCGACGGCCTTACTGCTTATGGGGAGTGGAGGCTGTTGTCCTGCTATGTCGCGGAAACCTGGTCGCGAAGAGCTGGATTAAGGTTGGCGTGGTGGGAGGAAGCGAGTGAAATCGGAAAGTGCGCCTGGGAAGGGTATGCGACGCGCGAACGAAGTGCTGGGCTGTGGGTGGCACTGATGAGTGGTCTGGGGAGTAGACAAGCGGGAGTGCGAGTAGAGGAGTCTGGAGAAACGGCGGGTTCAGTTGGACTGTGTGTTCTGAGCCTGAGCCTGAGCCTGTGCCTGAGCCTGTGCCTGAGCCTGTGTCCGACCGGTCGGCCGTAAAGGGGAGAGGCCGTACGATTTTGTGGGAGGGGAGGGGAGGGTAGTGGAGTGGAGTGGAGAGCGTGGGAGGAGCCGGGTATTGGGCGGGTGGTAGGTGAGTGGTGGGTGAGTGAGCGAGTGTTGGGCGAGAGACTCAGAGAGAGCAGTGGGCACAGGGCAGTGATAGGCGGGAGGTTATTCCTGGTGTCGGTCGGTCGGGGGGTGTTTATGTGGTCGGGGGTTATGTGGGATGAATGGGGGGATTGTCGATGCGCGATGCGGGAACCTGAATAGCTGAATTGGGGATTAATGATTGATCAGGAAAGGTGTGTACGGTATGTACGGAAGTACTATGTACTCGTACTGGACAATAGTGAATGGCAGCGGGACGATGTTCTGGAGAGGGGAAGAATTAGAAGGGGACTCGTAGCACCGTCGCACTAGAAGAGCGGTGGGTAGTCGGAGTTGGGAAGGTGGTGCAGCGAGTGCGAATGCGTGCAGGCAGTGATGAGTGGGTGAGTGGGTGAGTGGTGCAGTGCAGGAAATAGCGGAGGTTGGCGTGGGCGATGGGCGATGGGTGATGGATGGGCAAAGAGCCCTGGGCGATGAAAGCTTGAGGGAGCGAGGCAGAAGCTTGGGTGGGGGGGAGCGGGTGGAGAAAGAGTAAAGGCCTGGGAAGGCACAGCACAGCACAGCGGGCGAACTGTGGACACCGACGCACCACCCACCACCCAAAAGGTCCAGCGCCGGGAAGGAGCGATGCAGGGGACCAGCGTGGAAACCCCCCCAACCCCCCAGGCTCCCATCTGCCTGCTGGGACTCTCGGGGAATCGGAGTCGAGGTTCGCGGTGGTTCGTCAGTGGTTCATCGCAGAGCAGAGTGTCGGAAAGTGACAGCCACCGCCTGGAAAGACCGGCCAAAGCAGCGGAGTGTCAAGAAGACGCTGAATCGTGCGTGCCACGCTAGCCACCACTCTGCAGAGCTTTCCACTGCAGAACNGACAGCCACCGCCTGGAAAGACCGGCCAAAGCAGCGGAGTGTCAAGAAGACGCTGAATCGTGCGTGCCACGCTAGCCACCACTCTGCAGAGCTTTCCACTGCAGAACCCCTCGATGCGGCCATTGGAACCTCAACCCTCCCACCACCTCTCCCTCTACAAGTACCTCGGCCACTATCCGCGTATTGGGAGCAGCAAATACGGCGTGCAGCGACCGTTGTACTTTGAAGTACGTGCTGAGACTGGGTGGTTCTCAGGCATGCGAGATGGCTTGAGGAGGTGCATGCTCATCCGCCTCCCGCGCGGCCGTCGTTCTGCTGTGTGCAGCAAATCCGACGAATGTCTGGCTGTGAGGGTCCTCGGCCTTGCTGTTTTCAGTCACAAACGCCTCCCTGCTGCAGGAATGTGTGCAACGGCGAGAGTCGGCAACTTTCAACCCCAGCCAACAGGTCCATGGCCCATGGACGTGCAGACATCAGACGAAGGGCAGAGAGGTCCAGACGTCCAGGCCGAGGAAAGGTGGAAACAGGTGGAAAAGGAGGGGCCACCTCTGCATTCCTAAAATAGGGGGCAATGCTGGGCTGGTTCATCTCTGCCATCCATCCAGTATCCACCCTTATCTGACGGCGATACGATACCTGCCCTACCGTCGCGCGAGTCCCATTACGGCAACTCCAGACATCAACTCGATGACCGTGGACGCAGCTTTGCATCAGTCAACGCGTTCAAGAGACGAGATATCGAGTTGCATCGTGAGAAGACGACGACGATGGCACATAAGCAGCGAGAATCGGAGTCACTCTCGAAGATCATGGTCCAGCTCTCCGCCTCGGCATCCCTGAGTGCTGCCATTTTACCTCGACCAAGTCTTGGACACAACTTTGGCCCAGAAAGGTTTGGTGTAAGACTGGCAATGGTTCCATGCGCCGGGAGCAGCGTCAATCATTGTCAATGACACTCCTGGCGCATGCATTTGCCTGCAGTCGCGGTCGCAATGCAAGAGGGGTCGTCATGATGATGGCCATGATCCGTCGGGATGCGATTCGATGCGATGCGACTTGGAATGAGGGTGTTGATGGTGGGATATACTCAAACTCTTAATCCAAAAAAAGGGAACAGCCACGTACCTCCACAAAATGACCACGAATTAACTGGCCTGTGCAAGGGGAAAGTGCAGTCGTTGTGTCGTCACTTTCACTCCTCCTCGATCAATTCTGTTTCTGCCTTTGGCCTTTTTCGTGGGTGCTTTTTTTCGGGTTTGCCTTTCTCGTCTTGGTGCAGGGATGGTGTGGCCGAAGTTGCGTGGTTTCCGTGTGTTGGGAATCAATGCAAAGTCTCTTTGTGGACAAGTTCGAGGGAGGGCTCACTTCTTATGGTTGAAGTGGTTTAGCGCCATTCGCTTAGTGGGTCTAGGAGGAATGTTGATCCGATATCAGGTGATCATTCGTTCTACTCCGAGCCCGTAAGTAGCCAGGCCCAGGATCCAAGCGTGCTGACAGAACAATAGTCGGGATTTGCAGTCAACGCCGTCCTCCTGCAGGTGAATCTACAAAGTAGCAGACGGACGTAGTACTCTGCTAGGCAGTGATCCTTGAGGTGACATTGCACCTCTGATGACTAGTACATGAACCTGTTTTGTACTCATTTTAGTCTATTCGACCTTCGTATCGATACGAGTATTCTAATCACTTCATACGTTATTTCTATAAAGAGATAACAAATAGAGGGGAACCTGGCGAGGACCGCGAGGTGAGCCTGGTGAGCAAAACCGCCACAAGTGGACGCTAAGGCTTAGACTCTTACCCGACAACTCCGATTAAGGCCGATGAAGAACATCCAGTCGGGTCGCAGGTTATAAGTCACGGGTCATAAGTCACGGGTCTCATGAATGACTCTACCTATATCTCACCTCAGCAGAAATTGCTTCATCTATGTATGAAGTAGATTGCAAAGTCGGGGTACTCCATATTATGGGAAAAACAAGCATTAACCAGACCGTTAGCAAATAATCTAAGTTCTAACTAGTAAAGGTATCTCCGTATCCTTCAAAATTACACTTGCTAAAGCTGGAAGTTAAGCCTCTAAGATCAACAATGTGGGGAAATATACGAAGTACAGTCAGATTGTGGGTAGAGTGTTAATTGTCTATTTACCGAGTTACCCCCTCGTAAAGGACAAACCTCGCTAGCTTATTCCAAGCTATTTCTTTACACTACAGTACTATATATACTATAGTACTTACACACTGATAGTAGTGGTGCCTGTACTTGTACCTCTAAGTCTAACCCCCAATTCCAATGTTTGACGTTGTTCGTATACAGCCCCAGAACGTCAACTCAAAATTGACTTCCCAAACTACGTACTTGGTTCGCGCCTCGATTTGCGGCTCAAGGCACTATTTCATCTAATCGAAAACACACCTACGGTTTCTGTAAGCGCCAACTTAAACGCCTCAGGGGTTCTCAGGGGTCACGAGATGTGGTGAGATCCTGGACCGAAAGGCAGCTTATATTATCTAAATCGTTCTTTAATATTATATCATCATTCTCAAGATCCAAAACAACACTGAATTCAAATCTGAATTCTTAAAATGATCTCCATCATCACCAAAAATGCATCGAACCATAGAGGACCGTGCCACCGTAGTAGTAGCGGGACCAAACCACTGCCACAGATTTCCACACAAACGTGAGGCAAAATCCAAAACAGCACCCGTCTGAGCTCACCACCAACCGCAGCCCATCCCCACCCCTCACGCGCCTACGAACTTGGCCCATCGTGCACCAGACACCGGTCGGTCGCAAGTGCTTTCTTCGCTCACTTTCGCTCTCTCGCTCACTCTGACTCTCACACTCCCTACCACCATATTGTTGTTGCTGTGCTGTGCATTAGTTGTGTGTTTTTGTTGTTTCCTCGTCCTCGATCCATTATTTTAATTTACCCCAAACCAATCTTTTATTCTTCCACTCCCTTGTTCCTTTCCACCGTGAGAGGGATACTCGTTTTCAGGCGCCGGTCGTCAATTGGAGACTTTTTGTCGTCGAGAGGAGCACAGGACATTCAATAGCAACACCATATGAACGCGATAGAAAGAAGGGGGATATACTGATTCCAAGATGGGGCGCGATAACATTCTCTTGACCTATGTCGGTATCGACATGTTGTTCGTGGCTACCGGAGCGCTGTTAATTATCTTCGCCCTGGAAACGCAAGCCGAGTCTGCGAAAGAGTTTACAAAAGATACTGTCGTGCGGGATTTACTATTAGGAATGTGTCCGCTGAATGGTATGTTGAACCTCTGCCCCCTATCATCTACCCCTACCACTCTTTTAAACTTATACGCGGACATACTAACATGAGCATGTAAAAAGCCGCCATAGCAAACGCCGTCCTAGTCTTCATCACCTTCCTCATCTCCATCCCCGCGATCGTCATCCCCAGCACACGAGGCTGGCTCAAACTCCACGGCTACCTCACCGTCATCTGCGCCCTCTTCACCCTGAACATCGGGTTAAGCATCTGGTTCGAGACCCTGCGGACGCGCAAGAACCTTTCCGAGATCTGGATCCACCAACCACCACAAACCCAATCATTACTCCAACAAACTGTTCGTCTTCCTTCCCCCTTCCCCTTCCCCTCTTCAGAAAATCTTTCTCTCTCTCTCTATATATATACTAACACAAACCCAGCTCCAATGCTGCGGCTACGCAAACAGCACCTCCCCCCCCTTCGTCCAAGACAGCTTCTGCACCTCGGCCACCAAAGCCGCCGGCGAACTCGGCTGCGTAACCCCCTTCTCCAAGGAAGCCAACAACTTCCTCGATCTCGTCTTCACGGGCGCCTTTGGAATCGTTGGGATCGACGTCGTGCTCGTTATTACTACTGCCATCTTATTGAAGGACCGTAAGGAGAAGGAACGCTATCGGTTTATTGATGAGAAGAATGGGGCGGGTGCTTTTTAGCCCTTTTTAAGGGATTGGGGTTTATGAACTTAGCCTCTTGGACTTTTTTTGAGATGGGATGGAAGAGGGAAGGGTTGAAGGCTTGACATGAGGGACTTGATACCTGGCTATTTTGGGGGATCTAAAAATTTCCTTCCGCTTTTTTTTTCACTCGCTTTTTTTTCTTATCACTCTTTACACATACACATCATAAGAAAGAAAGTTGGTCAATGCTCGATGCTTGATCTCTCTCTTTCTTTTTCTGTCGCTCTGCTCTGCTCTGGGTAGGAGGGCGGGCATACTTTTGATAGTGCCGGGTGTTTTTTACTTTTTACTTGTTTTTATTTTTTTTATGAATGAAATATTTGCTGGATTTGAGTTTTTTGTGGCTTTGAATTTTTTGAGGTGTTTGTGTTTTGAGATGGTGAGGGGTGGTGGATGGATGAGAGAGTGAAGTGGAGTGAATACTTTTTGGAGGTTGGGGTTTGGGGTGGAGGGGGTTGGAGGTGAAGGGGTGTGTATGATTAGGATTTGGATTTGATTTGATTACGAGTACTTTGAGATGGTGAGATGGAGTGTATAAGTGTATAAGCGAAGCCCCAAATGGTGGGGATTCAAACAGGGCGTTGTAACTGTATTAACTGTATTAACTGTATTACCTGTATTCGTAGCCGTATCGTATTATAGACTGTCTCTTTCTTTCTTTCTTTCATCATCCAAACATTCCTCACACCACCTATCTATCTAACCTTTCCTTGATTTACTTTACTTTACTTTATTCACGTATACGCACGGAGTAGATAACGTGATTTTTACTAACATCCAACTATTTAGGTATTATTTCTGTTGGTATAACTTGGTGGGATAATAATGGTAGGTACGAAATGGTAACCAAAGTAGGACGACAAAGGACAAGTTAACAAAGGGTACAAAAGTAGTAAGTAGTAGGTGATTGATTGTTTGTGTGTTGGTTCCGTAGGATCCAGGCGTATATATAGCCCTGAATATCACTTGCATGAACACGTGAATATATCGTGACAATTTTCTTTCTTGGTTGTGGTGTTTATTGTGCTTATACTTTGAGAGTGTGGGGCAGATGTGTTGCTATGTTGTTGTTTTGATGGGTGGATGGGTGGGTGGGTGGATGGTTGGATTTTGTGTGTTGGGTGAGGGAGTGAGGGAGTGAGGGAGTTGAGAAGTTGAGAAGTTGAGAATGGATGGAAGAGAATAGAGGATGGGGAATGGGGGTTCTGATAGAGAATGTAAGATACCAGTAAGGAGTACGCTAGGTCGGTATAGACCATATTCCACTCCCCAAAGATCTAAGTATAAAGCCCTAGAATTTCGAATCCTAGAGTATATATGATATTCACAATATCTCGAGCAATAAGAAGAGCTTAAACGCTAGTAAATTAACGTATAGTAGTAAATAAATAAGTGAGTAGAAGTAAGTCGGTTATTTCAGTTATCTACTATATCGTTTGTCAGGCTTATATACTACTCAATAGAACACGTATAATACGTACCTTGTTGTATTTATGATGGTTTCTTCATAGGTATGAGTTAACACGTCTATATAGATATATAGTTACTCGCTTATATTACATAGAGAGTTAGAGTATCCCGTTTATAGGGTTTGGGGATATGAAATGGGGTTGTTAGTACTATTATAGACTATAGCCTCTAGTAGTATAGTTAAATGGACCGCAATGAGGGATATTGGATCTTAAAATTCTTTAAGGAGGATATGGAATCTAGAATTGTCGAGGAATTCAATAGAATAGAACGGGGTATTCTATATTTTGGGGAGCTAGTAGAGGATCTAGAATAGAATGGAATGGATTAAGTTACTGGATGTTGTTACGTTTAATGCTTGAGATTCTTGCTTGTAATATTTTTGGTATCGTCTCAGTATTTAGGGTTATGTTATTCATTTTCCGCGTGGAAATGAGTTAAGTCAAGTTAAGTTAAGTAGTACCACCTCCTTCACTCAACTCAAAGTAGTTACTAGACCTACTCATCTCAACTCACCAAGTACTCGAATAACCCATGAGTGAGTTATTCAAGTATTACGGGATAGCCCGGCCTAAGTCCCTATAGCGCGGCCGTACTCTTGTTAGACGGTCCGCCTATAATAGTGGGACTTAGCCGAGTGCGCTTGTATCACGTACAAGATAACGGGACCGTAAGTAGGCGAGGCGGGCGAGGCAGGATAGCTTGTTAATTCCTACGATAGCTTTGTATAAATTGTAAGACTTACACTCTGATTAGCTTAGAAAGCTATGTTATAGGGTTATACCCCTACTACAACACTTTGTTTTAGCCTTTAGGGGGGTGGCGACGCGAGCTGTCCGGTCACTTTAATTACTTTATATTTAAGTTGCGTTTTATATAATTACTTGGGTATTATTCGAGTAGTTGAAACTACTACCTAACTCAACTTGACTTAATATAGAGTGACTCTGAGCAGCACTCGAGTTGTTGTGTAGTTTGTTCCCAAGTTCCTCGTATTCCACATGTGTATTAGGTTCTTAGGTAGGAATGTATTTCTTTGTCTTCCTTCTCGCAGAAAGGAAGAAAGATTGAGGCAATGAGGAGCTAATAAGATATTGTAGTTCTTCGAGCCTGGAACTCTTATTCACCACATCTCATCCGACATTCATTACTTGAACCAGTTCAATTCATTCCCAAAAAACATTAAAATCTAATAATAAAACATTAGAGAAAGCAACACCCCAAGAAAATACTTTTCCATCCCAAACATCACGCCCACTTCCCAAGCAAAGCCATAACCCCACACCCCAAAAACACACTCCCAACCATAAACGCCAACCTCCTCCTCCCCCTCGTCAACTCAGGATTAAACAAAAAATCCCTCGCCAACAACTCCACCAAACCCGTATAGATCAAAATCCCCGCCGAGATCGCATCCAGCACGCCCGACACGACGTTCGCGGTAAACGAACCAGCATTGTAGGTTGTTCGAAGCCCGAGACCGATTGCAATAGCAATGGGCGTTGTGAGGCCGTAGCAGGAGCAGAGGACCCAAGGTAGCCAGGAGAGTCGCGCTGGGAAGGGGATGGCGGACATGCGGGCGCCGATTCCAAGGCCTTCGAAGGATTGGTGGAAGACGAGGACGGGGTAGAGGGTGCTGAATTCGGGGCCGGTTGTGCCTAGGTTCTTGGGGTGTGTCAGAGGGTTTTTTTGGTTGGTGGTGATGGGAAGAGATGAGGGGGGTTAGGCGAGGTGGTGTTAGGGGGGAGAAGCGAGGAGGATGGGAAGAGTGGGACTTACGAGACCGATGATCACGCTGTGGAAGATGACGCCGAATTCGAGGATGAGGAATGCTGCGATTTGCTGACGGAAAGAACGCTCTGTGAGATCGTCCATTGAAGGAGTGATAGTGTTCTTCTCGCTATCGTTGTCTTTATGGTTACGGTCCTTGGCCTGTTGAACGGAATTGATGGAATGCTGGAGGTGCATTTGGTCATCCTGATCGCCGGAATGAAGTTGTTGATGGCTGATGGCTGCTTGTCCAGGTGTTGCAGTAATGAGTTGCTCGACATCAGGGCTATGAGCATATCCATACTTCATGTTTACATATTGCTCAGCGAAAAAGTCCATCAGGAAGATGGACATGATGGAAGTGAGAACGATTGCTGGACACCATGAGTAATCCGCCCAATGACCTGTCATACCAACACAAGATGCCGGTCCGATTTTCTCATAAGCGGGATCTAAAAGACTACTTGAGTTAGAAAGAAAGCTTGATGGAAGATGAGAGAACATACTGGATGAAAGCAGTTGCTATGATAACCCCAGCCCCAAAGTACCGGGCGAAGAGGTAAACATATTTGTTCATCTTGAACCACTTCACACGCGAAGCTACCACGGGGAAGAAAGTGAAAAAGGAAGAGACGAAGAAGATTACGAAGATCGCTGAGATGCGAGCCCCGATGTGTCCGTCATATTCGTTCTCTCCTGCGTTCATGGCACAGATGATCTCGCGTGGGTCAGCGGTGCTCAAATTGACCCTGTTTGGGTCAAAATCGGAGGAGGACATTTTGTCCTGGGGAAGTCTCAAAGAGACCAGTCTGTTCCTTTTGGAAGTCTGACTTGAAGGTTGAAGAAAAAGCAAAGATGTAAGTGGCTAACAAGAAGAGAAATTAGAGAAAGGAACAATGGAATTGTTAAAGGTGCCGACAGGAAGGCGTGGGAGGGAGAAAGAAGAATTAGGTGCGATCAGCTAGTCATTTTGTATCTTCATATCCTCGCCAAATCCATGTTTACTACCACTAAACCACTCTAGCGGAAGTCTCTCCTATCCATCAAGGTATATGGCTGATTAGCCACGAAAACTCCTCGGACATGACGACCCAGAGCAGGCGAATCGCACGCAATATGAGTGGAGGATCTGGCGGTGGGTGAGTTACGGCAAAGTTAGCGGAGCCGATTTGAGGACCTGGATGGGTAGCAAGATGACGCTAACAGATGTAAAGCATGAACCATTCACTTTGACGGAAAAAGCATGATTACGATGAGAAAATTCTTATTTGCCTGTGTACAAGGCTTGATTCAACTTCTTCTCATACATTTGGCGGATTGCGTTGGAAGGCGCAATCTGTTTCATGACCCATTGTGCTTCGGAGGGTCGTTACACTGCATTGAGATAGCCCCCCTTTCACAACCCCAATCTTCGTTTACCGGGAATTTCAACCATGTGCTGCGTCAACCGCCCAACTCCACGACGACGGTACCAGGAAAGTCATTACCTAACGACATACGGTTCCTCCCGCTCTACTCATCGGTACCCAATACCCCGAGAATAGTTGCTGCCGAAAGCAGGCCCACGCTACAAATCCCGAATACATTTTCTCGGTGCTGCCGCCCTAGCCGCGACTTCATGAGCTTAACAATTTCTGCTTAAGGATTAGAGAAAAGCTTACCTTCTCTGTTTGAGACAAGACCAATCACAACGAATAAATTCAGTGGGATTCTCAAGACACTGGAGACCCTGGCACGAATATGATCTTCGATGATCCGCTCTCTTAGATGAGCCACGCTGGGGAAGTAGATCCCACAGCATACCTCGAAAATGCAGAAGCACCAGAATGTCACGGCTTCGTTGTGATATAGGGTAGGAATGATGAAGCAGATGCTCGCGATAATTAGAGTGAGTGCAAGCAATTTGGAGGTTGTGACCACCCAACGGCTTCTGGGAAGCCTGGAGTATTAGATGAAGAATTGAGACCCCAGTATCATGGAACACATCATGGCGGCGAAGATGATGCCAAATGACATGGTGTCACCCCAGCCACCTTCCTCGTGCGCGAATTCTAGAGCTGGGAATTGGAGAAAGATCCAGAGATACATTGACCCTTCAAAGAAAGTCATTACTAGGCAGAGGCACCAGAGGCGTTTGTCTGGGAAATGTTAGTACTGTACATCACCAACTAAATGTGCTCTCGGTTACTCGCCATACACGAGCTGAGCGAATGTCTTTTTATCAGACATATTCCCCTCAGGTTTCTCGGTCTCCGTTGGCTCTCCAAAGTTTTCAGACTAGAATGTTAGGGATTACTGGAGATCCAAGGGGTGTCACTCACCCACTTTCTCAACATCAGATCGAAGCCAACAACCAGGAAGAACACCGCACACATAAAAGGTGCCGTTTTAGTCTGCGTAAACTCCGTGGCTTCCTGTACAATGACTCCAGCTAATATCGCGACCACACCATTAATCATTGTCATCATCCCAAAAACATCTTTCAAAGAGCCCACCTCTTCTAATTTTCTTTTGTGGAATTCCGATACCATCCAACTTTCAAAAAGTGTTGCCATCATGGTATTCGCAACACCACCAAGCATTCGACCAGCGAAAAGCACAGGAACCGACTTGGACAACACAGTGAAACAAGAAAGAGAGTAAACCGCACAGAAACCAAGAGATGCCCATCGTCGGCCATATCTATCAGCCAACGCTCCCGCAAAAATGGCCGAGATAGCGGCTGCTAAGAAACTTGCGATGAAGAGCAGGGTAATAGTTTCTTCCGAGAGCCCTTTCTCATCCTTATACAACGTATAGATATAAGGATTCTACATCATCAGTTCTGTCTACGACATCGAGACATCCAAGAACGTACCTGGATTCAATCTGAACCAAGGACAAGGACATACACGGGAAAGAAGGTCTTTTTGAAATTCCACAGCTCCCCCGAGGACGTTGGTGACCGTCCTCCTTCGACGTCAGGTCGTCGTCCCACGTGCTTTTGCTGGAGGTAAACTACCCCCACCACAATCACCACCAAGATATAAAAGTTATACTCATAAAAAGACATACTTGGTATCATATCCGTATAGTAATATCCCATAATTCGCGCAGCTGAGGCAGGGGAGACTCGCAGCAAGGGATGGGATGGAAAAAAAAACAAAGCATTCCAGCCTCGACATCTCGCTAAAACCCCTGCATGGTGGGATGAATTGCTTTTGATTGGTTCGCTATTTCAGGTGAACAGCTCAATCAATATCTGTGCATGGAATCCCCCTTTTTCCATTCGTGACGAAAATTAAAGCATTGGCTTCCCGGCATTTCCCAGACGCAATATTCAGGGCTCCATCAAGACATCGTGAAGCAGAAAAAGGAGGGAGATAATTAAATAAAAACAGGTCCTTGGGGCTGGAACGCCACGAAATTCGCCAGAGGGGTGAGACATATACACTGCGTAAAGCAAGTGTGTGTTTCTTTTGCTTCCCTTATACGGATCGCAACAGGAACAGAAAAATGTAATCAATCCGAACGACTTCGTACACATCCTCAACACATCACTCAACCGATGCCCCAACCTCGCACTCCAAAAATATGGCCCCCTCAACATCCTCCCTCCTCCTCACCCTTTACATCTCCTGCGAAACCGTCCGCGCAAACTACGCCTACCACGCCTTCCACACCTATCCCCAAATCTCCGCCTCCCTGATCAACCTCCTCTCGGAAACCCTCAAGTTCCTCCTCGCCCTCTTCTTCATCCTCAAAGCCAACGCAGGATTCACACTCCCGGGATTCAAAAAATGCCTCCTTGCACTGCGCGAGGGGGAAACGCTCGATTTCAGAAGGATCCTCAAGTATGCACTCCCAGCGGGATTGTACCTGGCGAATAACCTCATTTACTACACCGTCCTGCCCAAGACGAGCCCGAGCTTGCTGCAGGTTTGTGTGCTGATGAAGTTACCCACCACGGGCGTGCTGCATCATTACGTGATTAAACCGCAGCGGAACCCTTATGCATGGACCAGTTTGGGATGTCTATGTGTTGGACTGGTGGTGTTCAATGTTCCCTCGTCGTCGTCTTTGAAAGGGGGGAAGGGGGATAGGAGTGGGAGTGCGACGCCGTCGTGGATTCTGGCTCCGGTGGCGGGCTTTGCTATTGCGTGTTTGTCTGCTATGGCTAGTATCGCGACCGAGACGTCGACGAAGATGGGCGAGTTCTGGGAGAGTCAGATGTATTTGTATACCTGGGGAGTGTTATTCTCTATCATTGCTTTGCCTCTTGCGCCGTCTGGGAAATCCTTTTCCGAGGCAGGAAGTACGGCTTTCGAGTTCGTGGCTACGGTCCTGGGACTTGTAGTCATTACTTCCGGAACGGGAATCGTCGTCGCGGTGGTTTTGAGAGCGAGAGATAATATTCTGAAGTTGATTGGGACGGCGAGTAGTCTTATTACCATCGCTGCTAGTCAGTTCATCCTGCTCCCGCAGTTGAGAGCTGAGACTTTCACGCCTTGGAGGGTCTGTGGAGGGGGGATTGTGACGGTGGCGACGTGGTGTTATAATCATTATAGTCAGGAGGCTTGGAAGGAGGGTTCTCCTATGCGAGCTTCTGATGTTGAGAATGAGGGGTTGTTGGATGCGGAGGGGTTGGAGAAGGAGGGCGGAGAGAGCAGTGAGGAGGTTGTGAAGGATGATGGGGGGGAAGAGAAGGTTCTATTGTTGAGGCCTACGGCTGGGAAGATTATTTGTTGTGCTTTGGTGGTTGCACTTGCTACTTTTGAGGTTGCCTTGAGGACTTGAGATTGTTAAGAGTATTGGATATAGACGGGTCTGGGCTTTGAAAATTAGATCTCTTAGGAGGAATGCTTTCCAATTACTATGAAAACTTTTATCACAGAAAGTCCTTACATCACATGCACAGTAAGTATCATCCTGCATGTGCTCGCGTAATCAATCCCAGTCGGTTGCAACGTCAACTCCAAACAATTCTATCAATCTATTCCACACTTTTTTAATTAGCGCGACAACGTCAAACTATAGACAGATATAGCCGCGAGCCTAAATGCAACATATCTCCGCATAAAAACCAACCATATGGCATATTTACAAGATCCATACAAAAAGAACGCCATATCCAAATATATAATCGCCACCACACACACAAGTAAACCAAATAGCCGATCTACTTTTCTCCCATTCAATCAAGGATCATACAAAGCCATAGACGGACAAGGCACACCCCCCTGCTCATGAACCTGATCCCAAAACTCCCACCCCTTCGGCGTATCCATGCCATTACTCCTCGAGATCTTCTGCTCATACTCCTCCCGACTCTTCACCGTATAATGATGCAGTCCAATGCGACCCCTCGTCGGATTGCGGCCGGGAAGCGTGATCTCGTAGCCATGCTCATCCACCGTCTTGGTGCCGCCCCCGAGATGGATTTGATGGACGCCGTTGGTGCCGTTGTGTAATTCCGTCTTGCCGATGGCTTTGACGTTGTAGTTGTGGGTCTTGGATCCGTCGTCGTGGATGCAGTCTGTGAAGGCTTTTCGTGCGGATTCGGGGCGGTGGAGGAGCCCGTTGGAGGAGCCCGTTGGAGGTGTGTGTCATCCAGCTTACTGCTAGGGCTCCGATGGTGCGGTTCTTCTCTAGGCGTTTGAGGAGTTCGACGAGGGATTCTTCGGCGGTCATTCTATGGTGTTCTAGTCAGTATGTGGCATCTTTGGGAGTATCCAAAGGGAAAAAGTGGAAGTCCAGGGCACTTGATATATTGAGGTATCTCAAGACTGAAATCTTGTCCATGCAGGAGTTCTATGATTTGAAAGGATTAGAAACTCACTCAAGCATCTCGTCGGCGTCTAGGAACCCCATCCAAGTGTGGTTATTGCGGTATTTCTCAATACATTTGTTGTAAAGCATCTCCTGCATAATCGGAATGTGCTGGGCTCGGCTGTAGTAGTTGAAAGTGATATGCTCCTTCGGAATCCCCCAATCCTCGTAAGTGCTCAGAGGAGGCTCGCTGCCATCAGCCATAAAATAGAAGCGTCGAATTCCCAGGTGATGAAAGTGATGAATGACCACCTCTTTCAGATCCAGATACTGATCTCTGACCGACATGCAAACCGCCACGTATTCGTCGTCTGTCTGTTTGGGGTACATTGCTGGATTCCCCTTGTCTTCGGCATCGTGAGTGTTGATGATGGATGCCCCGCCAAAAAACCATAAAATAAGAGTTGATGTGAGACATTGGGTGGTCCTTTTTTGGGCACAGGGGGGCTGAAAGTTTAAAGGGCAGCAAGATTAACCCCTGAACTCAGCTTGGCGATTTCATACACCAGATACGGGTCTCCAAAAGCCAGTCTCAGCCACATCATCTATTGCCCAAAAGGAATATATCGAAAAAAAAAGAAAATGAAAAGAATGTCAGTAGTATTCGAGACTCCGTTATCTCATTCTCAGATTCCCATAGTCCTCCGTTAATGTTTGCATCGTGAAATCTTCAATCTTTTGAGCTGTCTGTTGCTGTATAAACATGCGCCCCTCGAGCCTCGGAAGCATCCAATTGCGGAAATGTATTCTACCCACTCTGTGGCTGCTGCTCATTATCTGGTTCTTCAAAACCATCTTATCGCGATCATAGCAGGGGCGTTCCAAGTTCTCCTTCAGCACATCGAACTCCTCCTTCTCGAGGCACACTCTAAACGATTTCTATACCTCCCTCACACACACCACCCCCAAAGCGGATCCCCAGGTCAAAGACGAGCTGTTGACAGTCAATGTGAGCACTAGCAACAAAGCCGCGGTGATTGTGGAAACGAGACGATCCGGGGGAATCGTGCCTTTGGTACTGCACTTCAGTGCGGTGCTTGGGCCAGATTGGCCGGTCATAATTTATACTTCCTCCGAGAACTTTGGGAGCTTCAGTACCTCCGCTGCTTTACTTCGATACCAACGAGCTGGTCGAGTGGTTGTCAGGCCGCTGGCAGAGGGTGTATATTTCCCGAGTTGGGACTCGGTGTCTGACTTTTTGACGACGCCCTGGTTGTGGAGAGATTTGGCACCGGCGGAACATATTCTTATCTTCCAGACGGACAGTGTGCTTTGTGCGAACTCGGTGCGGAAAGTTGATGATTTCCTCGAGTATGATATCATAGGGGCGCCTATTTTTCCCAAATTCGGGGTCGGATTCAATGGCGGATTGAGTCTGAGGAAAAGGAGTACGACATTGAGAGTGCTAGATGAGTGGGAATGGGCAGCGAATCCAAAACCACATCCAGAAGACCAATGGTACTTTGCTAGGTGAGCGCCAATTATCTCGCGAGTGTTCGGCTAATTAACCGATTTCAGAATGCAAGATTTGAAGGAGAGAGAGGTTGATCTTGGCATTGAGGATGGCATAAGTCTGCCATCAGTAGAGATTGCTAGAACCTTTGCTGTGGAAACCATCGATTACCCTCATCCACTAGGACTACAGTGAGTGCTTGTGATACCTATCTGGATGTACTTTTTAACTCTTTGAAATCTAGTCAGCCAACGAGGTTTTCGTCGGAGCATATGATGAGTCTGGACGAGTGGTGCCCAGAATATCGTCTTGCAACGACTGATCATATTTCATAACGTGATGAATGAACGAATGTCACCTTGTTTCTATATTACTCCATGAATAGATGATGAACATAACATAAAATTTGAAACTTCTTTCGCCAGAGTGAATTAGATTGTCGTTCGTAACTTCAAAAGTACAGTACGCGAGAAAAGACTATAGTAAGCTCGATTTTACGCTTGAAGTGAAAGAGGAGTGGTCTTTTAACGGGAGAGGAAGAATTCTATTCGTCTGTACAGACTCAAATCACGTCCATGGATAGGTGGGGGGGTTGAGATACGCGAGAAATGACCCGATTGTATCGAGACGTTTGAGACAGCTATCTCCATGAACGTGAATACCGAGTTCCACTGAACGACCAAGTGGAAACTCGTAGCAGAATCCTCTAGTGAAGCAAGAAAGAGCAATAAACTAGACGATTCATTCTTAGCTAGCCTAAGTATACAAGCTAAACGATACAAGATACCATTTTGGAAGGCCTTGCACAAAAGCGCAAACCCTAGAATCCATATTTTCGTTCTTTATTTCTTCTTGTATTCTGCTGGACCGACCATCAGTTCTGGTCTGACCAACTCATCAAAGTCATTTTCGCTCAATGACTTGAGTTCCATAGCTGACTCTTTCAAGGTAGAGCCCTTCTTGTGTGCGTTCTTTGCAACTTTGCTGGCTTCGTCATATCCAATCTTGGAGTTTAGGCAGGTAACCAACATGAGTCTGCAGAAGTTAGTTGTTTGAAATTCGTGCTCGGTAGGCGGTAGACTTACGATTCTTTCAGAATACTCTTAATATTTTCCTCATTTGCCTGTAATCCAACAACCAAGTTCTTTTCAAAACTCTTCATGCTGTCAGTAAGAATGCGGACACTGTGCAGCAAGTTTCTAATCATGAGGGGCTTGAAGACGTTCAACTCGAATTGACCGTTCATGCCACCGATTGTTGTTGCGGAACAGTTACCCATTACTTGAGCGCAAACCATTGTAAGAGCCTCGCACTGCGTAGGATTGACTTTACCAGGCATGATACTGCTTCCTGGTTCGTTCTCGGGCAATGCTAACTCGCCCAAACCACATCTTGGTCCGGATCCAAGATATCTAATATCTTGAGCGATCTTGAATAGAGAAGATGCAAGAGTGTTGAGAGAGCCGGAAGCCTGGACGATTGCGTCGTGTGCGGCAAGAGCCTCAAACTTGTTTGGTGCGGTTGTGAACCGAGTACCGGTCATCTTGGTCACCTCCTCAGCAATGGCCTCGGCAAATCCTTTGAAAGTGTTGATTCCGGTTCCTACAGCAGTACCACCTTGGGCAAGCAGACGGAGATCAGGGAGGGAGGATTCAACACGTTGAATTCCGTAGTCAAGTTGGGCCACATATCCAGAGAATTCCTGAGCAAGGGTAAGCGGGGTAGCATCTTGAAGATGTGTTCGTCCAATCTTGATGATCTTCTTTGCCTCAAACTCATCAACCTTGGCTTGGAGAGCTTCCCGGAGAGACTTGATGGCAGGAGCAAGCTCGTTCTCGATCTCAAGGACCGCGGCAATGTGCATAACTGTAGGGAAAGTATCATTGGAAGAAGCGCTCATGTTGACATGGTCATTTGGATGGACTGGCTTCTTGCTGCCCATTGTTCCCCCTAGCATCTCAATTGCGCGATTGGAGATAACTTCGTTGGCGTTCATGTTTGATTGTGTTCCGGAACCCGTCTGCCAGACAACCAATGGGAAGTGATCAATCAATTTAAGAGAGGCAACTTCAGCAGCCGCATCTTGAATAGCTTTACCAATCTTTGCGTCTGTCGAATCGTAAGTTTAGGAGTATGATTGTATAGTAGAAGGCGTACCAAGTCCAAATTTCATGTTAACCGTGGCCGCAGCACCCTTCAAGATCCCGAAAGCCCGTACAATTGGAGGAGGCATACGATCTTGGGGCTGGTTGATCTTGAAGTTCTCCAAAGACCGCTCGGTTTGTGCTCCCCAGTATCTGTCCGATTTCACCTGCACTGGCCCGAAGGCATCTGTCTCAGTTCTCGTAGCTGCCATGTTGTATGCGGTTGCGTGGAAGCTTCGGCTAGTATAGCGGGGTTGGAGGGGTGATTTCGAGAAGCTCAAGGTACTTCTGGCTGTGGTGAATCTCGGAGAGAGGGCGGAATTGGAAGCTGCTCTAGTCGTGATCGTTGCTTTGGCAGATGCGGAACTCAGAGATCTGAGGGAAGCTGGTGATGGCCTCGATCGTGCCGTCCACGCCGACGCAGAGGCAGCTGACAATGACTTCGACATGCGACCACCTGCGCCTGCCTTTGCACAAGAAGCCGAGCCTCGGAACATGATCGCGGCTTAAGAAATTGATTGGATAGGCGGAAGAGAAATGCCGTACGGCCAATTGAGTAATGATAGCGTCTCCTCGGCGACCTGAGCGTGAGTATGGGTCTGGCGGGGTGTTTTTGGATATGCGAACAGGTTGGCGGAAGTTCAGAATGGGATCGTGAACTGGAAGTGAAGTGGCAGAGGAAGCTGAAGCTACAGTATCCAAAAAATTGGAACTGAAAGCTCACCCACACACACCCACACCTAATGGGTCCGGCAGCACCCCGGAGAAAGCCGGGTGGTCCTGCTGCTTATCCGCTTATCCGTGACGAAGCCAAGAAGAAACTGGCGGGTATACCGTACTCTCGCGTACTGTACACCTGCGGAGTACGAGTATAGGGAAGCATCATTGGTTACAGTAGCCAGCTAAAATTGATGGTGAATAGAGTAGCTGTCACTGTTCTTCACTCTCATCTAGGGCTTTCCCTCATCTTGAGAAGGGATGAACTCAAGGTAAGATTCGCTTCAGAAACGTCAGATGCTAGTTTGCGCCATGCCAGGAACCACCATTCCATAATCAGCTAGTTTTTACACTACACCTAGAGTACGTAGGCTGAGATACTTGCCAATTCCAAAAATATCTGTCGAAGATTTAACAAGATCAAACATTTACTTTACAACATCCACGACGGTCAACAAAGCCTTTGAATTTTGTAGTAAACTAGATAAACACGACTAAGAGGAGCAAGATCCCTTTTCGTCTAATAAGTCCCCGATGTATGGAAGTGTCAGAAATTGTGTTATAATATAGTATTATTACTAATGATGAAACCATCTATACATTGGCTACTTACCTAGTATTTGAGGGTAATTAGCTCGGTTACTACCGATCTAGTCAAGTACTCTAACCTGGTTGAACAATAAAACTCTTCAAAGGAATATCGACACTTACTTTTCCCTGAAGTTCGCTACAAAATTTAATTACTCGAGATATTTGGGACAAGATATATATCAAGTCAAAGTAATGCTTAGAGATAGCAAGGTGAGGTTTAATTAGTAATTCATGTATTGTCGTCTCTATGGCTAGTTATAGGTAAATATAGAAAGAAAAGGCAGAGTCCAACTTATGAACGGATTAAAACGCTACACTTACTTTCTACCTGATATACGCCCTAAGCTAGGAAAGATTTCAATTTTAGACAGCAGTGTATATTACAATTATATTCATCCTCTCTTTCAAATTAAATAAGTTTCATTCCTGCCATCCTACGTCAACTAACCATTCTAATCTTCACTGTAACTCCGAGACCGGACCGCGTGCATGATGTCCCGGTTGAATTTGCGTTGGTTGCGATGCTACATGAGTTTGTTGGGGAGGAGGTGTTGACATCGCGCTCACAGACGACATCGTATTACCCGTTTGCTGCGGACTAACAATATTCGGCGACGCACCCAATGCATTGGGTGATGCGCCCAAGTTATTCGGAGGTGGTGTTGTCGGATTCAGGGGCTGGCTTCCGATCTCGCTAATTGTTCCCACGGGAGATTTCGAGTTCATAGCACGCTGGTCTTGGAGCGCGGCTCCTTCGCTGGGAGTGACAGATCCACGTTGCGTGATGGGCGATACGGGTATAGTAGAACTTGGCGTATTTTGCTGTGGTGTCCATTGTGGAGGGGGTGGGCTTTGTGGTGGTCCTCCAACGGGATATACGCCGGGCTTTCCATCTTGCATTGGTGCGTGATATAAGTTCTCTTGTGGAGGAGGGTAGTGTTGTTGCTGCACCATTGGTATCATTCCAACTTGTCCGGGGGGTGGCTGCATATATTTTTGTTGCATTTGCGGTTGGCCTGGAGGTCCATATGCGGGCGCTTGTCCTGAAGCTATAGCTGCTGCGCGTGCCTTCTTCTTTTTGCGAGAGATCAGAATAAAGGCTACTATTCCTATGATTGCGAGTAGTGCAACAACTCCGATTACCACACCCACAATCCATATTTTGCTCGCTTTTTTCTTGCTGGCCGGGGGTGTAAAAGTTGGGTTACTTCCGGGAACAGTAACTGTGGGACGAACGAGGAATCCGGTATCAGTTGCTATCTTTTGTCAGTTATCGTAGACTCCAAACAATTTGCAATGATTGAATATACCTCTACTTGCAGTGACGGTCGCAGCGACACCTCGGTAAAAGCTTGTGGAAGAAGAGCTTGAGGCACATCCCACCCATCTCTGGGGTGACGAATCTAGAGTACTGGCAAACACATAATCGGTGTTGCATGTATATGTACTATTGAAATCAGCGTTAATTTCCTCTCATCGTTTATCTGAATCGTATACCATGAAAGTGACGATCCACCAAAGTAGACATAATCGCCCGAACATCTGGTCGCATAATCCGAACCTGCGCAGATAGACCCCGAGCTACAGCATTTCCCATATGAACCAGATGTTGTCCATGTAGAAGATAGTGGACATCCAGCGCTATCCCCTTGAGCCTTAATTAGTTACTTCTTGTTTCGAAATCGGCAAACAACATACAAGTTCCAGCACCCAAGGTACTATAGTAACCTATCAACCGCTGGGAAACCGCTTGTCTGTTATACAGAGGGGCCGGGGTAATTTGTGCATCAGCAGGAATTGCATTGGCAGCCACAACAGAGACACCGACAGAAAACAGTAAGAATGCACGAGAAATGGACATCTTGACGATTCAAAGCATTGACAAGCGAAGAAGTCGAGATGCAATCAGAGTAAAAGAAAGAAGAATAACAACTCAGCTCTCCCTCATCCTTTTAAATGGTTACCTGATTGTACTACTGCCATAACCAGCAGAGACAACGCAGCCTCGACCGTCCGATGCTTTTTTGGCAGCATGGGATACGATAGACGAGGCCATCCGAATGCAGCGATTCGGGGACCTAATTTTAGATCTGAAGGCATGCCGAGATATATTGTCTCCAGCCTTGTGCTCTCTTTCGTTGGAAAGCCTCGATGGCGTTCAAGGGCGTCGAATGGACTGCGGGCGAGATGGCACGTGGTGGAGGTGATGGAAGTGCGGCTGAAGAACGAAATTGGAATTGTTGTACTACCCTGTATCATAACACAACCAGGGTTGATATGGAGTACCTGTAGAGCTACCAACTTTGCCCGCTTGGGTATAAGTTAACTTGCCTCTCAGCAACATGGTTTCATGTCAAGTTTGTTGGGCAAAAGTTATATCTCCAAATCCACGTTGTGAAGTCCTACTGAGCGGAATCGTACCGTGCACAGACGAAGAGAAGAGTGGGGTTCTTTTTGACAGTTGACCCACCCCCACCTGCACAGTTTCGGAGACATTCTTCATCCCAACCGAAGATCTATAGTACCCATGAGAGGTGTTTTTAGGAAAGCCGAGGGCGCGGCAAATCGACATAAGCAGCACTAGATGCGAGAGTGGGTAGAAGTGTAAGTGTTGTCCGTGGGCTCTGAGAAGCTAGAAATCCTTCTTCTCATGCGTGGAAGATTAGGTTGAGCGGTAAGTTCTCGTGGTAGGACTTTTCAGCCCTAGGACACGTGGAAAGCTGTTCTCTATATGCCTCAAAAAGAAGACTTGCCAAAGTTTGCGATCTCATTGTCCTACCCAAACATTATCCTTAGCACTCGTTTACCACGGTAGATGAATGGCGAGGAAACAAGATGATATAATCCACAATGATATCAATAACCAAGAGTTCGTTTCAGGATCGAAATAAAGGGGGTGGACAGTTAAAGCTGGACACTGTCGCAGATCATAGCATGTCTCGGCCCCAATCTTTTTAGCTAAACCAGCGAATCAAAGACTTATATCTGGTTGATATAGACTTCTTTCACATACGATGTACGTGACAGTGTCCAGCATTGACTGTCCACCCCATTTACATAAGAGCCTTACGTCTCCATATCAGGAAAATATGACGATGCTCGATGATGCTGCGCACAGGATCAAAACACTCATTGCGCTAAGTCAAGGAATAATTCGGACCATTTACCTAAAGCTTGCGTTCTGTTCAGCCGCTCTGCTTTGGTGTCCTCGAAGATACACAATTTATATCAGGTGTTTTAGGTCAAGTGACACCTGTGATTGTATCCAAAACCATAGTCGTTATCACTCCGAAAATGACTTCCATCTTAATCGTTAAGCTGCTTATGCAGTCTTCCATTCCATTGCCTACCATCTCCTCCCGTACTCTACTGTTAGCGTGATTTCCTATGTACGCGATTCATAAAGAACATTCGACTGACTCCAACTGTTTAGCTTTTGCGTTTAGTCATCCTTTAACCTTTGCGTCTCGCACACTTGACCCTGACAGTCTTCCATACGAAGGTAGAACCACGTTCGATTGGGGGACGCAGAAGTCAAAAAGTTAGAGCAGGTCGTGTATCTACTGGTAGAATCTCTATCGTGCCCAGAAACACCCGCCTCCTGCCAAAATAAAAACTTCATCCCATTCGACTCGCAACCAGAGAACAGACTTTTGCAAAATGCACGCTCCCTACCTACAGAAATTCAGATTTTGCTTAAATTCATCTGAGGAACCTATGATGAGCGGTGACGCCACTTTTGTCCGCTCTCTTGCAAGAGCAACTGAGGATTTTGCCCATGTTCGTCTTCTTCTCTCAGTAATCTGCTGCGATGAATTCGTTACTGGGAGAACACTTCAAATTGCAAGAAGTCAGCAAGCATGATCTTGCCATTGCGTCTATTGTAATTGGTTTTACTTTCGGAATAGGAACCCTTGCTACGGTACATCCCACTTACCACCTAGCCGTCATCTCTTGGAGATCTAAATTTTTCTCATCTCTGACTTTGTATAACACAGTGGAAAGCATTCAAGCAGACATCGAGAATATACCTACGTTACGGAGCTGCGAAGCTCAACACACCATATATTGTAAGTACCCATTGGGTCGGTCTTGATTTCCGACCACCATAGTTTGCTGAGTCTGTCTTCGTTAAATTGTAGTCTCAATTGGCAATAGTAAGGTACTAACTTGGTGGCAGTGGATGATATGGCTAGAGATAATAGTGTGTTGTGCTATGGCCATAATATCTTACCTTCACCTATACGGGGTTATTCCACACAGGTATGTATTATACTCCATTGTAGTTATCTATGGCTGATATCAAGTCTTAGTTTCTTATTCTACTTTGGGAATCGTAAGTTACTTAGGTGTTGTCGGCTCCTTCTTACTGAATCCGCACAGTTGTCTTATGGTCCATCCAAGTGCAACTTTTGCTGCAGATTATCATCAATCGGATCTGTCTCCTGCTACCAGACCGTAAAAAAGGCCTGTATATAAAAATAGGGCCCGCAATCATAATCACGGCGATCAATATATCAGTTTTCTGCATCTGGATTCCGGCACGACTGCAGATTTCCGCAAGGATGGAGTATATCAATAATATTTGGGATCGGTGTGAAAAGATCATCTATTTGGGAGTCGACGGCTCTCTTAATCTATACTTCATTCGCAGTGTTCAGAGGAAACTGGTGAAGAACGGGTTTGTGAAGTACGATCGACTGGTGAGGTTCAATAAGTGTCTCGTTGGGTTGTCGCTGTCGATGGATGTATTAATTATTGCTACTATGAGTTTGAAGAACGGCTTTGTGTAAGTATTCTGATCCCTCTCTACTATCGCCAGCTTCATTCTCGCTAACCTGCCTCTTTAGATACAACCAGTAAGCACCAAATGACTTCCCTGTCATATCTCGATTTTAAACTTCTATCCGCGCGCGCAAAATATCTTATCGTATTCAAAAGCCATCATTGCTCTCTCTTACTGAGCCTTAATCAACCACAGATTCCATCCACTCGCTTACATCGTAAAGCTCAAAATCGAAATGTCAATGGCCGATTTAATCGTCAGAGTATGCAACACGACCAACGACAGGGCAATACCGAAGAACATCCAATTCCATCTTCCATTCCAGCGCAGCCAAAGCAGAGGAGGAGCAACCTCAGAACGCAGTTCCACCGCCCTCGAGCGATTCGATATACTGAATCCCAAGGAAATAGCGAAGCCTGCAGATACGTACAAAAGCATTACCGAGATACGCGAGGGGCAGCTGGCTGTGAAGATGAAGAGGGAGGTACATATGATTGTGGAGGATAGAATCAGCCATGGTGATCAGAAAAGTCTCAAGAGTTGCCGCTCAGGGAGAGCCTTTTGAGGGTGAGAAGGAAGAGTTCATAGAAGTCGGTTTGAAGAGGGAAAACAGTGTGAAAAAGGAACAGAGTGTGAAGAGGGATAGGAGTGCGAGGAGATCGTCGGCGGGGATAGCGATGGGTATACTACTACTGTTTCGGCTAAGACTCTTGCCTAGGACGCTTTTACGTTACTTTGCGGAGTATTTATAAACCGTTAACAATAAAGCAGAGCTCGATATAAAGGTGGCTTTGGTGGATTGGATGAGAGGCTAGCAAAACAAGGACGCCCAACTAGCTGGGGCATTTGGATTTGAGAAGTCCTGAGAATGGCAAATAGTACTCATTATGGCTTGGTGGGGTGGAGGAGATACCGGGAAAAAATTCGTAGAGTACTGAGAAGAGAGGGAATGGAGAGAAACTTTACCTCGCAGTGGACCAAAAAACCGCAGTAAACAATTTCTTTATTGTTGTTTCACTCTAGAATAGTTGAAAGCGATGGATTTTGATATTTGGAACCTCTCAAGGGTGCTCACTTAACCAATCCGCGATTTTTTTATTTGGCAAAAGTAGAACAATCAAGATCCATAGAGGAAGTTGCGATAAGAATAGATGTATTCACTAATGCCTTTTTATTCCACTCACTTACATTTGATCGCCAAATATTCCCCTCCCTTCCCCCTTTTCGGACATTCGCTCAACATTTTTTGTGGAGTCCGAGAAAGAAATTATTCAATCTCCAGAAATTCTGATAAAACTATAAATCTACCCATATGTATCCTAAACATACTATACCAACATATGTACCCAATAACTCCAAATGCATTATACGTCCCAATTAGTTCAAGACGGCCTTACATGAGCCCCTCCTCCCCCTTCACGTCGTACATGGGCCCCTCCCGTCCCTCCCGGTCGTACATTTGCCCCTCCCCCTCCGTTATCCGGCGGCCTCACATTGGCATTTCCTCGACCATTTCCTCGACCAGCAGGTGGCGGAGGTGGCCCGTTACCACCGTTACCGAAAACTATCGGTGGAGCGACAGGAGGAGTTGCTGGTGGTGGCGGAGGAACATATGTCCGCACTTCCACGGAGACAGAACTCGAGTATGAAGATTTGTACCCCGAGCTGCTAGAATATGGCACTCGTCGGATTCGTCGGTAAAGGAAAAGGCTTAGCAGGACGATCAGAGTGATGTGCAGTAGTATTATGAGTGCGATCGCGTCATTGGCTTTGACCATCTCTCGGTCTTGTTTTGGGAGAGTTTCTCGAGTGAGGACAGCGCGGCGCTAGGGTCGGAAGATTATATGGTTGGTTGCCTTTTCGTATTGTAGTTTATTTCGGGGCTGGGAAATAATTTGATGTCAAGCTGCCTTCTTCTACAGAATAAAAAATGTGGCTTTTGATTCAGTTAACTTTTGTAAAAGTTGAGAGGTGTAAACATAGATAGAATTGTTGTTTACCCCAATATTGGAAGTCTCGATGACCTCGTGGGCATCTCACAGCTTCGAGTGTCTTGAAAAAAATGTGGGATGTCATCAAATGCCGCGCTTTCAATTGTATAACGTTTCGATTAAGACAAAGATGGGTTATATCATGTTGTACGTCGTCGCCTCGCGCAACTCACATACTTGAAGAAAAGGTTCTCAAGTAATAGCCCTATTTTGCCAAGCAGCTGGTTTATTGGGTAAACAAACAATAGTTACACATTCCCTGCAACCTGGGGATGAGACCCTGGAGGTCAGCCAAGCCAATCGGCAAACTCGGTTGCAGTGATGTAGCACCACTTAGGGTTCACCAGGTTACGAACGGCATGCATCATGTAGCCTACTCGAGTATGGGGAACACCCAAATTCTACTCATATTCCTCAGAAAGTCGACAAGCTACTATGAAAGCAGAATGAAACTTGGAAATTTGTTAAGACGTATACTAAGGTTCTTGAATGAGTGATTATCATATAGAAACGATCAACAAAGTAGTAAATTGATTCCGTGATTATTAGTATTGGAACGGATATCGCCTGATATCTACTCAAACTCTGCTGTGGCAGTATCATATCTCTTCCCATTATACAAGATTGAGAACTTCAGACTACCTGACTGATACTCTATCTCGAGATCAAAATCCAGTTTGTAGTACATCTTGCCATTATCTCCAAGTTCTTGCTTAAATTCTTTCATCATAGATCTCACATCTGCTTTAAGCTTAACAAATCTTTGGACCTCTATACATGACGACTCAAGTTATTAGCATTCAATCGTTCTACGACAAGATCCATGAGAAAATGGATAAAGAACAACAGACCTTTTCCGTCCGCGTACAATGGGGCTCCTTCGTTTTTTGAATCGTCACATTTGTACAACGTCAATTCAATCGTGGGAGGGTAGCCCGGGAATACCTCTTCACTCCAGTAGAAACCGAATGAAGGCCTGTCGTTTCCACGTATCAGGGCACCCTGTAGCTTTTCGTTACTTGAATCGCCTCAGTTCAAAGGAGTACAACTAACCTTCTTTACGAACCAATTCATTTCTTGCACACGATCGCCGCCAAAAAGCCCGTCTCGCTCCCTTATAGATTGGTAAGTAGAAATCGATTTATGAAGTGAAAAACTGCTTATAACTCACTTTCTCCAACTATCGTGTCGTTTGGGATCGAATGGCACCCCGGCGAGAGCTCCGTAATATCTTCGCGCCACACGTCCATCGATTCTTACCGATGCAAGGCCAGGCGACTTCTCAACTAGCCCACGTATAAGGGCACCTCTGACAATTGCTGTATCACTTTGGAAAAAGATCCATTAATAACCCTTCAACCTGCATGGAAATTCCGGAAAAGACTTACCCATCCTCAATTTGAACGACTTTGATGCCACCAACTCTCTTCTCGATTCTTTTTTTCAAATAATTGCTTGATCCAAATCCACCAGCTAAAAGTATGGCTTTCACTGGCTTGTCAGTGGCATGAATCTGAGCTGCAACAAGTGCAACAATTTCTTTCATCACCGGCTCAAAAACCTCAGCCAAGTCTCTGCCGGTAAACTCCACTTTGCCGGATTGGATACCCAGGAGGAGATTGTTGGAAAGCCCACGAGCCGGTATGAAAAATGACTTATTGAGATCTCCGTTAAACTCTCTCTTGATCTTTATCTCGAAACGGTGCATTGCTTCTTTGTGGTAGTCCTCGTCCCATTTGGGGTAGTTAGCGAACTTTCGGCGGAGAAAATGATCAAATATTCGATTGAGAAAAGTTGAACCGCAAAGGCTTCCAGAGCCGGGGGCAGATTCGTAAATCAAAGGTCGCTCTCCTACCTCTGCCACAGTATAGGAGATGAGATCGACAGTACTGGAAGTTTTTTCGAGTAAGTACTGCACAATATTAAGCAGGAAGCAGAGAGTACATACCCTCCACCTGCATCACAAAGTACAAACGTGTCATGCACATTTAACCCCAACTTCATGTTTTTTAGGGCATAGATACCAGCTGCCTCAGGCTCAGTAATGATCTGCATGTCATTTCTACTGCCCATCCCAGCATTCTCAGCACAGCGCCGTGTTGTAGCCTGTGCCTGATCCGACCAGACTGCAGGTACAGTGACTATATACTCGGGTTTTTTACCCTTCAGGAATACTTCGTCAAGCTTCTCAGCAATGTATTTCTCCGCATGCTTTTTCAAGCTTCTCAGATAATCGGTGACCATCTTTTCGCACTCCTTTCCGTATACTGGTGGAAATGCAGTGTGACTGGGGTAATTTTCGGCTAAGGCTGTTTTTGCAAGTGCAGGATACAAACCTAACTTGAACCACTCGTGTTTAAGCTCATCGTCCTCTAGTTGATATCCCCATTTGGGAGGAGTTGTCTCGGGATCGTATTCGTTGTACCTGATGGTACTGCAAGCGTGAAAGTTGTTAGAAATTCTTGGGAGTATGTACGCAAGTGGAAAAGAAAAGGCTCACCTAGGCACAAACTCGGTGCTTTGGCTCGAATCGGGCCATGACTTGACGACTTTTTGTTCGTTGGGCTCGGAGCTTGTCAGTAACTCGACAGGTTATCCATAAGCGTTAGGATTGAGCTCACATCTGATGTATATACATATGCAATAGATGAGAATGTTGTTCCTGATTCCGTCAGGAGTTTTATCCGAGAGATTAGGACTGAATTCTGCTTTCTAACTTACCAAAATCAACGGCTATGATGAGCTTGTGAGCCTTGGGCCTGACAGGAATACTTGCCATGGTGATATCTTGAAAAGGGGTAGGAAGACACGGTGAGGTCTTGTACAGATGGCAGCTGAAGTACTCAATTGTTTGAATCAGGAACGCAGAGATCAAAAGGCCGATGTAGCACTAACACAGCAGAAGGAAAGGACAACGAGGAGGAGGTTGATATCATTGATTGACCACAACTTTACACTTGTCGTAATGGGGTTCCCAATTCCTCTTGAATAATTGAGCAGAAAAGATAATGGAGGGAAGAAATGATATTGAACTTTTTCGGAAAATGGAGGAGGCCAGGCTGAGTCTAACCACCACCACCCACATAGGCGATGCCTCACAGTCTCTCAATTGCCATATCGAGCCTCATTATAGTAGCTATAAAAGCGCCAAATGAGCGGAAAGCCCAGGCTGTCACGCTGCCACGTCAACATGCTTCATCGGTCTCCTTTTTAAGTTATCTACTTTGAGCAAGGCACATCCATGATGGCACTGTAAGGGCGCCTCAGGGTAAATGTAGATTTAGGCAATGAGAATAGTGGGAGGTGATTGGACGAATCTGTTGGTTACACCACCTGCAATCTGATTTGCAGCGCCATATTAGGCTTAGCTTTGTTGGGGCCAACGGATCAGCTCACTTCACTCATTTTTTGGAGGGACTCAGAACTTGGTAGAATAACGCCACGCTGGATGGGGCGAAAGTCCTTTGCGCTTTTCTTCGCTACATCTGCAAGGATCAATATTGCATGTAAGCTCTGTTGCGCTGGTATTACTGCCTAATTTATTGCCCCAGATTCCAACAACATCTTCTTTTTAATAGCCTCATCGAAAATACCACTCACGACCTCATATCTAACACATCAAATGTCGACTTCGAGCACCAACGACGATCAGTATGCCGGGCAAGAAAGTTACGAAATTCTACAGCAGGAAAATCAGAGATTGCAGGAGGATAATGAGAGGTTGTCAGCTAGGGTAGTTTCTCTCGCACAAGGAGAATACCAGATTACCGATGACAAAATTACGGCAAAATTTCGAGAAATTCGTGATGGCATAGATATCTGGATAGATGAGCTTCAAGATGACGAAAGACGCCATTTCAAGACAACTTACAGCAGCTTCCTAAGAAAGCAGGATAGAGAAGGAATCTTCTATGATCTGGGATTCAGAGCTGGTTTCCTTGATGAAAAATGGGGAGAAGAGCTGGGCCGGCTTGAGACTTGTATTTATGTGATTTTGGGAATGGTTATTTCAAACCGTCTCAGGCGTGGTTTGTTGAATGATAAATATCCATTTGGCTTGATCGAATATCAAATTCGCTTTTTCGACATGATAGAAAGCAGTATGACTTCCTCATCAAATCACAAAGGTAAGCAAGGTACCACTTTTCTTGATTGCTCTTAGCAGTATTTATATTGATTGGCTGATGAAACTAAGGAGACAGTCACAGATCTAGCGAAGTTTTATAGATGGAAAGGGGAAACAATTTCAGCTATCGCTACAACCTCAGATTTCATAAAGCGTGCCAAGTACAACAGGGAAGGTCTTCTTGACGATATGCGAAAAGATGTTTCACAATGGCTGGGTTCAAAACTATCCACAAAGTTGACGACTCTATTGCGAGAAAAGGTCGTCCAACCAGCTACCGATTTCCAGAGAATGATTCACCACTCTGGGAAGAGGTTTGACGTTGAATACATGGATGTTGCTGATATCCCACTGCTGGAGAACACCAGTGATGCTGATATTATTGATGTCTCGGAGTGGAGGTTTTCTCGAAGCGAGATCAAAGAGGTCTTTCATTGCTGGTTGCCCGCTCTCGTTATGAAGATCTCTATGGACCAAAAAGATATCACTTTTGTCAAGCCAGTTCTATTGGGATATAAACAGAGCAGCATTGAGCCAAAAAGATCAGCAAGAAACAGCCCGGTGAGGAAAAGTCCTGCGAAAGAGCGTGTGGTACCAGATGAGAAACGTAGACGTGGCAGCCCGCATTCCCATACACAGCAGAGCTCACGAAGCTCAACTTCAAAGTCACAAAGACCAGAGCCACCTGCGCCGTCAAAGACAGGCGATTACTTCTTTTCAAGACTCTTACCTGGTCGCTCGGGAAGTCATTCGGAAAGTGGCCCAAGTAGAAAGGGGAGCACACCTTCGACTCGTACTACGAAGCAGGACTTGACACCGCAGTCCAATGCACTACCAGAGGAAGCCACATACCGAATCGAAACGACGAAAATATACAATATTGTCCCAGAAGAGGTAAGAGTGGTGGATGTCTCACCCACTCCACAGACATTTACGGACAGGCCATTTGAGGATGAACCTCTTAGCGTTCCTGATGCGAGAATGGAAGGAAATAATGAAATTCATGAAGGTAACAGTGCGTTTCCCTCGAGATATACGTATGCCAAACCACAGCAATGGTATCCAGACGATTACCCCAGTCAATAAGGTAGTGGACTTTCAGACTTACAATACCTTTATACCTTGAACTCTTTTTTTGGAGATCAAGCTTGAGTGGTAGCTTCTAAAGTCAAGATATTGTATTAACAATGAAATGCTATTGTCAAAGTTTTTTTTTTTGCAGGATGATCGAAAGGAGATTCTTTAAGACCTTCATTATACTTTACATAGCCAAAACACTACGCTCCATATTCTACAAACCTAGTTTCATTTAATGAACATCGCAAACCACCACGCTTATCTTCTCACTTCTTCGCAGTGGAAGCGCCAAAACCTTTCCCTGATACCCAAAGCAAACTACCAATAAGACTTTCCTTTGCCACAGATTTTGGCCACTACTCCTAACTTACAGCCTCTGAATCCCAATTTTTAGTTTCGTCCAATTCCCAACAAGAAAGAGACTCTCAGGAGAAGACCCATCACTAGAGTTCCGTAATTGATCCACTCATAGCTGTTCCATGCCAAAACCTGAAATGCATGAGCTGGAGCAATAGCATAGACCGCATACACTACCAAGTCGCAAATGTTAGCTTTTCCCATTCGCCTAGAAGAACAATATTAAAAGAAGCGGGGGTAAACTAACAATGTCCAATATCACACACAGCCATAGCCGCCAAAACAGTCTTCCAAACAATCTTCTCCTTCGTTACTCTCAAAACCGCACCCTCAAAGATGGCAAACAAGAGGTACAAGGCCCCAATATTAGTCATCATCATCATAGTCAACGGTTCAATCTTGTATGTTTCATCGAAAATCATAGCGGCCGTTGGGACTGTTCCCTGAAGGAATTTAATTGGGTCGAAGGCAATGAGATATGTCCCTAGTGCGGCCATTGGGGCTTCGAAATAGAGGAAATAGATTGTGTAGATGACGGACATCCGGATACCGATAGGGGTTTTTGATGGTGCCATTTTGGTAAGTTGGATTGTGAGATCCTGTGGTTTGGTGTATGTAGGATTGAAGACAGATTTAAGAACGGAAGGAAAATAAAGAGAAGATGAGCCTCGATATCCTGGGGTGAATGATGTTCTTTTGAAGTTGGGGTTTTGGAAACTTATGTTGGCATCACGTGTTATAATTAGATAGAGTTTCACCAAACCAAAACACACGCCCAATCTAGCTTTGTGGTAAGGTTTCCGAAACACAAATTTTCGGCGAAACGCGGAAGATTAGTGGACCAATCAGATAGATAAAGTGGAACGTGTAGATGAAAAAGAAGTTTATTAATAGTCACGTGCTGCAGGCATTAAGAGATCTGTATAAAAATCGTACATTGGCATGTAAAGAACACTGAGCCTGTGCAGATCGCATACAAAAGGTTATCTTGGGGGGCGTTTCCGTAATTCTTCTGAATGTTTGGAGCAAATAGAAAAAGGCTCCCTGCAAAGATCTACAATTTCAGTATGGTTAAAAGTGGAGCGAAACACTATTGTCCAGCTGCACCTTTTAATCGCGAACCTACCAACAGGGGGCAGTGCGATACTAGATTGTAAAAGACAACGTCCGAATTCATACTCAACTTGACTTATACCTTGGAAAAAGAAGTCAAGGGATATGAGCGCTCGATGGTTTCTTCTGTTTTACGATGCTTTTAAAATCTCGAAGTTAAGATTACCATCGTATTGGTCTATCATATCTGTCATAACCAGGCCCAGTTCCTATCCATCTATGGACTCTCTAGTTATCTTCCATATCGTGGTTGACTGAGTCTTTCTTATCTATGTATTCGTCTCCAGGCTGCGGTGCTACAAAGAACTCTGGTTGCACTTTATTTATTGTTTCTCGTTCCACAAAGCCGCTGGATAGCAATGATTGAGCCAAAACCTTCTCCGACGCATCCATACTAACAACTAATTAGAATAACCACAGACTTGTATACGGGAACTTACTGAGGTTGGGTGGCCATTTCTGAGCTCCATCGTTCGAACGCTGCATTCAACACGACGAGAACAACATACGTCGATGAGATATTACGGATTGGTCCCTCTGCGAGTGCGAGGATTGCTCCAACAATCACAGCGAAGCTGATCCTTGTTAACATACTACTCATACCACTGGAACGAGGAAAATATACTTATACATCTCTTGTGGAGAAGCGGTATCCTCGTGGCTCGTTTTCATTAGTGGCCCAATATAAAAAATTAATAAACGTGTGTATACAAGCGCATTCACGGACTTTGTGGCAGATTCATGCCAATCAGGACTCTGCGAGTATAATGCAATTCCCGCTACGACCAACCGACATACAGATCCCGATTGATAAGACGGTCGAGTCAGGATCGGATAACCTCTAGCGAGGTGCTTAACCAATATCAAAGAAGTAATTGACTGGGTCAAGCAAAGGATGAACTCGAATGTGCCAGCCGTTGGTCTTTGACCTGTTACAAGCGTGAAGAAATACCATAAGGAAATTTCCAAAAGTCCAGCAACGATGTGTATCGAAAGTACTGCATTACGAAGGAGTTTGGTTTTTGTCTGAGGATGGTGGCTATTGTAGCTAGGAACGACGTGTCGGGTGTGTTCTTTGAAGAGACTTGTATACCCAATGATCGTAAAGATACAAGTGAGAATATCATAACGCCGCAAAACTAGCCAGCACCAACACGACAAGAGTGTTTTAGGTGACAGAGACATGGCTTTAAGAAGCGAATTGAAAACAAGAATAAATCACACCAGGACTTTTTGAAGAGCAACGAGGGTAGTGGAAAACAAAGTCAGAGGGGGGAGAAAGAAGTAAAAGAGCGGTGGTTTAAAAGTTGCGTGTCGATCCCTTTAGTTTAGTGTCAAAGCCGTACCCACCGCTTCCGGCTCGATGACGGACATGTGAACTCAATTGAAAATAACATGTGACATTTATCTGGGTACCACTAAGTATTAAACGGGCACTTTTAAATGATAATCTTATACACATGATGCTGTAGAGGTATTAGCCAAAACTCAGAGGGTTGAATTATCCCCACTTGATTAGCTGACTACTGGAAATTTTTGAACAACCTCTATGGTCTACCGCCTCCTCGGATCTCGGAACTACTAGTCTTCAGTTTTTAAACTGTAAAATGAAAAATCAAGCTGGGTACGCCCTTCTGTAATGCCATTGTAATCCCAAGTGTATTATAGTAACGCCAAGATGAGAAAACACGGCACATTTATTACTATACACCTACGGATCGTATGGATATCGCGTTTTTAGCATATAAGAATAAAGACCGTTCTTTACTTATCATGACGTTTCTACATTCAAGTTCTCTTCTAGGGAGCTGACAATCCATAAAAATTCTAAAATCAGCCATGACATTTAAAAGAAATCCCAGTCTTTGCATAGCCCCCTCTACTTAGTATTCCCGATGATATCAATCTTGTAGCGACTGAAAGAGAATGTATGACGACGATCACAAAATTCTGAAGGCCAATATTGTTTGCCACATCAGACTTACTCAAGAGTAGGTTCAAGAAAACGGATCCATGTCTTGTCACGCCGGAAACTTGCAAAAACATATGATAGACGAACAAATCGTGAATGAAGGCCCGCAAAATTCAATTTGTTAAACACTAAAGCTAACCCCCCACCCTGAAAGCTATACCCCAAAAGAAAAACAGTCTAGGAAAATGGTTGCCCATGAATGTATTATGTATACCTTTTAACCCCATCGCACCTGTCCCAGACCCAGAAAAGCAAACACCGGAACCTAGAACCCAAACCAAACCAAACCCCAAAACTGTCGATACATAAGAAATCCCCAGAAACTTGGCTCGAAGATAAAGTAGAAATGGATAAACAAGTAAAATTACAAGGAATGCGGAGAGAAGTTCTTAGGTATCGCACTTCGCTTAAACCTTGAGCTTCTTGGCTTTCAGGAGGGGTGTACTTGGGCGAGGACGGTTTGCGAGTCTTAGACCAGAGTCTGGCTTCTTGAATGGGGTAGTTTCATACCACCGATCCCAAGCCACGCAATTATTCTGCATGGTATCAAGGGCTGCAGTCACTTCAGGGGTATGAAGCTCGCTCTCACGCTCCAAGAACTGAACACCGAGACCCATGCTGATATGCCAAGCAATCTGTGATTCATCTTGTTAGCTTCCAATCACTTGATAAATTTGTTGCAGGTAGGAAGAGACATACATGGCAGTGCATCAACCATGCCCCTGGGTTGTTGGTATAGATCGCAAGTACCAAGTATCCATTTCCAGGTAACATTGTGACATCTCTTCTCATTGGATTTTCGAAATTCAATCTTGATGTCGTATCGGCCGTGAAGCGTCCGATTCCAGAACCTAGAATGAAGAAGTCATGACCACTGTTACATATTAGCGCCGACTTCTCGAGTATTTCGTCTTGCTTACTGGAGATGGATTGGGTGTGGCACTAAGAATTCGTTCTGTATAATCCAAAAATAGTACTAATAACAGATAAGCATAAACTCGAAAACAACTCAAGGATAGATCCTACTTTGTTTGCCTCTGGCATCCTATAAACATTCAAATGTGTATGATCGCTATCTGTGAGTTGCGAGCTTGTTCCGTTTCGAACATATGAGAGAGTTGGTAATTGCCTATGTTGTATAATTAGCATTGTAAACCCCGACCAATATCTAGAGCTGCGAAACTCAGGGAAGATGCAAAAGATATATCCATTACTCTGTACAAACTCAAAGAACCTATTGTTCTAGATTTCCTGAAACAATCAGCTTGATTGTCTCAAATCACCTAGATTAATACAGATACAGCAATTTGAATCATCCCAAATCACTCGCATGACTATTATAGTTGTGCGAGGCAGGATAATATTGTTGTAAAATAGGTGTGTATAGAGTAATGATCAGGTTTATTGGGTGTGAAAAATAAATAGCAATGTCTTGATCGCTTCAAACCCTAGGGGAATGTGCGAATGGCAAATTGAAGAACACATACCAGTCAACAGTAAGCGCAGAGTCGTTGATGGTCCACTAAATGGTTACGTCAATGGTGATACTAAGGTGTATCGCAAGGTAATCTTACTTGGTTAATAATCCTCCCATCGGGGTTAGTAGTACTACCCAGAGTAGAATTCAACTCGAGCTCCTCCGAAGGATTGAAAGCAAACTGCGAACGAGGCACGGGTTTCGTCAAGTAAGGCGTGTTGGAATTTGGTGTACCGAAATTATCAATGTTTTCACCGCAATCGGTTGGCGCAGGCGACACTTGGATAGTATTGGGTGTACCTGTAGTCGAAGCTCCCTTGTAATGAAAGATAGCCTTTATCTTCGATTCTTGACCAGGTTGAGACAAAAGATTGCCCCCGCACAAACCGGGAATTGAAGGATCGGTTGTACCAGAAGTGTCTGGAACTGCTGCGCGGAACCAGAAGTTACCTGGAGTTGAGCCAGTGGTAAAAACAACGTCGTATCTTTGGCCTATCCCAATAAATAACCAATCGACGGTCCGGGTCTTGACCGGAACGAAGTCTGCGGCTATGACAGTGAGTTTGTGGTTATCTAGAGTAACATGATATCCATTGTCCTGCACTATGTTAACATTGAGGTTTCTCACTGGGGGAATTGATTGGAAGGAGTTTGGAAGTTGAACTTCCTCTCCCCACAAAAAGTTATGTCTAACTTACCACTGCTGTGTTGATGAGACGCAAGCGGTAAGTGGTGTTAGTTCTCAAGGGCTTTGTTTTGAAGTATTTTCCAATGTTCGCTGTTTCAAGGTGCATCGACCCGTTTATTAAAGCAGATGGTCCTGGTGGGGGGGCGGTATTGGGTTCTTCTGCTCGGAGTTCCTCCATGTATATACTATCATAAAACCAATCGGTGAGTGTCATAGTTCCCAAGTCCTCATCGTAGTTAGCAGAAGCAGGTCCGTTAATAACCATGGCGCCCAAAACACCCTCCCCTATCGTCGTGTCAGAACTATTTCCCACTCAAAGGGCAACCAGGTTAGACTCACCATATTGCCCCGAGTAGTGAGAGTGATACCAAGTAGTGCCATGTTGAGTTGCCACAAATTTGTATTGCCTAGTAGCTCCAGGCGGGATGGGACATTCTGTCACACCATTGACTCCATCCATGGTAGTTGTATTTGCCTGAATAATACCATGCCAATGCATGCTCGTACTCAAAATATGTTAGTAAGAGGAAATCCTACAGAGCACGAGTAAGTTACCCGTTATCTGTCATATTATTGAACACATTGATAACCTGCGAGATGTTAGAACTAATGTCTCCCGCCAAAATAAAGCCTGAGAGATAAAATTTCATCCAACCAGAAATGGAAAAGCTCAGAGAGAGAGGTTGCTTACGAATGTATCTCCCCAATCAGCGTATAGAGTTGGTCCAGGAATGGAGCCATTGATCATAAGTACATCTGTTTCGTTTCCATCTGGGGCAAGTCGCCAAGCCGATACAACGAGGTCATATTTTCTTATTTGACCGGTAGAGGGCCATTTTTCTTCAGAGTCTGTTGATATTTTGAAATTTCCACACCACTGCGATCTTGTTCTGGGGGTATTACAATGTTGAAATCCTCGTTGTTCCGGAGTTGATGGTAAAGCGGATACACCCACAAGCCCGATAGCAAGCGAGGCAAATAAAAACTTCGATCCTAACATATTGAGAATCAATGAGTGTTTGCAATGAGAGAAATGATTGAATGATGTTGATGAGAATATATGAGCAGGTTTGTGCGAAGCAGAGAGAGATATATATACAACTGTTGGATTATAAGAATATCGATGGCAGTGCTTGACTAGGCGAGATTTTCGGTGTATTCTTAGTCGCTTGTAGTCATCTGAAGTTCCGTTCAACAGGGGCAGATCTATAACCATGCCTACTCAGCCTTACACGGGACGACCTACACTGCTTGGCTTATCAAAGGATCGCTTGACTGAACGATGGCTTTTCGCTTCCGTTCTGACAGCAGCCATAACCAACGTAAATTTCAGGTCTCTTGGATATTTCGTATCACACGACATACTTGTTCCCAAAGCTAGTTCCCTCCTTTGATTGAAGCTTAGGTTTGATCTCAAAGCCGAGAAAGGCAAGCCGACAATTCATTGCACAGGATGTTTCTGACAGTAAGCTCTAGCCCCAAAACATCCAGTTCCATATCTTAGAATTTGTCTTTGCCGCGTAGTTTCAATAGAAAGAAACCTTGCAGAGAGTCATTCCTCCAATCTTTCCAAGTAGTCTGGGATGTTGACTAGGAATACTTTGGGTGAGAAGCGGTGCCTCTTGCAAATTTCTTCGTATTTTACGCCACAAAATTGTAGCGAAAAACGTCCTTTTTGATTGGTACATGCCTTGGAACCTCACTGAATTGAAATTAGCAATGAAGTAAACAGATTCTCATGTGCGGTATCCCACAATAGGGATCAAAATGACTGTTAGAGGCTTTGCAGGTTTGAAGAATAACACGGTCTCCAGTTTTGGCATAGGACCCGATCAGACGAAGCTTAGCCACAAAATAGGCGCTTATGATGACGAATAATGGTCCATATGCGGTCACCTTTCTTAAAGCACAGATGTTTTGAATAGGGCCACTAGGGCTATTCCGAAGTTGCCGAAGAGAAATTTGCAGACTGTCATAACCAAGCAACCCATAAATCCGCCTTCCTTTGTAATTCGTATTGTTGACTTCTCGTGTTCTGCTAAAGTCGCGCTAAAGAAAGACATTGCTTGCGATGCGTTTAGACGAGTGTTCTTTCCCATAAATTTCAAGGAAATAGACGAAAGAAGAAATGACCTGTGGTGAACTCGCTGCTGTTGAGGGAAACCCTGAACCAGCAATATTGCTGCCGTCTGAAATAGAAGAAGGACGTGGGGCATTGTAGGAGAAATTTCCGCCTATCTGGTACGAGCCGCTGGATTCCTTGTGAAAAACGTGGCGAGCAAGGAAGTGCTTTCCTTCAGCAGATTGCTCGCTTGGTTGCATAGAATCAGACGGGGAAAATATGCGGCGCTTAAACAGGTAACTCTCGTAAAACTAATGGCACACATGGCTGAAACTACGAGCGTAAGCATGCACACAATCTAAGAGGTTTAACATCCGCAGAGGCGGTGGCGCGGGAGGTGAGAAGGTGAGATGATTATATGAATATTAACAGCCCCATTCATGCAAGGTCTGGTAATATTCAGGGCACCCAAAGATCGTCGTCAGCACGAAATAGCCACATGGCATATGGTCAGCCAGCTGCCTGCACAATATTTTTAGCACGATTTCGAAACGAAATCTGCATTCAAAGCCTCCTGGCATAGACCAAAACAGCAGTCCGTGGTTCCGAATACGTGATTGTTCGAAATGGAGAGAACAAAAATAAAAAATAAAAAATCATCCGAAGTCTCAATAATAGCTGTATTCTGAATATTTGTTTCACCAGGTATACTGTATACAGTAATTGTAAACGAGATTTAAGCCACCGATCTTGCATCTCGATTCGGTGTTTGAATATTTCCCGAACTCTCGGAATGACCTTTTCACCTCTCATGTATGGTAATCCTACCCACCTCAAAACTTTCGCTCCCTATAATGTAAAATATTGAGCCACAGATAATTGTTTTATTGAATGGCGAAGACACCCCATGACTCACAAATATCCACATTTTATTCGCAATACCTCATGTGCTGACGACAGACAGCCCACAATTTGAGGCAGCTTGCAAAATTCATTGTGCGATTCCAATACAAAGCGTTGAAAATGACTTGTTCAAAAACTTCTGACGCAACTGTAGCACGAAAACCCTTCACCATGCCGTCTCTCCCCCATGCCGGGATGACCAGAAGCGCTGCTGAGCCGCCAATAAACGCCAATAAACGCCAACAAAACGGAGTAGGGCAACTGGTGAGGCTGATGATGACTTGGTATCTGCGTAATACAGCGATTGGGGAGGCTTCCTCAACAACCTCGAGAAAAATCACTGGGAGAGCACTCGGTATCCGCAATCATACGACAAACACATCAGTCCGTGATCGTCTTCGTTCAGCGCATCATCATACTCTTGTCAGAAAACATGCTCTTGACTCCTTCCATCCTTTTTCATACTTGTGTGACCATCTTCGAGATGAGCATACACTGTATGTAATTGGCACAGATGTAAGCAAGCTGCCAAATTATGGGGTCAGAGGTAGACTTCTGCTTCGCCACATCCTGCCAAACCTATGGACCACGGAATCTGCACGAATTCAAATCAACAAATCCTTCACGGCATCATGAAGGGAACCGTATACATACATTTTGAGTGCGAGGTGATGTTGTCATGCTAGCAAGTGCGAACGTTTTGGTACCCTGAAGATATCAGAATCGGGCTAGCGAGATATGTAGTTTAGCCATCGCCACCCTATATTTGCCTTTATAATTGTTACAAAGTGTTTTCCTGCATTAAGTCAGATTCTAATTGATCTCTTCAATTTTCCGATGCTTCCAAAGGGACGGACATGAAGGATAGCAGTTAATAATTAGCTACTGTATTTTGTTATTACCGTACAGTAAGTCACTAGATTCATATTTGAGGTCTGGTGGATTTTTTTAATTGCATAAATGTCTTGTATATAAAACATCGGGCAATGTTTCATTCTGATGCGCAAGAAACACCCAAAAATACGCGGGAAGTAATGTGGAAAGCCATTTGCTGCCCTCTTGCCATCTATCAAGCATGCTCTCCCTACCTCTCGTTTGAGGTAAGATCTTACAGGTACAGTAGAAGGTGCCGCTTTCAGACCGTTGCTTTCAATACATAATCGCTTGCCATTATCCCGTATATGGCATATTAAGAGAAGTTTGAGGGTCTCTATACGTCACCGATTTCTTTAGAATTTCATGCTATATTTCCATCTCGGCTCCCATCTCAGTCTCAAGAACCGCCCAAAGGAAGCCTTCTAATCCTACAAATCCGCCTACCTAATGTACGGAACGGATATAGTCGGATAGGGCACGGGTATTTTAAACTTTTAAAATTAAACTTCTAATTACTAAAATATTATATATTTTTACGATAAGTACGCGTAAATACCCTAGGACTATAATAATAAGTAAAAAAAGATATGTTTTTAGTTCCTAGTAATTCTAACTATTATTCTAGCTACAATTCTAGCTATTTTAAATGCGTCTTATATATTAAGTATTAAAGTAATAATTTCTACGAAATATACTAGTATAAGGTAGGATTATTTATTATAGTTATCGGATTTAATGGTAGATGGATCAGATAAACTTAAGAATATTATTTTATAATAATAAAAGTAGTTTTAGATAGTATTATTATATTAATAAATAAACAATTAGTATATTAGTTCTTTCTAGACTATAATAATAAGTTTATTACGTATTATACCTTATTTAATTAGGTTGTTCTCGCGCTTAGCAAGGGTATATAGCCTTATCCTAGGCCTAAATATCGATTTTTATATAAGTTAGTAGTATTAAGGATTTACTAATTAAACTTAGTATTAGAGTCAAAAATCTACTATAACTCTTAAGTTTCGTAGAGTTTAGCTAGTTATTTTAATAGTATATAATAATATATATAGTAAAACTAGTATTTTAAAGAATATTTAGAGTAATTATATTTATTATAACGATTCTCGACGTGTGACAGACGTGCTTCAGGTAGAACTCAGAACAATTAACACTCTATTCTTAGGACAAAAGACGAGGAAAGAAGGAGAGCTCGAGAGAGCTGGGAACTAAATACAGGTCGTGCGCGCTAGCGCCTCGCTAAGCGAGCATGTGACATCCAGCCCTCGTGACCATAACCGTCACATCACCCCCCCCTTTAAAAAGAGCTCGCCCCGAGCGTTGAAAATCTGAACTAATTGTGAAAAATACCCTTTTGCCAGGCATCTGGATGGTCAGGATCGTCCGAATCTACCTCCGCGCTATCGTAAGCATTGTCGTTCATAGCTGCTATTACTACTCTGCCTGGTCTTGCAATCTGCTTTCGTACTGGCTTTGGGAATGCCTCCCCAGCTGGTAGATCCCCCAAATCTATGGCTGATTTCCTTCCTTGTGGTCCTGGTGAGAAAGGACGGAGTATGCAATCGTTGACCCAGTGTTCCAAGGAGCCACATCGTACACACCTGCCTTCAGCTCTATATTGATCTCTACGCTCAGGGGAAATAGAGCGAGCGCGTGGAGGAGAGGATGGGTCGATGGAATTGATGCTAAAAGCATTTATGTCCATTGGTTCGCTGTGGTGGTTGCCAGAGGAGTAGGACTGTGTAGGTTGTGTAGACGAAGAGAAGCGGCCTGCTAATTGTTGTACGACGCGTATGAATGTAGTATAATCGCGAGGTAGGTTGAGTTGTTGAGAAAGTCGTCCGCGAAGAGTAGAATTAAGGCCATTCCTAAAGGTGGAAATTTTGTTGACATCTGGCCAGTCCTGACCTCTTGCTTCGTAAAGGACACGCTCAAACTTGGCGATATATGTAGGGACTGAGTCAGCACCTTGCTTGAGGGCAAATAGCTTGTCTTCCGCCTCCTGTACCTTGTTTGGATTGTCGTACACGCGCGCGAGCTGTTCGAGGATTGTTTGGTAGTCCCAGCTTTGGGTGTCTTCTGCTTGAGAGAGCTGTGGAAGGACCATGGCTTGGACGTGGGAGTCAAGGTTGAGGTAGACGTAAGATCGTGGACCTGAACTTGGACGTGAACGTGAACTTAGACCTGGGATACTTAGCCTCAACTAAGGGTCTTTTGTAATGTGACAGACGTGCTTCAGGTAGAACTCAGAACAATTAACACTCTATTCTTAGGACAAAAGACGAGGAAAGAAGGAGAGCTCGAGAGAGCTGGGAACTAAATACAGGTCGTGCGCGCTAGCGCCTCGCTAAGCGAGCATGTGACATCCAGCCCTCGTGACCATAACCGTCACACGACGTATCTACTAAGTTCAGAGCTAGTTAAATTAGTACCGATATAGGAAAGCTATTTAGGCTTATAAGTAGAAGTATATGACTATTATAAGAAGTATCTAGTAAAGGGAAAGCGATTAATAGTCTTATAATTAAAGTTTACTTAATAAGAAGTATATTCCTACCTTTTTAGACTATTTAGAACTACTTTTACTTATTCTTTTACTAACTTTTTATAATTAGCTATAATCTACCTAAGATAAAGATAATTAAACGTAAATTGTCAAGGGTTGCACCCGTGGTGTGAGTCTTGGAGTGCTCCAGCGACATGTGCACGTGACCTCTAAGCAGACTTGGTGGAACCTTCTAGAGTATTGGTAAAGGACACGTAGCCAGTTCTGTGGTATATAGAGAGGGTTGGGAAGCTGCTTTGGGAAGGACAATCGAATCTTCTTGTACATAGACAACCTCTGTAGTTCAATTCATCAGCATTTGCTACAAGTCCTGACACTAGTCTTAAGATTAAAATTTATTAAATCGTTTAATATACTTTATACCTTATACTATTAAGAAAAATTACTTTCTAACTTTCGAAGCTACTTATAGAACTAATAAAGCTTACTAAGCTTTATTAGGTATTATTTAAGTATTAGAGATATTATTATAATAACTTAACTTATATAAAATAATTATATTATAGATATAATTATAAAGTATAGAATAGAAAAGTAGATAACTAGATTAGATATCTTAAAGAATAGAATAAGTATAATACTTAATTAAAATTAAATAAGAATATTATAAAAATAAAAAGTAAGACTTAAAAACTTAAAAATCTAAACTCTAGAACCTTAAACCTAGAACCTAGAACCTAGAACCTAGAATATAAACTTAGAAGATATGCAGGAGGCCTATTTCTTAACCTATCCTATATCTAACTATTAGAGTAAGTAATCTAGATATTAGATAAAAGGAAGTAAGTGTAACGAATACTCAAACTGGCTAACTAAACTTGGCTGGGTGTTCGCTGGTTGGTATGCTATGATAAGAAGAAGACTATCGGGTTGTTCACTTGGAAGTGAACTCGTTACTTGTATCAAAGATGTCAAACTAATATGATAAGATTGATAACTAAGTTGAGCACGAAGCTCCTATCTAATGGCAGACGTGCCAGTCTTATATAGAACCTTCGTGTTCCTGAAGTCGACAATGTCGACTGTCGACATAGTCGATAATCGACTTCTCGCCTGGTCGAGAAGTCGACCTGCATATATCACGTGACTTATATACAAAGAAATCCCTGGATCGCTTAACTAACCTAAGCGATCCCTTTTTGCTATAAGACCCATGACGTGTTTGTCCTGTCAGAACCCCGTCTGGACTAACTCCTCACGTGCTAGCACGTGATTTGTGACAGTAAGTAACCTTAGATATAACTTATAGTTAGTAAATATATAAATTATATTACTAAAATACTACTATACTAGACTAGCTCTATACTAAACCCCCTAGAAAAGTTAATAATATAATAATAGTTATAAGAGGTAAGATACTTATAGAAAAAACCCGACCCTAATAGCTACCTAACTAGTTATTTAAAGGTTATAGAAATATAGACCTATTAGCTACTACTATAAGATTAATATAGATCTATATCTTCAATAAATCTTAGAAGGTTAATAATAGGCGCTTATAACAAAGTAGATATAAATAATAATTCTTTACTTATATCTGTGACAGACGTGCTTCAGGTAGAACTCAGAACAATTAACACTCTATTCTTAGGACAAAAGACGAGGAAAGAAGGAGAGCTCGAGAGAGCTGGGAACTAAACATAGGTCGTGCGCGCTAGCGCCTCGCTAAGCGAGCATGTGACATCCAGCCCTCGTGACCATAACCGTCACAATATCTATAATTATATATAGGTAAGAGAGAAATAATAGTAGTATATCTTATAATACTAGATTAAAGAAGACTACTACTATATATTATATATATAGTAATAAGTAGAACCTAGTAATAGTAAGTAGTTAGTAATACCTAGTAACGTGGTTTATCAGCGAGTCGATCATATCACCGAGTCGATCACTTTTCCTTGGCACTACCTCCTCAAACTTCAACACACGTTTTCTTCAACTATTTACCATGGAAATTCAAACTCAAGAAGCGCGAATTACTCTAGCTATCGAGGCTATTCGGTCGTCCAAAAAACTAAGCAAACGCTCTGCGGCAAAGATCTACAATGTACCATATACGACTCTTTCCGACAGAATGGCTGGCCGAACCTACCGCCCAGATTCTCAAGCCAATTGTCATAAGTTGACTGAGTTAGAAGAGGAAGTGATTATTTGGTATATACTGGATATG